AAAAAGGGTCCATGCCATATTTATCAGCCAGAGACAAACGTGAGAAAAAGACGCTGCTCGGAAGATTGAGCAGCTTAACGCTGAGCTCGAGCCTCTCCAGCGAGAGGAGTGGGAGCTGTCCACATCTATGAGAAGGACAGGACTACGTAATAAGCCTGGCAGGAAGCCTCAATGGAGATGGACAGAGCAGACAGGCAAGCTAGTGCGTTCGTCCAAAGGCGGTATAGACTGGTGGAGATATCAGAGCTGCGTTCTGATCCCAAAGCTGATTCCTTTCGCCAAAGAGTGCCTCCAAGATAGGCCTCAGACCGTAGTTATGGAGGATAAGGCACCTGGGCACGCCCACCAGTATCAGAACGTTGTCTATAGTCTATCCAACGTCGAGAGACTACTTTGGCCTGGCAACTCTCCAGACTGTAACTGTATTGAGCCATGCTGGTTCTACATGAAGAGAGAGACTACAAAGAAAGGAGCTCCACAGTCAAGAACGGAGGCAACTAGAATCTGGCTAAATTGCTGGAGAGATCTCCCACAAGCTAAGATCCAAGCTTGGATTGAGCGTATTCTTATACATATTCCAAAGATAATTGAGCTACAAGGTGGTAATGAGTATATAGAGGGGAGAGATAGGCGTTGTGTAGGAGAGCGGCCAGATTTCGGCTAAATTATTCTTGGCAGGACAAAACTTTTGTGAGGCACCTCCGTACACCGTTTCATATTTGACTTTGTTTCTACTCCCTAGCCACGGCAAAAGCCTCTGCTGCCGTCGTGTCCACGGCCTTGGCGCAGACAGCCATGGCAGATGCCATGCAAACCAATGCGCCGACATGTGGGGGCGCTTGTGGGGTGGGCCGTCCAAGCCTGCGCTGTGTGCTTCAAATGCGGTCCCGGACACCGGCGCTATGCATTCCACACGTCCACTGTGATGCATCTGGACTTCCTAGCCTGTATAGCACCACGCTGAGAAACCTGCTGTCCACCGGCTGTTGGGGCCGTTGCGGCCCAATTCGTGCAAACAAGACCCTCGCCCATGCCCTCGCGACTGTTCGATTGGGGTGCGTGCCCACGCCCATTGATGACAGAGCATGCACATGCACTGCTTTCGTCATCCACTCATGTCCACATCCTGTGCCTTTCTCTTCAGACCACTCTCAGCGCCCTCCATTTGCCCTCGGAACTTGGCCTCGATTGCTTCGAGCAGCACTTCCTTGACCACTGCGAGACTGCCCACGGCTGCGTGTGTCGCTCCCTCGATGAGCGCGTCTGCGTCTGCCCCGACATCTCCCTTCATCCACATCTCGGTGATTTCATCTCTTGAAGCCAAGTAGCCCACCACGCATGCTGCCACTACCTCTTTGTGCTCAGCAGGACATGGGTCCAGTATCCTAGCCAGCTCTTGCTCGCCTTTTGACGACGGATTGCGTGTTACAGCTGCCACCCCTCCACAAACCACATCTACACAGTCGATCCCTGCGTCCACCATAGCAGCGCTGGCAACCGTTATGCAGCCAGCCAAAACATTCAATAGGCCCCATCCACTTCCAGCCGCGCTTCCGTCGGTTGCCATGTCGCCCCACCAGCCATCTTCGTCGCCCTCAAGAATTGTGACGACCACTTCCACTCCACTCTTGGGCCATCTTTCGCCAATGATCACTCCCCGCAGAGCCGTCTCCAGATGCACGCCTAGATCGCGTTCTGTTGAGTCGCGTAGATAGCCTCTCCTGTGCCGTGTGGCAAATGGTGCAAACTTGACAGTAGTCGTAAGGAGGAGCGACGGACTGAAGGGTGCGCTGCGGGGGAGGGGCTTTGGGCCTTGTATCGACGCCGTGATTTTCAGCGACGAAGTCGGCGCAATGAGGCTAGTCTTGGGCGCGACAGGTGAGGAAGGTATCTCGAGATAGGCAGAACCAGAGGCAGAAGGTATGATGGACGTTTGGAGGACTGTTGTGAAATGTTAGCGTGCGTATTTCAAGCCACAGGCGCTTCCTAGAGCTATAAAAAGCTCGTACAAGACGGGTCTGAAGCAACAACACTCCAATTAAGCGAGTACAGTGCGTGTAGAAGCGCCATGACAGTATCTCAGCAACTCACAAATTCTTCGGAGCTCGTTTGGGCCTCTTGATCGTGTCGGCCTCAGTTTTTCGACATAATGCGCTTCTCTGATGGTGCGCGCAAACACGGGCGCGCTTGTCCCACCATTAGGCCCGTTGTTTCTCCGCCTGTCAATATTCATCGCCATTTTTTGGGTGTAAGTGTATGTGTAGGTTGGTGCTGCTGGGATTGCAGATGATCTCATGGCGGTCGGCGCGCAAATTGTGTATGACTAAGCTGCAGATCCGCCAAGAGTTCGTAACTCAAGCTCAATTTTCCTTCGCGTCTGCGCCGACTTTCCTTCCTCACAGCACTTCAGCACTCCAGGTACGTTACCAGCACGCCCTCTCTCTACGCAGTCTTCCATGATTGATACCCTTGAAATACGTTCTTGTGATCTCAAATGAGCTCTGAACACATGCACCACCCTCTGATCTCGTCTCTGCCAGCTTCTGCTTTCACGACTAGCTTTGCGACTCTGGCTGACTCAATTCAGGTGCTGCAGGCTTTACATCTCGCAACAGTGCGCAGCCACTGCGAGGAGATCCTTCGCCATGTCTTGACATGACACATGGGTTGCCGTTGCCACGGTCCCGCAGGATAGCTCGAGTAGACGGACACGCATGGAATCTAATGGGATTTTGAAGTTTTCGCGGGGCACCAGTCGCGATTTCGACGTGCTTAGCTGAGAACCTTCAGTCTCAACCTTAGATATTGCTCACGTACGCTCACTGCGACGTCCTCCAAGGGCGCAGTCATACATCAGCTCAAGGTGATGTAGCGAAGAATACTGACAACTGGTAAGTCGTCATTCGTACCCCACCCACCCTCTTTCATGATGAACGTATTATTTCAGTTCTGCTTCCGAACTACATTGAGGAAATCACATACCGCTTACCTTTGTCTGATATCACTCTACCCGATCTTTTTCGACCAATGATTCGAGAGAGACAAGGCTGACATAGCAAATAGACTCTAGAGCACAGATGCCGCGTTGCAGCTCTCTCTGGTAAGCAGCTCCATTTTGTTCCCTTTCGCCAGGAGGAAAACTAGTCTATCCATTCAACGACATCTGTTGCCGGGTCACCCTCCCGCACCCTACCAGTTCTGCTGGAATGACGGGTTGTGGAGTTGCAGTGCTGGCTCGTCCGGCGCCGCGTGATTGTGGTCTTTGAGCTGAAAGATGCGGCAGTCCGTCTTGGGCTGCCGCAACCAGAGGCCAGGCGACAGGGGATGATTTAAAACGGCTTTCTGAGCACAACGCCTATTGCGAAGTCTCTGCGAGGTTGAGCGCGGGCATTGCTAACAGCGCTCAGATTCCATGTTGCACCGAGAAGCGTCGCTTCGCATGCTGGGGGTATGAAAGGCATAAGAGCGCCGTGTGCGCCTTTCCGTAGCTTAGATAATTTCAATTGAATGTTTCCGGACGCGCCGATTTGTTCACACGATACCCGGTTCTCTTTGTGCCACTTGACGGTTCATGTGTCGATGAGACCCCTGCGGCTGGGCTGCATAATGAAGGCGTCGCCAAAGCGATAGCGCCCCAACTATAACCCCAATGACGGTCTCTGGTAAATGACCTTGGGCGGCTCATGGGGCCATGGATGCTGAGGCCCTGTCGCCTCTCTCATTTCCACGGGGAATACGTCCACTTGCATATGATTGCTCTGAAACGGCCATACTAATAAGCTTGGCTTAGCTCGACACCCCCCGTCATCTTGCAAAGTGTCCGAAACACGCGACAGACGCTCCGCATTCTCGCTCGGCTTACGCATCCAAGTCCATTGATCGGTCCTACCACTATACATAGTTGTTGTTCAGGCATCGATATTACGCTCAACCTCTACCGTGACCTTGGTAGGGACGTCGTCAGCCAAGCCCATCACGGCCGCTATCATCTAAAACGCGCAACGCCACCCCATTGGACTTGCAGCCCGCTCTTCTCTCCGCACAACCACCACGGCGATCGAGATCTCTCTCCTGACGGAAAAGGAGATAAGGAAAAAAAACGGTGCTTTACCGAGCAACCGGGTAATCTGGCGGGTCATCGCTGACCAGGGTCTGCAAGGGAGCGATCCATCTCTGCTGCCCGTCTTCCACGAATGCTGCCCACATACTCCACGTCCAAGGGGAAGATGCATCGCCATGGCTTTTCCAACGGAGCATATCCATCCCAAGGGGGAGGCACGTTTTCCATACAGCCCCACAAGTACGTCCCATACCCGCATTGCAGAGAGCAACAACAGCACTGCATCCTGCATCGTGTCTCCTACACCTGTGCAATCCTGCGAGACATGCCCCTGACTTGTGTTGCGTCTGCAGATTCCAGCCGCGATCACAGCCCTCCCTCCGACGGCGAAGGACACTGATACAGCGCCTCCTGCTTATGGGCTCCGTCTTCTTCACAACGCTCTTCTTCTTTTTCCCCAACCTGCGGCCGAATCTGGGTTCCGGGCCCCTTAGCCTGCTTACCTCGAGCGACGACGTGCAACTCGAAACGGTGCGATATTACGATTTGAACAATGTGCAGGGCACCGCCAGAGGCTGGGAGAGGGAAGAGCGGATACTGTTGTGCGCGCCGTTGCGAGACGCGGCGCCACATTTGCCCATGTTCTTTAGCCACCTCAGGAACCTCACATACCCGCACAATCTCATTGACTTGGCCTTCCTGGTTGGAGATTCCAAGGACAATACCATTACGCTTTTGACGGAGAAGCTGGAAGAGCTACAGGCTAACCCAGACCCAAAGCAACAATTCGGCGAAATCTCAATCATGGAAAAGGACTTTGGACAAAAGGTCAACCAGGATGTTGAGAGTCGACACGGTTTCGCCGCACAGGCCAGTCGCCGCAAGTCGATGGCGCAAGCACGCAACTGGCTCTTGAGCGCTGCTCTACGTCCTACGCATAGCTGGGTATACTGGAGAGATGTCGATGTCGAGACTGCTCCATTCACGATTCTCGAGGACCTTATGCGCCACAACAAGGACGTCATTGTGCCCAGTATGTTCGACCTCACATGGGGAAATTTGCATTGCTAACACGCTACTTAGATGTTTGGCGACCGCTTCCGGACTGGCTTGGTGGAGAACAGCCATACGATCTGAACTCGTGGCAGGAATCCGAGACTGCGCTTGCTCTTGCAGACACCCTTGATGAGGACGCAGTCATTGTGGAAGGTTACGCAGAGTACGCAACATGGCGCCCGCACTTGGCCTACCTTCGCGACCCATACGGTGACCCGGACATGGAAATGGAAATCGACGGTGTTGGTGGTGTCAGTATCCTCGCAAAAGCAAAGGTCTTCCGCTCCGGCTGCCACTTCCCTGCGTTCAGTTTCGAGAAGCATGCTGAGACAGAAGGATTCGGCAAGGTACGACATTACGTCTCTTTCCACACTACAAAGCTAACAATCGACTCAATAGATGGCCAAGCGCATGAAGTTTTCGGTCGTCGGCCTGCCCCACTACACCATCTGGCATCTTTACGAGCCTAGCGTTGACGACATTCGACACATGGAGGAAATGGAACGAGAGCGCAAGGCAAAGGAGGCTGAAGAAGAGGCCAAGAAGGCTAAAGAAGCCAAGATTAAGGAAACTTTCGATGAGAAGAAGGGCGACTGGGAGAAGGAGAAGTCGGCAGTCCAGGAGCTGATTAAGCAGGCCAAGAATGAGGAGAAAGATGAAGCCGACAAGAAGAAGAAGCAAGAGGAAGGGGGGAAAGAACAAAAGGACACCGAGAAAAAAGATAAGCCTGCGGAGAAAAAGGAGGACAAATCGTAGCTCCTACAGCACGTTGACAATGCGAGGGGTTACATGCCTCGGATTTTTTTTTCTATTCATGCGGCTTCGCGCATGCAGCGGAAACGCGCAGGCACAGCAACGACAATAACGACTTGGTTGGATCTTGGAGGGCGCCCATCCGAAACCTCGGTTTCTTTCGACTTGCTGCATGTCTTCGGTGCCTAGCACGTAGCATCTTGTTTTCGCCGAGTCAGTGGCCGTTTGTGGCACTCAGAGCGCATTGCTTCTTCTTTTGGTGGGCGTTGAACAAGTATTTGGAGGATTGCATATACAGACTAGACAGCAGCTGTTGCATGAGGGGCTTTGTAAGCTTAGGAGTAGATTTGCGCACCATGTTTGCGTGTAACAACATTTGCCAGTTTATCAAGTGCAGCCAGATGGCTTACAAGTGGTGCTACCCTATGATGTTGTGCGGGACCCTGGTACGGTCCGCATTGTGTCTCAGCACCCCCGAAACTCCGCTAAAGCCAATTTGAGCCCCAAATGCTCGAATGGAGCTGTCAAAGACGTCTTTTGCCAGTTGCCGAGCGCTCGAGGACACATCTTCGGTGGACAGCCTTACATTGTGCTCCAACGCTCGCGAGTCGTCTACCCATCCAGGCAGCAACAGCAATTGGGAGGATGCGTGTCATCTTTGGAGTCGTCTGAACTTACCGTCAAGCTGTCCATGTGCCCTCGATAATAACGACACCTTGTCGCGCGCTATACCTCCCCACCGCATACCCAACTGCACGCCAACCTACCAGACACCATGTCGAGCACCGACGGCGACGGCAATGGCGCGTCAACCCTCCACGAAACGGTCGCGAACCTGGATCCCCAGCCCATTACCGTGGCAGTCAACCCGGTAGCGCTCGTAGTGACAGAATGTATCACCGTCACCTCGGCGATGCGAAAGCATGCCCGTTGGGCGCACTCATCGGTCTCGGCCATCTTGGGGAGCTCCTCGAACAAGACACCAGCTGTACAGCGGCGCGACCGCACAGGACAGAGCATTGTGGCCACGGGAGAGCAAGACGAGGCCGTTCCAAGCAGATGGGGACTGCGGGGGAAGAAGGGCAAGAGCATGCAGGACAACCCCCTCATGTCTGCATTCGCGCGCCTGAGGAACGATCTCAAGGGCTGTAAAGGTAGACATGGCGCTCAGGATAAACAGTCAGCACGCTGCTAACGCTGCAATCAAGATATCAGGACATTCGATACGCCCTCTATGCTCCATCCCTTCCTGCAGGTCATCCGCTCTTCTTCGACCTCTGCGCCAATTACCTCGCTCGCCCTCATTGCTATTACCAAGTTCCTGTCGTACGGCATTATTGGCCATGACTCTCCACGCCTACCAGAAGCTATGCAGCAGCTCTCTTCTGCCATCACACACTGCCGATTCGAGGCCAGCGACTCGGCAGCGGACGAAATTGTCCTACTCCGCATACTCAGGCTGATGGAAGTCATGATCTCGGGCCGTGGAGGAGAGGTACTCGGCGACGAGAGCGTCTGCGAAATGATGGAGACGGGCTTGAGCATGTGCTGTCAGGCACGACTCTCAGAGGTGCTGCGACGCTCGGCCGAGGTTGCCATGGTGTCCATGTGCCAGGTCATATTCAGGAGATTGAAGACGCTCGAGATCGAGTCGCCAGAGGAACTGGAGGCCATGGACGAAGAGCTGGATGGCAAAGATGAGCACGATGGCCTACGCATGGACCCAACAGCGGACGGCGAAGGCGACGCTGCTCAGCACAAAGTCGAAGCACTCCAGCTACCGAGCGACTCGGAAAAGGGCCAGGAAGACAGCGAGAGCACCGCAAACCCAACGAGTAGTACCGTGGATCTTCCAGCGACAGCAGCAAACGGGGAGCCTCAGCCTGCTGCCGAGATCAAGCCGTACTCATTACCATCCATACGGGAATTGTTCCGAGTACTGGTCGATCTGCTGGACCCACACGACCGACAGCATACAGATACTATGCGGGTCATGGCGCTACGCATTGTCGATGTTGCGCTCGAAGTCGCTGGCCCATCAATCGCAAGCCATCCCAGCCTTGCGAACTTGGCCAAGGATACGCTGTGCCGCCACCTCTTCCAGTTGGTCAGGTCGGACAACATGGCAATTCTGAATGAGTCGTTGCGAGTCGCTGGCACATTGTTGGCGACATGCAGGAATGTACTCAAGCTGCAACAAGAGCTGTACCTTTCATACCTAGTCGCTTGCCTCTTTCCAAGGGTCGAGATACCAGTAGAGCCTGGTATTGAGCCTTCGCTATACGAAGGCGTCCCACATGCGCCTAGTCTCATCAAGCAGCCACCACCACAGAACAGTGGCAGTGGCCGGTCCACCCCAGTACCTGTCAAGGACAGACAAAAGCTAGGGCTGGAGGGGGGCGCTCGGAAGCCTGATGCTCGAGAAGCCATGGTGGAGAATCTGGGTGGTTTGGTACGGATACCGTCATACATGGCCGAACTGTTTGTCAACTATGACTGCGAGACCGACCGCGGCGATGTCTGCATGGACATTGTCGGACTTCTCTCAAGAAACGCCTTTCCCGACTCTGCAACCTGGAGTACTGTTAATGTACCACCTCTCTGCCTGGATGCTCTTCTCGGCTTTGTCCAGTCTATGGCAGATCGCCTGGACGACGAGCCGGTGACTGAAGGTTACCCCAGCGTCGAATCGCTTCGCGAACAGCGAGCACGCAAGGCCGTTATCATCAAGGGCGCGACCAAATTCAACGAGAAGCCGAAAGCCGGCATCGCATATCTCGCGTCGCAAGGCATCATATCAGACCCTGACGATCCTCAATGCATCGCTCAGTTCGTCAAGGGCACGACAAGAGTCGACAAGAAAGTTCTCGGAGAATTCATTTCGAAGAAAGGAAACGAAGCATTACTCAGCGCCTTCATCGACTTGTTCGACTTTACTGGGCAACGCATTGATGAAGCGCTCAGACAACTTCTGCATACCTTCCGTCTTCCTGGTGAATCTGCACTCATTGAGAGAATTCTCACAGAGTTCTCTGAAAAGTATTTCAAGATGGCCAAGCCCGAAGGCATTGCCAACGGCGACGCCATCTATATTCTTACCTATGCAGTTATCATGTTGAACACGGACCAGCACAACCCGAATATGAAGCAGAAGCGAATGCAACTGGAAGACTTCAGAAAGAACGTGCGCGGTGTCAACGATGGAAAGGACTTTGACCCAGAGTTTTTGGAGGGAATCTACGAATCCATCAAGAACCGCGAAATCATCCTGCCAGAGGAGCATAGCGATCGAAATGCCTACGATCACGCATGGAAAGAACTACTAGTCAAGTGCCAATCAACGTCAGACATTGTCATCTGCGACACCAACATCTTCGACGCAGACATGTTCGCGGCAACTTGGAAGCCCATTGTAGCAACACTGTCATATGTCTTCATGTCTGCTACTGATGATGCCGTCTTCTCCCGCGTCGTGCAAGGTTTCGACCAATGCGCTCAGATTGCTGCAAAATACGGGTTGACTGATGCTTTGGATCGCATCATTTCATGTCTGTCATACATTAGCACACTGGCGCCGGATGTGCCACCAAGCACCTCCCTAAACACCGAAGTGCAGGTTGACAAGAAGAGCGTCATGGTCAGCGAGACGGCTGTGCGGTTCGGTCGTGATGGCCGAGCGCAACTGGCAACTGTCGTGCTGTTCCAGGTCATCAAAGGCCACGAAGCATCGATAAGAGATGGATGGGAATACGTAAGTTTTATGTCCATGTGCACAGGACATTGCTAACTCTGCCAGCTCATTCGTATCATGGTCAATCTCTTTGTCAACTCGCTCATACCACCTTACTTCCTTTCTTTCCAGAAAACACTTGCCTTGGCACCAATCCCTCTGCAGAACCCTGCTCAAGTCATTGACCGTGCTGAGCGTCCTGCGGATACTGGAATCTTCTCAGCTTTGACCTCTTACGTCTCAAGCTTTGCCAATGACGAGCCGCCAGAACCATCAGACCAGGAGATAGAATACACGCTTTGCACTGTCGACACAGTCAAGGAATGCCATTTCGAAGATATCTTGGCAAATATCAGCCAGCTACCTATAAAGTCTCTGAGATCACTACTGGATTCGCTACTTCAGCATCTGCCCGAAGATGGCTCGCCAAGAGTCATGGTGGTGAAGCCGGAGCTTCCAACTGCAAGCCCGCGAGCACCTGGTTCTCGGCAGAAAGGCAAGGGTCCTCTCTATGACCCCAGTCTTGTCTTTGTCCTCGAATTGGCTACTGTACTAGCACTGCGCGATGATGAGACTGTTAAGGAGCTTGCAAAGGATGTGATAGAAGCACTGTCGTCTGTCATCCGAGACGCCACCAAGCATCACTACGTGGTGATTGCGCGGTCGGTGTACTATCTCTTGAGCCTGTTGAAGGCTAGCAATGTAAGCACCAACAACTCATGTGTTGTAATCTACTGACAATCTCAGGATTATGACTTCATCCGGGCGCCAGTTCTTATGCATACTTTCTCGAGTTTCAACGACGCACTGCTGCAAGAGTGTGCACAGCCAATCCTCAAAGGCTTGAGTGACTGTTGCAAGGGACCCAATGCGCTCCGCAGTGAACTCGCTGGCTCACCAGACTTTTGGACTATCCTCAACAGACTAGCCAGTGTACCCGATGCTGCTGGAGACGTCTTCTCGCTTGTGGAAGAACTGACCACATCGCCTCAGCCAGGCATCACTGCAGACAACTACGAGGCTGCGATAGCGCTCCTAAATGAATTTGCAACTGCTGCTCAAGTGGGTGCACGAGAAGAGCAACTGCATGACCAAGCTGTGCGGCGCAACAAGGGACAGAAGCCCAAGAAGCCCGAGAATAGCGAGATTGTTGTGCGTGGCAGCACTGCTATGACCATTGTCTACCAACTGTCCAATCGAGTACCAAACTTTATTGAACAGTCTCATCTTGAGACTACTGAAGGTAGGTTGCTTATTCAAGTCTACGTGTGTTAATACTAAAGACCTTGCAGCGTGGACAGCATACTGGTCTCCTATTCTGAAGACGCTCGCACACCAGTGTTTAAACCCTTGTCGCACCCTGCGTCAACAAGCCTTTGCCTCTCTCCAGCGCACTCTTCTGTCGGCTGATCTCGCCTCTCCGGACCATAAGGAGTGGACGGCCATCTTCAGTGAAGTGCTCATACCCCTCATCACCCAGCTCCTCAAGCCCGAGGTTTACCAATCTGATCCTCTCGGCATGAGTGAAACGCGGGTCCGCGCTGCCACTTTACTCAGTAAAGTGTTCCTGCACTACCTAGTCCTGCTCGATGGTCTCTGCGAGAAAGGAGAGAAGGGCTTGTTCGAAGAGCTCTGGATTACAATTGTCGGTATCATGGATCGCCTGGGCAACAGCGGCCAAGGCGACATGGAAGAAGCCGTAGCCGAGAACCTCAAGAACATGCTCCTCGTACTGAGCAGCGGAGGCTACCTTGCCCCTCCGGACGAAAACCCAGACCGCGAAGAACTGTGGCATGAGACTTGGAAGCGCATAAACCGCTTCCAGCCCAATCTCCTCGGCGAACTATTCCCCGAGGAGGCAGGCAAGCCCGCACGCCCAAGGCCAAGCAAGGACGACAGGGCCGCTGTGAAGAGCCCGGTACCCCCCGTTGACGGACGCGAAATGGATGTTGCGGTGAGGACGAAGGAGGGCAGCGACAAGGCTGGTGAGGAAGAAGAAGCAGCAGCAGCAGCAGAGGAGGAGCCAAAGAAGATGAAGGCCGAAGGAAAAGATAGCTAGGAACTTCTTTCTCCCATCGACGTTGCTGGCACATGAGCTTCAGTGTAAAGTGCATGCTTGGTTGCGGCAGGTTTGGTAGTATTAGACGAGCTGCAAGTAAGGGATGAAAATAATTGATATGCGTATTCTCTCTCTCTCTCTCACCAGAAGTTTACCTTGCGTTACTTGATGCTTTTGGCTTTTGATTTTCCGGTTTTTTTTTCATCTCGGCATGTACTGTACTGTACTTCAGTACTTGACCCGCGTCTTGGCACCCACTCAACGACGTCTTTGTACAAGGCGAGATGATTTTGCATCTTTTTCGCTGCAATTACTGATTAAAATCAGTTACGTGTGTTAGCTCACTCATGTTTTTTTTTCTTCTTCCCCTTTATATAGGGGCTTAAAATACAAGACTTTATTAGTGAAAAAAAAAGTTTTTTTTTCTACTTCTTAGTAGCTCTGAGAAGGTCTGCCTTACTTACTGTACTGTTGTTATTTTTTCTTTTTTGGATATAAGTAGGTGCTACGTACATAAGTAAAATGTTTACGTACTGTACTTGGAAATCTTGGTCTTGGGTTGGTTTCGCTACGTACTGTACGTACGTAAAGGTCGCGCGTCATGTAATGAACACTAGAATAGCTGGAATGTTAAAACAGCCAGAGAAGCTGGAGAAGCCAGAGAAGCTGGAGCAGTCAGAGCAGCCAGAGCAGCCAGAGCAGCCAGACAAACTAAATCGTACTCTTTGTAGCACTATTATCGGCTAAGTATAAGAACATGTATACATGAAAATGAAAATAAAGCTTTATACTAAAAATTCTATATATTCAAGAATATAATTATACGCTTAACCTTCGCAGGACCCTAAATAACCTAGCAAGAACTTGAAAGCAGCTAAAGCTACACTTGTAGAGGAAAATAGCAAACGGGAACCTGGTTCAGGTCTGCTTGAGAAAAGAACGCGAGCAAGTCAGGTATATATACTGTAAGCTTCAGAGCTAGTCCTAGTACGTACGTACAGTAGCTCACATAACAGATGAAATAGTGCCAAAGGCCGCTTGGCAAAGCAGTATACGGGTGCGCAATAGCACCTCTTTTCAGCTCCGTTACGGGCTGTAAGTAGGAAAGTTTATATATTTGCGCTTCTGACTAGATACTCAGTGCCCCCATGGCTTCCCTCATCTGCTCCTCCTTGGCCTTGACATGCTCCACCACTGCCTCGTCGCCCACGCCCTCATCCACACAATCACACCCATACACGCTGCGGAACTGAAACGGCGGCAGCCCATCCAGCTTTTCCAGCGCCGCCTGGCTCGCCCGCACGCGCGCATACCGCCCACTCTGGCCCAGCGAGTAGAAGCGCACTTTGCCATGAATCATGACCATAGCCGCAACGCCCTTGCCTTTACCGGGAATCAGCGTCTCCGTCTCGAGCGCCCCCATGCGCCAATCACTACATCCAAAATTAATCGTAAGCAAGCGGCTCAAGCGCGTAGTCGGGTGGTTCGACGCAAACGCCTGGTACGAGTCGATAGTCATATCCGCGAAGAAAGGTTTAAGGTGCATGTCGAAGAAGCGCTGAACGACTTCAAAATCAAACTCTGCGTCGACGAACATGGCGGCGACGTAGGCTTCGATTACGTCTGCGAGACACTTGGGCGGCTCGCTGATGGCAACCCAGTAGTCTACTGCGCCGGCGGCCTCGCGGCACGCCTCCTCGGCTTCGAGCACGTAGTCGCGGATTTGATTGCTGAGCACCGCCGTGTTCTGCTTGACGTGGACGTGCCAGCCGAGTTTGACGCAGAAGGCGCCGAGAAACTTGTTGGAGACCATTGGTGTTTTGTGCTCGGTGAGCCACTGTGGGTCTTTGTCCGGGTACTTGTAGTACAGGTATGTGATGAATGCCATGTCGAGGAGGGCGTCGCCGGCGAACTCGAGGCGTTGGTAGTTTGGGATGTTTTCGTAGATATAGGGATACGAAGGGTGGGCGAAGGCGGAGCGGAGGAGGCGGGGGTACTTGAAGTGGTATGGGTGTTTTGTCTCGATTTTTCGGGCCATTTCGAGCATTGCTGCGCTTGCCTCTGCGGTTTGATACTTGGGCTTCTGGTAGGCAGCGTAGTAGTCTGACCATTTTGACATGGAGTGGTCTGGGCTGTTGGCAAAGAGCTTCACTGCTTTGACTGCTTGGTCCCAGTCACTGGATTTCCACTGGCCGCCTTTGTAGTGCTCTTGCAGCGACGCGCCAATGAAGGCCTCGCAAACATCGGCAATACTCTTGTCGCCCAGATTGTGGGTGAGCTTGAGCCAGTCGTCTTGCGACTTGTTCGCACCCTTGCCTTTGAGTAGTTTGAGGCCTTCGGGGTACCACGTGCGACTATTTTGTGTTATTCCAGAATCTGATTGTGTCCCATAGAATACGTACCGTGAAAAAGACTCTGTACGAATGTACTTGTACAGTTGCAGATCTTGCTCCAGGCCGTCTGCAGAAACGACTTTCTTCTTTCCGATTGCGGTCTCCATGAGGTTCTTGTTGCAGAGCATCTGCATACGGCGAACATGAAACTCGTTCTCGTTCTCGTCTGGCTGCTGAACAAAGACTGAAAGGGATGTTGCCATCTTCAAAAAGCAGTCGCCGAGAAACTCCAGTCTACAACAAATATTAGCATGCCCCAGCTTGCTGGATTATAAACATACCGCTCATAATTTGGCCCCATGCCGCTCTTGAAGTTGATTTTCTCTTCGTCATGTTCCTCAGAGTTTTCAGAGTCCTTTGTCAAAGCCTCCAGGGCGAGATGTGGGCTGACCTTGAGATCCAAAACCTGGCATGCTTCCAATGCAATCAGGTAGCTCTCGAAGCGGTGGATAATGGCCGGTAACACGTAGCACATGACTACAAAAGGGGTTGCGAGCTACATTGTTAGCATGGGTCACCTACACTTGGAACTAACAAACGATAGTCAACTTACGTTGGATATCTGAAAAGGCTCAGGACAGATGTACGCCTTGAGGTTGTCCAGTTCGCCCTTCTCTTTATCCTCGACGCACGCAAGGTGATTTCGGCGAAAAGGAATCTTCTCTACCTCAAGAACAGGCTGAATTGGATTCCATTTCGATAGGTTCCTGCTTCTTGACCATGTGCTGTCACTGTAGTCCATGATACTGTTCATGTGTCTGTGGCCTTGACGAGCAACACCTTTTGGAATGGCATCTTGAGGGTTGAGGTGAGGTGAGAGACGGTTCGAATAGTAGTGTCGGCCTCCATTCAGTGGATCCACAAAATAACGGTTTATGAGGTCATTCGCCTCAGTATCTGGAGTCCATTTCCATGTTGGTTGGTGGAAAACCTTTTGTATCTGATCCATGTCCAGAACTTGGCTCAAAGAAGTCATAGATGATAGGCAGTGAGCTCGATCTGGAAGCACTGGCACAACCCAGTACGAGATATTCCGGACATCATCCTCATACTCCTTGTTGTATATGTCTTTGTAAATACGCAGGGTAAAAGTTGTAAGCATTTCCAGCATCGCTGCCGATAGGGGAACCGAGACAACAAGAGACTGGGAAACTATGTTGGAAGGTCTTCCATCAGCGAGGTAGATTGGAAACTTTGGCAACTGTGGAAGCCAGTTGCGAGTGAGAAGGCCCAGAGGTTGATGAGGTCGGTCAAGGCCAGCATCCACATTGATGACGGTAAGATAGAGAGATGCGGGAACCACGCCTCGACCTATCTTCCAAAATTCTGGCTTGATCATCATGGGATACATGCCCTTCTTCTTTTCATTCAGTGCTAGAAGAGCATTTCTTCCAGCTGGTAAGCGCCTGAAGGTTGTTGGCAGCAGGTTATCATCGAGATATCCCTTTCTGTGAAGTTCAAGACACGCTTTGTACGCTGCTGAGCACTTGGCGATTGATTTCTTGCTCTGCACATCGCCAGTAATCGTCTGCAATGGAGAGTGCTCTGGCAGTATTACTTCGGACACAAAGCCTCTCCTTTGTGAATCTGAAGTAGCACCGCTAAAGTCAGGACAAACAACATATGTTGGCTGCATCATGGTTTGTCTGTCGGGACCCGGCAAAGTTGCGACGAAGTGATTGAGGATAGCCAGACTTGAACGGAATGATAACTTGGCACCGATTTTGGTGATGAAGCTTGGAAACAACTTGTCTTCAAACTTCAGGAGATCGATGCCATCTTGGTCACATCCGTCAACGCGACGATCTTGCGGGAGTTCTTTGCAGAAATTCCTCATGATTTGCTCATCGTGCTTCACATCCATGATCCGCTCCCGATGGTCATGGTTGCCTTCTTCAATCATGTGAAGATACTTTGAGTTTCGATGTCTTGCCCGCCCACGAGATTGCACGTATGCGATCATGGTGCGATAAAGGTCGAATCTCACAACCAGGTTGCACTGAGGAATGTCCAGGCCTTCTTCAGCGACTGATGTGGCAAAAAGGCAATTGAGTTCTCCGCGGCGAAATTTTGCTACTGTGAGAACTTGGTTCCGAAGAGATATGTTCTGTTCATACACACGTGTGTTGATGCCAACAAGTACACTGCAGCGAAGATGCGGGCCTCCAATTTGAGAGAAAATGAGCTGCAACAACTGCGCCGTCTGTCTCTCTTGAACGAAGACGATACATCGGGCTTCATCGCTGCGTTCGTAGTATAAGCTGAGCCAATGATGAAGCTTCTGAACTTTGGAACTCACGTCCTGGTGACTGAGAGTGCAGATGCCTGGATCGAACTTTTGAACGTACTCGGCCGCCTCTTGCAGACGTTTCAGTTTAGCGTCCCACTCTTTGACTCTATCCGGACTAGCATTGTTGTGCTTCATGTGCTCCCGCTCCTCCAGTTTGCGACTCTGATTTTCGGCAAAGGCAAAAGACCAATACGTGTCGGACGCCCATCGCCCTAGTTCCCTGCAGTGTCGTTTTGATGCGATGAAAAACTTGTCGTAGGCCTGGATGTGTCCGAATCTCGCTTTGATCTTTTGGTGTAATGGTGTTTCGTACTCATCTTTCAGCCTTGCGTATACTGCAACTTCTTCCTCTGGTCGACTGATGCTATTTGAGACGAGAGCACTTTCCGTAGTGGCAATCTTAGCGTCAAGCAGCTTTTCCAGGTCTCTAGCGGCCTCTCTGATATGGCTTGGAGATAAGCCCTTTGTGTCCACAGGAGACGCAGTCATGCCAAAGATTCGAGGTCGCTTGGCAATGTCCGTCTCCTTTACGTAAAAGTCTTTCATAAGGCGGGCATAAGGGTGGTTGCTCTTGGCGTGATGAGCCTCATCGAAGATCAGAAGGTTGATCCGGGCCATACTGGTAAAAGAATGCATCATACACTGCACAAGGACTTCTGCTGTACAGACTAGGACCATATTGCGTTCGAAGTAGCCCTGCCAAGTCGACTTTGACCATAGCGACGCGCCCATTGAACCGCATATTCCTTCGACGTTCTGATCGAGACCGCAGCGCAAGACGTTCGTCTGTTGGAACACGAGATTGACTGAATCCACCTGGACGTGTCAGCTGTGTATGCAGGAAACTCTCTCAGCGCCTCACTAGAAAGAAAGCCATTCTGGGGATACCGCCTCGGGCCCGATGGTCGAGCTCCATGTCTAAAATGTGCCGCAGTAGAAGAGTTGCAATATGCGTCTTTCCCGAGCCCGTGTCCAAGACTGCAATGACGTTATCGCCCTTTGCTCTCTCAAACAACTCCGTCTGGTAATCGCGAGGGTTCGTGATACGAACAGTCGTCTCCTGTTGTGCCAGGATGTCGCGAATCGAGAGCTGCTCTTCTTTGGCACTCTTTGCAAAGGCATCATTGACTTCGTTTTGTGTTAAACGTGCACTGATATTAGCAGCAAAAGCTCTCATGATACTGTTCTGTGCCCTGCGCTTCTCTGTACTAGTCTTGGGGCCATGTCCGGCCACAATGTCTGCGTCTGCGTCTGCGTCGGAATCTTCGTTCTCTTCGACATTGTCATCGGATCCGTCAGACAGGGAAGTAATGGGGCTGTCGTCGCACGAGAAGTAGTCGTCTTGCTCTTCGTCAATTGCACCCCAAGCCATGTTTGGAGTAAGTGGGCTCCCGGGAAGTGACTCGAGCGTAAGAAGAGATCGCGGCTGTATCCAGCAATCCAAATGGTGCGAGCTGTCAAGTTTTTCGAGCAGGCTGGGAGTTGGCCAAGAGTGAGAGAGAAGGCTGCTGCCACCTATTTGCGCCACAGCGTGCCTCGCTAACAAGCAAACGACGCACCTGCCCGTAGCACAGCATGCTCGCAGACAAATCCGGTCTTTGTAACACAAACAAACGGCCGGTTTCGCGCAGCGTCAGGGCGTTCACCGCCTGCTTCGAAGCGCGCGCCGCGCAGGCGGTGAATTGACGGGGATGGCGGGGTAAGTACGCGACTTTCCAGGCAAGCGCGCTGACTCAACGACACACCATTTCACGCTCTCACGTGTCTCGCCCTCGAAACTTCCACCCCCACATCTACACGACTTTTTGGAATCCATCACGCCAAAATGTCAGATGAACCGCTGAGTCTGCGCGGCCTTTTCTCCAAAGCCGAGACGGCGCGCGAACAACTTTCATCTTCGTACGAGCCAAACAGTCCCGCCTTCCAGGAAAAGCTCAGCGCAACCATTGCCACTTATGAAGAATGTCTCAAGATCTCGGAGCAGGTGTCGCTCTTCAGCCCAAACGAGACTCTCGAGGACATACCATCTACTGACTTACAGTATGTAATAGAGTCCATCTATCTGCAATACTGAAGTCATGTCTTCATGAGTAGGGGTAGGGGGGGGGCACCTTTGCTAACACGTGCACACCAGATACATGGCGATAAACTACCACTTGGCCGAAGTCATCCAGAAGATTTTCAACACAGACATTTCACTCCGAAAGCAAAACCTGCTACGGGCACGAGGTCACTATGAGCAGTTTCTCAAGTTGCTGGATTCCTACGACATGCTTGGCAAGGCGGATGCGAAGCTTCTCGAAGCCTACAACGAAGACAAGAACAACTTTTCCACAGCCAGCACGCGGGATGCAGCAGCAAGAAGAGACGCCAAGATTGCTCGGTTTAGAGAAGAAAAGGAACTGAAAAGGAAACTCGAGGTAAGATTGTCTTGGCATTAACTGTTCGTTGCTTTGGCCGGGAACTAAAGGCGTGCGACTATAGTATCTCCGCCAGAACCCCAAGCTTGAGGAGCAAGATGAACAGGTGGTCCGGGATCTGCACCTGACCAACCTGGCATTCATGGTACACCAGACGTTTGCCTCTCTGGAGTCGATGGCCCAGGAACTTCACATCATCTCGCTGGCGCCACCCGCGCCGCCACAGGGCCAGGACCAACAAGCGCCCGACGCTCGACAAGACGGCCGAGGCAAAGACGGTTACTCTGAGCGCCTAGATGGTCAGTACGCCGGTTTGAAGTATTCCGGGCCCATCTTGAGCAGCGACGGCAAGCCCATGCGACCATTTACACTCTTGGACAGTCGCCAGAGTGTGAAGAAGGGCGTGTTCCGCCCCGACCACAACTTGCCGACCATGACCATCGACGAGTACCTAGAAGAGGAGAAGCGTCGCGGTGGCATTATTGAGGGCGGAGGACCGCAGTCGGGAATACAGCCTGAGCCGAATGAGGATGACCTGGATGCTGCCGATGCTGAGACGATGAAGCAACGTGCATGGGACGAGTACGTAGAAGCCAATCCCAAGGGCTCGGGAAACACGCTAAACAGAGGGTGAGCATACGTGGAGAGGATACTAGATACCCTAACGAAGAGAAGAAAACTATTAGCCAACATGACCGCTTGTCTATAGCTTCTCTGGTGCGAGTTCAGGCCACTTTGTCGTGATGAGCTTAAACAGCCCCTTGCTCAGCACTGCATAGCCCTTGACATCTAGATGCAGCCCATCGGTGAACCAGCCCTTGGGGAACGACTTTGCCCCAATGAGTCCGCAGCCCGGCGGCAGCTCTGGATCATACTGCCAGCCCTCTTCTTTCATCAGCGCGTCCACAATGAGCTGCCAAAAGTTCAGCCCCGCGACCCTCTCCGTCTCCTCGTATTCCTTTGCAATCTGCATGAGTCCCTCTGCATAGCGCTTCTTGTTCATGTACGTCTTGTACCGCGGCCATTCCTTCTTGGCGCGATTCATGTCCTCAATCTGCTTTTGCGACAGCCGCTCGCCGTCGTCAGCGGGTCCATTGATGGGCGGCGGCGTGATGAGCACAATCTTTGTATTCTCCATGGCCTGCTCGGTGAGAATGGTGTCGAGGAAGCCACGGATGTTTTCCGAGAAGACGGGCCAGGGCACTTTTTCGGTGTCGCCGAACACACAGGCGTCGTTTGCGCCGACAAAGATTGTGAAGAGGAGGGTTTGCGGTGCGTCTGGGGCTGTGGCGCGCCGTATTACGCGGGCAAAGTCGTCTTGTAGACTGGAGCTGGTGTAGCTGTTGCGTCGGTTAATACTGACGGTATTTGCCAGGACAATATTGTTTTCCTCAGTATATACCAACGTACCCTGCTCTGCCTGTAGCAATGGTTAGTATGGGTGAGTATGCGAAGAAGCCGCAGGCCGTTGGACACCACTGGGCTATACGCCAACAAAACTACGTCGCAATACCTTCATTGACAACCCTGGCCTTGCCGACATACTTGTCTGTCAGATACCATCCGAAGCCGTGCGTCTCCCGTGTGAAGCTCCACTCGGTCATGGAGGCGCCGAATAGTACAATCTCGGGTTGCTCTGCGGACAAGGCTGCCATGTCGGCGGCGGGCTCTTCAAAGCGCATTACCAAGTCGAGCCTTGGATATAGTCCAGCAGGGGTCGACAGAACAAGGAGGAATAGAAGGACTAGATCAAAAAGAGCTCGCACCCGACCCTACCTTCGTTCACAATGCCCACCTTGTACCGGTACTGCTGCTGGAGGAAGCGGCCAAAGCCCTGCGTAGCCTCGCTAAAGCCCCACTCGGTGAGCGAATCACCGAAGAGCACAAACTCGGGCATGTCTCACTGTAGTGTGTCGAACGGGTGGGGGAGGGAGGGAGGGGGAGGGGAAAGCGAAGGACGAGACAACCAGAAGAAGGAAAAGAAGCCGCCGCAGACGCTGAAAACGAAAGTAGAAAACGACGACGACGACGACGACCAAGTATAACGAGACCGACGAGGAGAGTAAGAAAGAAAGAAAAGAAAAGAAGATGGCGACCACAATGACGGAAAGGTAAGGAAGAAGGAGGAAAAAAGGGCGCGAGTGAGCCCTGCAAGTTAGCTACTATTTTTTTTCTCTTAATTTGTGGCTCTAAGTATTTTGTTGCTGCACAGAACCCAATCACCCCACAAGCTCAACACGCTTTGTCTCGTCAGTTCTATTTTTTTTTACGCCGGCTCCGAGCTGACATGGGCTGTTGGGTCTGCTGGGCGACGACAATGCGGAGAAATACAGGAGCGGAATAGTGACGGGGCCTGCGCAAACCCCGCTACGCTGATTGAGGCTTAGTCGGCCGAAACGTTAGTGCCCCCCACTAATGATGCATGTGGCGATGTGACGCTTGTTACCTGTTTTGGGGCGTATGGACGGGGCGTATGTCGCTGTCTCGCCGAGCATGCCAATGCTACGTAGTATGTGTATGTTGGAAGTCGAAGAATAGAGGGGGGGTCTGACGTGCTTTTTTACGAGGGGAATATGTACCCACTAGTCACACTAGCATTGTTCTGCTCAAGCTCGTTTGGGGGGGGGGGACTCGATAAGAGAGAGATGGATTGACTGATAGATGGACGCAATAGACATGGTCAGAATGATGTCAGCTCTAGTATTTTCGCTACGACTATGTAACACGGAACAGCTCACTCCAATTCATACGAATATTTGTAATTATTTAGAAACAAAAAAGATTTCTGGGTTCTCTCTCACATCAAACTGCATTTCCGTATACTCGAGCCAAAGAAAAAGAAAGCACAGCAATTGATATTTACAAACCATGTCGTTTCCCATCACCACCACCATTCTCAGGCACTCGACGCGCCTCCAAAAACGCCTCGTCCTACCTACCAGTACCACCACCACCGCTTCTCTCCATCCCTCCCACCAACAGCACCACCGCTTCACCACCAGCCCCCTCACCTCCTCCTCCAAAAACCTCATGGACACACCACAACCCGCCTCCAACATCGCGGACCCCCACCCCAATTCCAGCGCAGCACCCAACGCCAAAATGCGATCAGACACCCAGAACACGGACGCTCAATCGAGCGCCTCGAAAGATGAGATGAAGCAGGGCGATGAACATCCAGCCAAGCAACCGGATTTCCAGGCTCAGCCGGATAGAACGACGGGGATTGGCGGGAAGGAGGAAGTAAAGGGTGGGAAGGAGGGGTTGGGGGAGCGGACGTAGAGAGGAGTTGTGTGTTTAAAGGGGAGGGAAAGTGGGTAAATGAGGGGGAAAAAAATGGGAGCACATAACGATTCTTGCGTGCTCGACTCTGATTTGTCAAGGAGGGAACATATATGGATACTTGCACTATCAAAGAGTCTATTCCTCACCTAAAACCTTGCTTTGGAAAATAGCGGCTCCACGCCTCTGAAAAGGTAGCAGCCTTGCAACCTAGAAGTTGTATAAGTCTGGTGCCGCCGGTCTTGACCTCTTGGCTTTGAGACTGCTCTTAGCCTGCGACTACGAGGATAAAGGCTCGACACGGCGTCTTCGGCTGCGGTTTTGATGCTGCTGGGCTTGGGGTACATTCGGCGTAGCAACGGCCGCTGATGGTTAGGGTGCGTGTGTGGTGCCATAAAGTGGTTTGGAAGGGACTGCTTGTTGGTAGGGGTACATGGTGACGGTTGATGAGTCGCGTCTCTTCAGGCCTCGATTAAGGGAGGCAGAATGTTTCCGTATCCCGTATGTTCATAGTCGGTAGTCAGTAGTTTTGGGTTTTGGGGCACCGAGAGAGGGTCCTGGAGACGGCCCCATGTAGTGGCTTTCTCCCGCTGTCGTTCTCACATCTGAAGTTGCTCCGTCTCGGGATTCAGGGGTTCCAGGTGAAGATACCGTCAAGAACACTGCAGTCGTTGAAGAAGTTGGTACTGGGTTGTATATCTCAGAGAATCCAGGGGTGATGAGTACTCCAGGAAAATCTGACTTTGTTTCTCGACTAGTTGCATGGGTCGCTGCCGGTATCCTCGCTGCCAAAGGAATGCAGAACAGGCTTCTCTACGTTGCTATTTCAGTCCTTCATTCCCCGTACCTCAACATAGCTGCTGTATTTGAGAAAGTAGTCGGCGTAATGAAGAGCATCTTCCGATATTCCCGCGCCGTGTCGAGAGACCTGAAACCACGCAGCTCGTCCGAGTGGCCGAACAGAAACTTCGGGTGGCATTGGACCACCATGCAAACTGGTCTTTGTTCTGTTGGCAGTCCTACAATTTCAAATTTATGAGTAACGTTCATTACCATAGTTGAGTGCGAAGCCATGCAGATCAAGGCTCTTTGCACCCTTGATATTGTGGACGTTCTTCTCCTGAATACCGCGCATGTGGTAAGCAGCACTGAATAACTCAGCGTGCTAGCGAAGCTATACGAGGACCTCCTTCGGCTAGACATTCTGCGGGATAGTGCATGGTAGTATGTCAGTGTTCCCAAGGTATAGTTGGTGCTGCTGTCATGTTTCAAGGATGCCTCCACTTAAACGCTATTCGAAACCAAACGTCACGTGGCATGATGCGCGACGGGCCGCGGAGTGGACGGGTGTAACCTTGAGCCGACCACAAGCTAGCCACAGGCGTCATAGCCATTCCAGCTTACACGTCCATTGTGATCATCTTCTTCACCCAAGTTCCACTTTTATAACAGGGCTCAATGAAATAAATAACGGGGCCCAAGAGTTCGGGAGACAAGATCTTGGGCCATGGGCCTTAATTTGCCCCGTTTCGAGCAAGAGGGATGCCGCCATGGGCCGCGAGACAAGGCCTATCAATAGCTAGTTGAGTGCGTGCAGGAACGTTGGATGGAGCAGCATACGAGGCCGGCGAGCCTAGAGCCCAAAATGCGTAAGGCGGCCACTCTGGAAAGTACGTACTCTCTGGATAAATGAGTGGCTTACTCAATAAGTTCCCCACGGCCGTATCCCCGAACAACCGAGAGAAATAAGGACTTGCAGCCAAAGTTCTCACATCATCAATAAAGGCTGTGTAAGCCTCGTACGAAGTTTCGGTGCCAAGTCTTTTTTGTCCATAGGGGTATGGGGTTAGGTAGCAGAGGTACTATGGAATCCCACGTCTTGCACATCCAAGGAGGCGTCAATCTGTGAATGCATCCAGTGGTCCTGGCTCGCAGCTTATGGTTGTTGTTCCACGAAAAGAAAGCTCAACTCGAAGGACCCCCGCAGCATGTGGCTGCATAACGGTCGGTTGTGCAGGTATACGTACACTGACATATATTTCCAAGCTGTCAGGGGTGTCGTGCTGGACCGTTAAGACATAGCAAATATAGCACTGGAATACGCACTCCCGTAGCATCACGGCGTACGGAAATAGAAACTACACGGACAGGACGATTTGAGGGGTCGACATGTACTGACCAATTGGTCTTTGGTTGCTCATCCAGTATGCATCCCAGCGCGTTGGTTGGAGCGGGTTACGCGAAGTAAGCCCCTACTCAAGAATAAGGTTTGTGCATCTGCAAGTAGCAATACGGTGGAAGGCGACAAGATGGATACGGAACCTTCTGACTTTCCTCGGGTTATTGCATCTCGTCACAAGGTCGATGGATACGGAAGCTTGATCATGGGGGTAGAAGTAGCCAAGGCACGGATTGATTGTTCGGGCAAGAGCAAAGAAGAAGCGATAAGAGGAGAATTAGCAGGCGGAGTGACCTGCAGAATGCAGGCACGGGGTCCGGAGCTCAAGGCGTACCGTTCGCTCGGGATCGGCAGCTGGCGACGACCGTGTGGATGAAGCGGGCAGTGTTGCCGATGCATTAGGCGAAGCATTCACGGAACAGCGGAGGATGCGCCCATTTCCTTTGGCGTTTGGCATGTGCTTATCAAAGGTGGGACGGGTCTGCTAAGGGTCCAAGTTGGATATTGTCAGGCCAGGCGACATGAGAGACTGGGGTTCGCTCTGGCTTGGGTGTGGTGGTTGGCAGGAGAGTGGTGCTCCTGGGCAGAGATAACGCCGGGGGCTGACACATGTAATTGCACGACGAGTGGTGACAGACGGCGGCCCTGCGACGGCCGTGTGTCGAGTGTCCAGGGACCCGTGTTCCAAGATCCCAAGGGCTTGGAGATGAAAGGCGAGCACGAGTCTGGAATAGCCGAACTGGTGGAGGAGACGCGATCGTGGGAGCTGGTGGTGGTGGGGGGGGGGTTATCTGACTGAGGCGGCCGAGCAAAGGGGGGTGGGTGTGTTCAGACGTCGGCGGCAAAAGCAAGCCGGATCACGCCAGGCGGGATGCGGGTGAAGCGGCGTAAGTAGGGCAAAGGACATGTGTAGGATTTGTAGATGGAGGTAGCGCAGGGCCGAAGAGAGGCGGTATTGTTGCAGCGCGCCGTTTTTGTGGGTGGCTTGGTGGTGGTGGTGGTGGTGCAGGCTGCAGGCGCACGGGGCAGGCACGGCAGCCTTCTTTTGCCGCGGCTAGGCGCTGCACACCCACACCCACGACCGAGTATTAGCACGTATTAGCACCAGCACCAGCACCAGCAAAGCACCCGCACCCGCACCCGCACCAGCTCCACGGCACCCACTGCGGACGCCGCCAGAAGCTCTCGAATTTCTTTTGGCCGTCGATTGCGGCATCACCGGTCGACTCCGCGCATTGGCGCCGTCATGCCATTCGCCCTCGGTCGCCTTCTGGAAAGCGTGCCATGGCCGACTAATACTGGTCTTCTGCCTGTGCCTGTGCCTGTGCCTGTGCCTGTGCCTGCACCTGTGCCTGTCCCCTCATTTACATTCACCCACCCCGACCCCGACCCCACGCATATATCCGCCTGCATAAGCAGTGACATGCTCGCCGTCGCCATCGCCCGCCATCGCCCGCCCTCTACTTGATAGCCGTCGTCCCACCACCTTCGGATGCCGGCCGCCATAGCGCATCCATACTTTTCGACTGGTGCACATCGCATACGAAATGTCTGGGTGAGTAAGCTTGCAAAACTCGCCTCCGCCACCCCAAACCCGCCGCCCGCCTCGACACCACTGACAATGTCTTCAAGATCTATGCGCGAGGCGCTCAAGGCGCTCAATACCACCTTCTCTGCCACCACCGTTCCTTGCCCTCTCCCCGACGAGCTCTGCGCAACCATAGACGCTTTCCTCGAGCGCTACCATGACATTGACGACCACGACTCGCACCGCTTCCACGAAGACCTCCACGCCCTCTACCTCCGACATGTCGCCAACAGTCCCGAGAAGCGTGGCGCCTTCCTCTCTGCTCTGCGAATTCTGCGACCAGCCATCACTGGGGAAGCGCGCTTGACCGTCTGGTGGAACGCTGTCTTTAAGCCCACCATTGACGGCATAGGGTACAAAAAGGCCGAGATGGAGGATGCAAAGGCCTTTGTGCAGACCATACTAGTATACGACCCCGAGGCCGACAAGGACGGAGAGCAGGCGCGCCTGTCAACCCTCTTCACTACAAGGATACTCGACGCCTACCTCGCGAGAACCGCCGTGCCTTCTTCGCCCGACGACACCGTCTCCCCGCAGAATGAGTTTATCGCGCACGAGCTTGAGGCAGTCCTGGTGGCTTTTGGGCGCAAGATGCCAAAGGTAGGCACACTATGCCTCGGTGCATAGCGCACGCTGACTGGCCTAGATGTTCCTCCTCAGACTCGACAGTCTCTTTGTACAGAAACAATACCGTATCCAGGCACTCAACCTACTCAGCGCATTCGTTCGCCTGCAACCGCCGCACCTGCACCTGGCGCTCGAGACCCCGCTCATCCAGCACTTGGAGAAATGCCTGCTTGTCGACAACTCGTCCACCGTCGTAGAGCTTGCCCTCGTCGTTCTCATCATGTTCTTACCCCACATTTGCGGAGCCTTGACCTCGGACCACCATCTGGCAAAGTTGTTTCTCGTATATTGCAGAATACTGTGCTGGGACAAGCTAGGGAGTGGCGACAACAAGGAAGGCGACATGGACGCCCAAGGTAACGACAGCGAAGACGATGAGGAGGAGCAGGAAGACGTGGAACAAGCATGGGAACAGGTGCAGCCGTCAGTCGACTACCCGGAATCATCACCGCCCACGCTCATGCACTACTTCACCTTTCTCTACGGTCTCTTCCCCCTCAACTTCATGAGCTTTGTGCGCAAGCCCAGAAAGTACCTCAAGTCACTCAACTTCCCCGGTGCGCACGACTTCGACCTGGACCAAGACCTCATCCACACTCGCACAGAACCCTATCGCCAAGTTCACCTGCTGCACCCAAACATATTCACTACAACTGTCGAGGATGAGCTCAGTGAAAATAAATGGCTAAAGAGCGACCCTGCAGACGTTGTCATCGAGTGCATGAGTCTCTGCGTAGCTGTATCTTCGACATTGAAAGACCCCGGCCCGCCACCCAGCGCAGCGTTACCGCCTGTCCCAGATGTTCCTACCCACTTCACTCTGGACGACCAGGATGGAATAACAGTCCACGGCTCAGATGAGAGTAGGCGAAACACGCAGTCGACATTCAATGTCCCTTCGAGTGATATTCCAGACATCCCTGACCACTCTGATATTTCTCCCCTGGCCAAGTCCGTCAAGTCTGCCGTTTCTCTCAAATCCATGGCCTCTCCCCTGCTAAAAGGCCGCGACATAATGGATTCTCCGACACTGCCACCCGCCAAAGACACTCCCAAGCCTGAATTGACTAGCTCATCAGCAACTGCTGCCCATCGCTTTACACCAGAACAACCCACCCTGGACAATTTCGCGCAGTCTGTATCTGGGCAGACACAGACTAGCAAGAATGAATTCCAAAACCATACCATGGCTTCTCTTCAAAGAGAGATTATGCTGCTTCGGAACGACCTCAATTTTGAACGCTACCTGAAACTGCAGCACCTTACGCACATCGGACAACTCCAGCGCAAGCACATCAAGGAGGCGACGGCAGAAGCCGAGACGCAGAACCTCATCAACACTAACAAGACTCTGAAAGCCCGACTTGCGAAGGCGAACGAGCAGTACGCGCAGTTGAAGAAAGAAACCCTGACGAGCCGAAGTCAATCGAAGAAGTGGGAGGGCGAACTCAATGCAAAAGTGCGTTCGTACAAGGAGAGCGAAAAGACATGGCACAGCGATGAAGGTGGTCTGCGGTTCGAGTTGCAAAAGACACAAGCAGATTACGAGCAGCTCAAGAAGATTGTAGAGAGAGCTGAAGCAGAGCAGCTGAAGGCGCAGCAGCGGATAAAGGCGCTCGAGTACGAACTTGAAGACTACAGCGAGGTCCGGCGTGAACTCGAAATGGACCAAGAGAAGATCTTTGCGTTTGAAGATCAGAAGAAAGAGCTGCATCTCTTCATGCAAGAGCGGAATGACTTGCGCAACGATCTCGAGATTGCCAATATGCGGCTGAATAGTCGAGAGCAAGAACGCGAGCGGTCCATCAAGGCTTATGAACGTCGTATCATGGAGCTGGAGGCGCGGTTACAATCACCTGACAGGCTTGCTACTAAACCAGGGCAACTTCCGCCTTCGGTTCAGCAGATGCTCGACTCGGCACTGGCAGCAAGCAATGCTAAACTTCAGCAACTGAAGAAGACTCACTACCGCCTTTTGGAGCAATACACGGAGCTTCAGATGAAGTACCACGAGCTTGAGGGAGAGCAGCAAGCCACCATGGCACAGCTGTACCCTCCAGACAAACCCAATCAATTTGATTTTGGCACATCGCAATTTAGTCGAAACCCAAGCGTTCGGCATGGAAACAACTACAGTCCAAGGTATTTGCCGCCTCTCTCGACAGACGGCGCATCTGGCGAAGAGCAGGAATACTATCCCCACTACCTCTCTCCGGACTCTGTACAAAGCCCCGGATCGGCTTCAGGTCATCCAACGAGAGTCGAATCCCTACAGCATGGAAAACCACAACGTTCCCAAACAGCCCCATCGCCTTACCCTGGCTTCGGCGGTGGTCATGGACCCGAGTATGCTGGCGTGCATGAGTCGTCGCCCATGAGTCAGCTCCAATCGCAGCCGCCTCACTCGAGTGGAAAAAGCAGCTTCTCCGCGGACACGGATGGCAGCTCGACAAGAGAAAAGAAAGATAAGGTGGAGGCAAAGTCGGAGGTTCGGATCTATGGCCGAGGTGAGTCGTCAGCATTCAGTATGACAAGACAGGAGGTTGACGGAAAAGCAGGTGGCGCGCAGAACATTGGGAAGAAGGTCAAAGACAAGGATCCCAAGAAGGCCGCTCCCTCCAAGACTGGGGGCTTTCGCGGACTGAAGGGTATCATGTGATGCCATTGGTCTGTATGCTTGTTTCATCACTCGATGAGATATGTGGAAGTTGCATCGATCCTTTTGGACGATCACTCGCTAGGGGCGCGACGCTCCGGACACACTCGGTTATCCGCATCCTCTGCTGGGGCTCAGGAGGATTGCATGCGTCTCAGACTTCGTGTTGTCATTACCATGTTTTGTTCAGCATCATTCTTTGGACGGCTCTTTCTTTTGTTTTGTATACCCACACGTGCATAGTGCATGTCACGACACCGCATGGCGACGAGGCTGCGTCGACGTGCGTACGACTTTCTGCATCCAAGGCGCCCTGTAATCACACAACATTTCACCTTCAACATTCGATTGGCCAATCCATCTGCTGGCCTCTATGTACAATGTAATCATGCGACTAGAGTTCTACTGCCCCAGTCGTGGGCGTTGCGCCCCTCAACAAAACACCTTCATGTATCAGCATTACGTTGTTTGCTCAGCATCACAATCTAACTTTAGCAATTGGCGCACTCGGCACTTCGCCGCAGGCCACCGTTTTTTTTTCTCCTCGCTCCACGGAGACTTGCGAGTTGAGCCGGCCCTCCATTGGCCATACACACGTCCAACCATCACATCCTCGACTTACCAATCAGACGCGATAGCAACAAACGTTCGCAAGCGCTCCTTGGAGCACTGCACCACTCATGTGCATGCATCCCATACGCATATGCAGCTTCCAAGACCACAGATCGCCAGGCCCATGACATACCACTACTGCTACTACCACTACTGCAGTTAACACCGAGTATGGTCAAGTCTCGTCCATTTGGGATGCGCGCTTTATTGCTTTTTTTCTCCTCGCTTTCTGCTTTCTTTGTTGCTCCCTGTTCCCCCTCGCTTCAGCACTTCAGTGGAGCCGTCGCCAAAAAACATACATACATGGTGCTATTGGATCTGCCCGCACCAACACTGGCACTAACGCGCCCGGCTAACGGCTGCTGGTAGCTGGGGGTAGCTTTCTCACTCTTCCCACGTGTGGGTGCCCCGAGGGAAAGGTCACTGCGCCGACGCTGACGCCGACGCCGGGTTAGCATCACTGGTGCTGGTACCTTGATGCCCCCGTCCGCCCTCGCCCTCCCCTATCTCCTGAGCTTTTCGGGGGCAGGGGGGGCGGGCAAGTAGCGTGGGCAGGCAAGCGTGGGGGTGAAGCGTGGACGTGAATACTGCATATCTCTCGTCTTAATTTCGGTCTGTCCTTTTCACAATTCAGCATCGATTCATGTCAGCAGAGAAGAAGAAAAAAATCATACCCTTTTCACGCGAGACGAGAGAGGGATAAGATGCGAGAGGGGGGGGGAAGGGGAAGAGGAATCAATGACAAGCACAGGCGGCCCCGTGCTGCCGTCAGCGACAAATCTCGTCTTTCCGCCGCCGCCGCCGCCTCCCCCCAGGCTGGGGAAAAGCAATGCTCAAATGTGCATACATGACACCATGGCGTTTGGCCCACTTTGGACTGACAGACGAGCCCCGCTCGTGCTCGCCTCGCGCTCGCTCTCGGTCTTCCACTTTCTGTGTAGCCTGGATATATGTATGTAGGCGATCAACCGAAAACCGAGGCGGGGAGCGGGGAGGGCAAGGGGGATCCAAGCATCACATCACATCGCATCGCATCGCATCAGCCATGTTTCGCCATCTACATACACCTTGTGTAACCGACGTTGGATAAAGGCGTCTGGCCCCGCATACATGGCTACGCGAAGGAGGGGCTGCTACACAACCCATACGCTTAACCATATTATGTTATGTTATGTAGTCGAGCTCAGACCCGGCAGGCAGCGAACGGTCAAAGTAGTGTTGTGCTTGTGTTTTGAGCTAAACTTGGAAACTGTGTAGTGGCAGTGATAGTGTGCAAAAAGGAAAGAATTTTTTTTAAAAAAAAGGGAAAGGAAAAGGGAAAGGAAAAGGAAAAATAAATAGGAAAAGAGATGTCGTTTACGCGAACCAACGAACCTACCAACGAACCAACGCTCAAGTGTAAGAGAAGTAAAGAAGAAGAAAAAAAGAAAGGGCGAGAGATGCCAGTAGAACTAAGAGTGGAGGAACAAGGTTTCCGGGGAGCAGCAATATGTCAGAGAGAGAGAGAGAGAGAGAGCAAGCCTGAAAGTGAAGATGAGAAGGAGATACGTAATTGGTTCAGGTTCTGTAGCCGAGTCTCGGAGTAGGATAAGCGGACGAATGAGCTTGTGGTGCTGGGGTTTATGTCTATGCGTGTGTGTGTGTAAGAGAGAGAGAGAGGGAATAGGGATATGCGTGTGATATCAACATCCAGTTTACGTTTAAAGCGTTACATTTACATTTACATTCATGTACACATGTGAATGTGCTACAGATTAGACACAGGAATCACAGCACTGGAGTTGAGTGTCGTATGATATCATACATGTACTTATGGGGATTTTTTTTGGCTACGAGAGTGCCGAACAGATGGTGTGTGCAGAAAAGAACATGGTCAAGGACATAGACTTCCGTACTTCCACACTACATATATATACGAGACCAGTAGTCCGCCTCGTTGGAGCCCATTATATTATACGTACTGCCGTTGCCTGTAAAATGGCGTTGTTTCTTTCTTCGCCGGATCGCTGTTGCAATCAACTATATATGTGCACCATAGGCGTTTTGGAGTGCTTTGACGTCTTGTTGGCTGTATTTGGCTCGTACTAACGCCCTATTTACGACATCGTCGCCTTCATCTGCTGGGATGGTTGGAGGTCGCAGGCCAGTCCGTCCTCTGCGCTTTTGCTGCCAGAAGATTCTCGCTTCCTTTTCCTTTGCAAGTTCGTCTGCTTGCTTTTTTGCCGCCTCATTCCACGCTGCCTCTTTTACATTCATCTCCAGCGCAGTCGCTTGGCATCGTGCGAGCGTCTTCCTTTGTCTGGTGGTTTTGGTTTTCAGGGTCTTGATCTCGGCGTGGAGTTTCTTTTTTTCTTCTTCGAGGGCAATGCAATTGAGTCTGAACTCTTCTGTCTTGTGCTCTTGCTCGAGCAGCATGGCCTTCCAATCTATGTTCTCTTCCTTTTGCTTCGCAACCTCGACTGTGCTGGTCGCTTCTGCTGAGAGACGTCGCTGCTTGACGTATTTGTCTTTCCATTTCTTGCGCTGATCGAGTAATTTCTGGTGTTTAGTTTTCTCGCGACTGAGTTGGGCCTCGGTAGTATTGATCTTGGTGTCGCGTTCTTGGAGTTCAGCCGTTAGGTCTCGTACTCTTTGCTCTAACTCGGCGTGTTCTTCGAGATACTGCTACAGTCGAGTCAGCCACATGTCAACTGTACCGACTTACTGATACCACAAAGGGACCGGAGTAAAGGGATGCTTACTGCCAGAAATGCGCGCTTGTTGATTGCTAAGGTGGAACGTCAGCTAACCAGTCAGAAGTGGATGGCGATTTGCTTACTTTGATACGACAGTTCTGAGGCGTCATCCGTCGAGTCGATAAATGCACGCTTTTTTGGGATCACGGCAATCGATCTGCTTTGGGATACCGCATTCTCACTGGTCGTCTTATGAGTTATCTGTAGATTCGTTTTGTTCTGAACAAGGCTTCCCTCTTCCGCTGACGTAGAAGGTTGGTTGTCTAGAATCAATTTGACATTTCCACGTGTCTCCAGGTAGTGGGCAAAGGTCGTAAGAGCGGACTCGAAATTGCCCAGCAGATGTGGATTATCAACGTCCAAGGAGCGATGCACTCTACCACTTGCAAGGAAGATGAAGTGGATGACAGCCTCCACCCTGGCACGGTCGAGTTTTCGTTGCTGGGCCATAGCATGCGCAGAAAGAGTCTCGTTGTCTGTACATCCCATGTAGCTGAACGGAGGGTCATAGTAGATCTTGGATGAATGGATATCCAGGAGAGGCGTGACTTCGACACCAGTTCCCGAATAATAACGTATGATTTGAGCTGTCGCATGGGCCCAGACTGGAGGGCCGTTACGTTTGCGCCAGGAATGACCCACTAGAACCATTTGGCAGCGCTTTGTACGTTTCTTCTTGTCCACATACATCTTCTCCACAAACTCATAATGGCCAATGTCGGCAACGCGGGCGAAAGTGGTCGCAAGTTTCCCAGTGGAAAACTTTTGAAAGTCGCTGAGGACATACTTCTTGCGGGGGACCATGATGTAGAGCTTGTCTGTTCACCTGTATCACATTAGCAACAGTTAGTAGCGAAATCAAATTTGGTGTTGCAGAAGTGGTGCAGAGAGTTTGAGCGTGAAAGGTATGGTGGACGTGCCAAGTGAACACTAGTGCAGTAGAAGTGAAGTGAAGTGAAGTGAACATGATGTGTTTGTATGCGAATGGAAATGAATGAGGAGGGAGTGTGCAATATATGATCCGTTAGCCAAGACAGCAGCGAATCATGGCGCTCGACACAGAAACAGAAGGCATCTGCTCTGATGAATATAGAAGAGCATTTGTAAGTTCAGATATTCGATTCTGGTGAGCACTCAATGTCTAGACCACAAGAGGTCTACGCATTGTATACAACCTTGCTAACCTTGTACTCGACCGTGAGTCCCTGTTTTCCTGGTATCTCTTTAATGAAATGTCCAGCAGCAACATACACCCCATTCTGCAGCGCAGCATAAGCTGGGTTGCCAGTCTCAAACGAAAAGTTGGTAAACACATCTCCAAAGTCAGTCGTTGTCGCATCCGGACTGTGAGCCAACAATGCCGCAACACCTGGGGTAACCTTGACGTGGCCCTTGTAATACATTGCCAAAAGAGTTCCGTCGTGGTTCCTTTGACACGATTCATTAGCTGCCATCTCTCTTGTAACAAGGATACGCAGAGACTAACTTGAGCTGACTTCTCACATCCAGCCTCATGTTCGCACCATCAGCGTCGTTGTGAATGTAATCATATCCAACTCCATGCAGCTCGGCGTCAAGTTTCGGCTCAAAGCCTGGCTCGCTCTTCACGGTGCCGCTCGTCATGGGTATAATGGCCAGTTGGGAGCCCGTCTGAGTACCGACCTGCATTGGTAGGTCGATTGCGACCTGGACCGTAAAGGCAGGTTGGAGAGAGGGAAAGCCGGACATTTCGGGGAGGTAATTGAGAGGATTTCGCAAGACAACAGAATAGATTGGACTAGCAGTAAAGGATGAGAAGGAGGAAGAGGGAAGAAGGAAGAGCGGTATCCAATGCCGGGTACTCGTAAGCTTGTGTATCAAGACGGGAGCTACCCCTCCAGCCCCACCTGACACCAAATGGAGCATCCTTTACATGTCTCTTTCCGTGCTGACGATGACATCAGATCCGAGGCTCTTAGCCAATAGCCGACATGACCTCCAGACACGCAATTGTAAGCCTCACAATTGCGCGCGCGTCTTTCCTAGAAGCCGCTCATCCTCCCCTTTTTCTTCTTCTTCTTGTCCAACCTTCCTCCGAACTTACCCGGTTCAGCTTGACTCTGTGGTACTGCAAACACCCCGCTAGATATTGGGACCTGGCTTTGGCTCTGGATAGGTACCTGGCTGCTGCCCATGCCACCCAACATAGGCCCAGGAGAGCTTCTTGCAAAGATTGCTGCTTGGCTTGCAGCCTTGACTCTTGCCAACTCATCTTCACGTTGCTGACGCTTTTCTCTGCGTTCCTTCCTCCTACGCTCTTTTTCACGTTGCCGTTGACTTTCTTCATCCATATTCTCGGGTTGAAGGGCGCGTTCTGTAGTTGCCCAGTCGTAGTTTCTCGGATTACCTCCAATTTGCCAATGTCCGAGGACCTGAGATGCATTCGCACGGATACTCCCTGGATTGCTAGGAGAGTTCCTGTTACGCAGATGCTTTCCTAGCCGTACCAGAGGGTCTGACGGGGCACTCTGGATCAAGGGCGCACCAGACGGCCATGATTCCGGCAACGACGAGGGCACAGATGAGTGTGGTGGTGGTGGCAGAGTTTGAGAGAAGACAGAATCTGGCACGGAATAGAAATCGCCATCCCTAGGCCGTGATGGCAAGATGGGTAACGCCATGCTCCTGTCCTGGCTTGAGCTAAAATGTGAGCCAGGGATTGGTTCATCCGGCTCATGCTCGCGTACACGTGTGCTAGAGAACATCACTTCTGCAGCAATTCGGCGAGCTAGACGCTCCTTGGCTTGCCGGACGCGACTAGACACCCCGGGCGGGAGAGATGCGACCCACGTTTGCAAGATTGTGTCGTAAACATCGGAAATGGTAGGGTCGCCATCTTCGGTCAAGTTAAGTGTGCGTGCTGATGCGATACGCTCAACGTACAAAGCGTTCTCTTCGTTCTCGGACAACAGATGTTGTAAGTTGGATGAAGCATCGTCAACGTCTGGAACGTCGAGCTTCAATCCCGCGTACTCCATCAACGTACCGATTGGCAAAGATACAGAGTTGGGCTCGTCAGTGAGCATTTGCTTCAACTCGTCTGTAACCGTTGCGACATCGATAGAGCTTGGTGCATCGCCCATGGCGTTTTCCGGGCGTCGGAGGGCCTCGTACAGGAGTTCGTTATTCCGTGTTTCGTGTGCAGAAGCGCAGACTGCACTCTCACCCCGTTTGAAGATCTTTGGAGGGTTCTTGGGCCTCAGTAGTTCGACAACGGTCAGGCCATCTGGAGCTACAAAATCGTCTTCCTTGTTGACCACTTCCGTCTTGGAGATGCCGACCCTGGGGCGTCGTATCATGCTCCGCGTAAAGTCTTCCACAGCTTGAAAAGAATCGGGCGATTCCTGGGCCAAGGACTTCCCCGTATAGATGACGAGCTCGTGGATACTAGAGCTAGACAGCGTTACAAACAAACGGAAGAAATCAAGGTCTATCCTGATACCCCCTTGTTGCATAGGCTCCATGTGCAAGCTGGTGATTTGGCCTGGCTCGTTAACGGTCAGGTCTAATATGCCAGGGTCAGAGCATGCCACTGCAGAAGCACTCGAGACATGGTCGCTAAAGGTGAATAGCTGGATGAGGTTGTTCGTTTGCGAATAGAGTGCCAGACACGAGTCTGTTGATATTAGCACAGGTTACTATTGACATATCTATTCGCAACTTACCGTCATCTGACAAGATCTGTACGCCCACCTGGAGGGTGAAGTCTTCTGCACTTCGATAGTGTCTCCATGAAGCCAGGATTGTCGCTCCTGCGCCATCGACACCAGCATCATCTTTGCCCAAACTCGTGACGAGCATTAGAATGAGACGAGTAGAAGTCAAAACAAATACTCGGCTCGCGTGTTTTGGGTGCTGCTTGACGTCCAGGAACCATTCTGCGGATCGCTCGCTGAAAAATTCTGGGCAAGAGAGATACTTGGGGCTGCCTCCTTTGATACTGACGATGCTCAAATGACGCCTGTTGCAGACCAACAGAGTGGTAACGTCGGCCACCCAGAGTATTCGCGCCCATCCATCTTCGCCAGCCATGTCTTCAGTTTCTACACTGCTGACATGTCCACTAACCAGACACGAAGGGGTGTATACATCTCCCTTGCGCGAATGGTCAATCTCCCATACGCTCCACATAGGAGCCTGATCAACGAGGGCAAACTGTAGTTGGAAGCCCGGGTTGAATGCCACGTCGGAATGAGGAAAACCACCAGTTCTTTCATTTTCTATACTGAAAATAGGGTGCGCATCCACCGCCGATGGAGGGAGGTCGTAGAAAGGCGAAGACGCAGCCGCGTGGGCCTGGCGAAAGCACATGGGGTGGAAGAAGACTGTACGTGTCGGAAGTCGCACGGCGAGTAAAGAGCTCCTATCCTCCGACTGAGAGAAACAGACTTGTTGTATAGGGGCAGCATCCTCGTTCCAGTACCCACTCTCTGCCTCGCGCAGAGTCGAGCCGTCTATCCATGTCTTCCTGGCCATACCCCAACCAAGTCTTTCTTTGTTCAATATCGCCAGTTTCAATATGTTCCCCGCTTCTCCCACAGGAAGCGCAGCGACTTGACGTGCGTTTTCATGCCTGCCCTCGAGCGTGATGGACCCAAAGGAGAGCAGGTTGCCAATGAGTGGGTCGTAGACCGAGGTAGTCGCAGAAACCGCAGCAGATACGAGAGCTCGCTCAGGTATAAGCTCAGCAGCAGCAGCAAGCTGGGGTTGGTCTTGTATTCGGTTCCTGACTTCGTCCTGTGTACTTGTACTGTTCAACGGCGTTGTTGGATGAGGAAGTTGAGCCGGCGCTGTCGCAAGTGTATCCGCATGGTTTATTCCATCCAAGGTCCGGATCTGCCTGAAGCTCCTGGTTGTGTATTGCCTTGCAAAGGCCCATTCGCCAGTCTCCAAATCATAGCTGGTAGCGCCAGGATAGCCGTAGTTCAGATCTCTGAGCGATCTGTCAGCCATTGGGCCGTCGTAAAGGGTCTCGTTCGGTCGCAGTTGGGCAAGACAGAATCATACTTCGGACGTGGTGGTCTAACGGCGAAGTCGAGGTCGAATATCCGGCAGACGCGGTGAAGCAGCAGACGCGACAGTGAAGGAAAACCGCGGCGGGGACAAAAAGTTCCCACTAGCGCTGCAGGGCACGTCGGCACGTGCACGTGCATGCGCCCCGCAGATGTCGTTTTTGCTTGGCGCCCGTGTCTTGTTTACCCGGCAACCGTGCCAAACACCATCATCGCCTTCTCCAGCCCTATCGCACCACGCCGCATACAGCCACGTCGCGAGAGTTCCGAAAGACACTCAGCAATCGCTCGCGAAACAGATTCCAATATGACGACCTTTGAACCTTCCCTCAGCACTACCATGCGCGCGTCGTCGCACGATGCGCCGTCCATGGCGGACCAGCTGCCCTCGATCAACTTCGGCTTCGACGACTTGCGCAGCCGCATGAACCAGTTCACAACGAGATTCGACGCATTTATCGAGAATGGGCGCCGGCGAGTGCTGGAAGAGCGCAATCAGTTCCGCATGAACGTCGCAGAACTCCACGGTCAGCATCCCGCTTCTCCTGTATTATCGGAGAGTTTTTTTGTCTTGTATCGTGCATGTGCTAACGACCACGCAGAGGACCAACGCATGAAGAAGCGCGATATTGAAATCCTTGAGCTCAAGACAGCACAGCACAGCCAGACGCTTTCCAAGGAGGCCCAGGAAACGACAGAGATGCAGGAAGCCATTGCGACGCTTACCCTGCAACGAGACGAGCGCCTCGCCCACCGCGACAATCTCCGGTCTCAAATCGCAGAGCTACAAAAGACAATTTCTGCACGCAGAGAAGCACAGCTCAAGCACCGCCGGTATCTCGATGGCCAGAGCCGCTACAATGAGCCAGAGCTGGACTTCTGGGAGAGCTATCTCGGCCTGAGGATTGAGGGGCTAGGAAAGGATGACAGACTCAAGTTTGTCTACACCAACGTTGACGAGAGGGAGTGGGATCGCGAGGCGTGGTTTGAACTGGACACTAGCGAGCGCGACTACAAGGTGCTAGAAGTGAGGCCCAAGGTCGAGCGCGAGGAGGTTGAAAGGGTAGTGGAGCGATTGAACGAGACGCGCGACCTAGCAGGCTTCCTAAAGGGCATGCGAGAATTATTCGTGGAAGCTTGCAAGTAGACCTCTACTTCCCGCACAACACGAATCACGACATTGGATTACAGACGGCGTTTGGACATGTAGGGTTGGGTATTTTCGTCTTTTGGTGTAGTTTTGATAAATACCCCTGAATTCACTTCTTCTTCATGCTGTGTCAACTCCAACTATCTGCCTCCATTTTTGATCTTGTAATACTCGGGCGCGTACTCGGTCAACCAGTCCATGTCCACCTTGCTCAGATCGCGAATGTAGATTTTGTCTCGTGTAGACTGTATCTCGGTGTAGATGACCCAGTCTGCCTTTCTCGTGAAAAACACAGAGGACGGGTGCGCCCAGAGCGTCGTCTTCCCATCAACTGTGGTAAAACTGCCGCCTGCCTTCATTCTCGCTGCGTGTGCGAAGAAGCCAGAGGTAAGACAGCGCCTTACTCGTTCAGCCATTGGAATACCGCCCACCCTCAGCACGCCGGATGATGCGAGCACGTTTTCCTTGACGCCGAAACGGTCCAGGTAAGCTGCTAGTTGTTTGCGCACACTCACTGCCTTGACAAGTGCCTTGTGGTTTAGGTTGTTGGAATGGCACCACGACGTATTACCCATTCCTGATTTCATAAAAGCCTCATACACATTGTACAATGTGAGGTGATCACCCTCCTCGACTGCAAATCGTCGTCTCGCCGCATCCAACTGCTTCTTGCCTCCGTCATGGGATACAAATGTATTTCCCTGAAGCGTCATCATAGCTGCTATTGTTAACATTTCACTCAGGCACCCAAACTCAGGTTCCGCGGCCTTGAGCAGAGCACGGGCAAGCATCGGCTCGAGGGGAAGCTCTGCCATGCGCGTGCCCAGGGGTTTTGTCAGGCGCGCGTGGGCGTCCAGGGCGCCGAGGGAATACAGAAGATCGAGAGCACGTGTCACGAGTGCGGAGGGTGGTGGAGAGAGGTAGTCGAAGCGGACCACGTTTGTAATGCCGAGGTTTAGAAGTTGGAGGATGACTGGCGCCAGGTTTGAGCGGGCGAGCTCGGGGAATGTGGCCTCCTCCAACCCCTCATACACGGCTTCGGTGTATAGCCTGAAGCATTTTCCAGGCCTGGTTCGTCCCGCGCGTCCGGCTCTTTGTGTCGCGCTGGCTTTTGATACAGGAACGACGGCGAGGTTTTCAATGCCCAGGTGCGCATTGTAGGCGCGGAGTTTGACATAGCCCGTGTCTACCACAAAAACGATACCGTCAATCGTCAAGGAGGCTTCCGCAATGTTGGTACTAAAGACCACTCTTCGTGTATCTGGTGGTGGCTTGGTGAAGATGAGGTTTTGGTCCTCTGTGGGAAGACCGGCATAGAGTGGAAGAGGCATGAGCCTTTGTTGCGACGACGACATCTCAGCAATATGGTCTCCAAGTTTGTCGATTGCGTCATCTATTTCCTCTCTTCCGGTCAGGAACACAAGAATATCGCCCTCGTTTTCGTGCTCGTGGATCTTCATGACTGTATCCACGGCGGCCTCGACGTAATTGTTGGTTGGTTCTTGGAGATACTGGATTTCGACCGGATACGTTCGCCCTTCAATACCAATAATGTAGCCAAACTCTTCCTTGCTCTTGCCGTGGACCTTTTCTTGTTCATCAGGATTGAAAAAGTCAAGAAATCGCTCGGCTTCTAAGGTTGCACTGCTCACAACCACTCTCAAGTCTTCTCTTTTTCTCAACACTTTCTTCAGCACGCTCAGCAGTATATCCGACGATAGGCTGCGTTCGTGTGCTTCATCTACCATGATAACAGAATAGCGTGAAAGCAGTGGATCGACGAGCATTTCGCGTAGCAGTAGCCCGTCTGTAACGAACTTGATTTGCGTCGCTGCCGAGGTAACATCTTCAAACCGAATACTGTATCCAACCTTCTGACCCAGTGGCGTGCCCAGCTCTTCTGCTACTCTTGCTGCGACGCTCGTGCATGCTATCCTCCGGGGCTGTGTGATTGCTATCTGTTGGCCACCATTGCACCAGCCTGCTTCGAGCAAGAATTTTGGTATTTGTGTTGTTTTGCCTATAATCACGTCAGCAAGAAAAAATCAGAAAAATCGATGATTGGCCTACCACTTCCCGTCTCACCCACGACAATAGTCACGGGATATGTCTCTATGGTGTAGAGCAACTGGTCTTTGAGTTGCGCAATTGGCAGCAAGGCGGGTGGCTTGTAGAGACTTGGTATCAAGGCGGTCTCGACATCTTCATCGTCAGCCATGATAGACTAGTTCAGGGCGAGAATTTGAAAAAGGTACTGGGATGTTTAGGTGACGAGACATGGAATGGTTGCTGATGGACAGTAGAAAGCGCGCTAGTGGGTGCTGAGCTTGTTGTGTTTGGGTGCTACAGAGGTGGCTTTCAAAAGTTCTTGCTAAGGCGCGGATCCATCGGACCGAATTCTCGTGATAACGTTTCCATTATTTACTTAGCGTGCAAGAAATAATGCCTAATATAGTTAGTGTACTACTGTAAGTGTATACTTTAGTAGCTACTATTCTCTCCAAACTTCCATTTTAAGGGCTTTTAGTTGCGAATATAGTATAATTCTTAGTCTTCGGCTATATTTTCGGTGGTACCCAAGGAACCCCTGTCAGCAAGAACTTTTGAAAGCCACCTCTGTAGTGTCTTCCGCTTTTGGACTACAGCATCCAACCAGATGCGGGATTATGATGTATGCCAAATACAGGAATCAACATATGGAGTTGAGAACCGGGTATTCTAAATCTCTTTCACGTCCTAGTAAGCTGTGATAAATCGTCAAACTCTTCGGGTAAAGAGCATTTTCAACATTGATACACCGAACACTGCGCCTCAAAAACAAGGACTTCTTATAATCAGATGATAATAGATATGGTCTTCTCTGGGTCCTGTCCGAAGGTATCTAAATATTTAAAAGTTTACAAGATGATTTGTATACTCAAATGATATGTTTACAGGAGACTCGATCTTCGCAAGTGTATAGCATTTTGACATATAGATAGAGTGACCTTGTAGCAATGAAGTCAAGTGCTGAGAAACCACATACCTGCATTCTTTTGTTGAACATTCGTTACTGGGTCTTTTTTCTATTACAAGCTCAACTGCAATGTTAAAGACTCGCTCACTCTCAGGAAACATCTGGGATAATTGTCAACTTTGGTGAATTCAGTCCTGTTCTTACCTAAGCCTGCGTATCGGCAGCACTCCGACGTAAATATGCAAATGCGACGCAAAACGGAGTCTTTTAGCATAGTTACGTGAGACAGACTAACAACCACGCTTCTTGAAGATTCTATACTTTGACATTATATACACATGTACAATCGTGTTTGGACATCGTTACCTCGTTCTTCATAGTCTCTTTTTATGCCGGCACATTCACAGATACTTCGTCAACGCCAAACGTGCGTCTCAGTAAGCGCGTGAGCTCATCAATTCCGCCTGTATTTATCGGGGATGTTCTTCTCCACAATACCCCTAAGCTCCAGCCTCTCCCACTCTTCCTGCGCAGCCTCCTTCTGCTCGTGCATCTTGAAATGCTCAATGTCCTCGGGGTGGTTGAGATCCTCTTCCTTGACGTCGTCTCCACTGTGGTACTTTTCCCAGTGGTGGATCTCATACTCGTACTCGTCGTCGCCGTGGTGTCCAGGGCCCATGCCAAAGTCGGGTAACTTGACGCCCTCGGTGTCTTTCTGTAGGAATTCTTCCAGCGTGATCGCTCCGTCTTTGTTCATGTCGAACATTTTGAGAACGGTATCGACAACCATTTGTTTCTTTGTGTCGGAAATCTGAGTAGAAGTGGGCGGGTTTTCGAGGCCGTAGGTGCGTCGAATGTCCATAGCAGTCCAAAGACCGGTACCGTCGTAGTCGTGTAGAGTGAAGAAGAAGCTAGCGTCGAAGCCAGATATGTGATGCTCCTCTATTATGTGTTAGCTGCGTAGATCATGGCTGTTTATTTTAAAATCCAAGGATCACAAGTTCATACCAGCCATATGTCGCGTCGCCCAGTCAGCGTCTGGCGGGACCTCGACTTGCGCATGCTCATGACTGCCATGGGCGGAGGCATTGAGCGCGCATGCCAGCAGCAAGAGCGCACTAGAGGAGACCCGAATCATGCGATTCATTTCTTCAAATTTGAGACGCGTGAAAAGGGAGAAGGAAGAGTTTAGGTGGCTTGGTGGTTTGTTGATACTAGAACAGGGGCTCCGGCAACCAGAGAGCCAATCGCCGACACTATGTCATAAGGGTCTGGAACCATGCCATGTACACATGCTAGCCTCTTTCTCACATCAACACCACCACCCGCCACCATGAGCGTGCTAGTCCTCTTGACTCTACTGCTCTTCATCCCATTTCTCTTTTTTCTCGCCTTTCTGGCCGCATCGTCGTGCATGGGTGATGGCTTCCGTGCCAGATTCGCCGGCGTCACACTAAATCCTCGCAACGCATCTTTCGGCCGCACCTACACACGAGGATTCGGGTCTGGGGCTGGCAGTGCAGGGTGGGAGCAGATCGAAATGGAGGACATGCTTGGGGAGGACAGCGATTCGGAATGAATAAGGAGGTACATGGGTCGATCAAGTATACGCCATGCCGCCATCTCGGTGCCCTGCCGGGTATCCTACGCATCAGACGAATTGCGCGTTCTAGAACTCTAAATCCTGCTTCTTCGGCATGGCGCTTCCGCCAGCTGCCTCTCTGACTGCCTCCTCTTGTGCCTCAGTATCGCCTTCGAGCGGCGGCAAGCTAAACTTTGCAATCACAAACTTTCGCCGGCTCAACGTAAACGCCATATCCTCGCCCAGATCCTCGACGCTTCCACCGCCGCCTCTCTCATGGAACACGGGTAGTTTGTGTACTGCAAACATGCCCTGTGGTCGCTCCTCGTCCTTGGTTGCGCCCGCTGACTGCGCGAGCGCTTGCATCCGCGAGTAGGGGAATGGCGACAGCTCGAAGACTCCATCCGAGAGGATCTCCATCCAGCGGACAAGGCCAGAGGACCGAGGGTATAGAGTCAATGGAAGTGTTATGAGAGCAGTCAGGCGAGTGGAGTACTGCCGTAGCAGTGCTCGGAGACCGTGGAGGAACTGGAGTATAGCGGTTGGATGCGCCGATGACGAAGGATACAGGGCGGGCGAAAGAAGAGACGGTATCACAATCCGATGAATTGTGTGGGCTGGCGTCGAGGCAAGTTGCTGCCGTATATTCTGCAGTATCGAAGGGAATGGTGATGCGGAAGTGCCTGCTGGTGATGGTATGGGCACATAATTTATTGCCGTCCCTACCGGCAGGGTAAGGCGCTTTGCGAGATCGAAAGTATGGCAAAACACGACTTGTTCTTCCGTTGTGCCATCGCCTTGGCTCACAGTCCTCTGCACATTTGGAGACCCTGTCACACGCAGTCAGAGGTGTCCAAGAAACAACATGGCATTCGACTAGATATACAAGACGCACCTCTTGCAGTCTCGAACTGGCCCAGCCCCTCGTACCTCCATGCTATCTTCATCTTCTCTGCCCGTTCCTTTGCCTCTTTCCTCTTGTCTGACTTGTCCTCTGATATGCCGGGTAACTCTCTCCCCCACACCTCGCCCATGCCCACTACGTGCACCTTGTGGCCCTGGACCACGCCCTCGGCGGCATAGAATCGTAGCAATGCTCCAGCATAGTCTGTTGTTCCACTCTCTCCTATCAGAATAGAGTGTCCCAGCGCCAGACCAGCATGTCCCGCTAGTATACCGTCAAGCGAAGGTGTGCCGGTTGAAGTAGTGGGGCGGCCGTCAATGGGAGAAGGGCGGACACCTGGTGGTGTTGGCGCTGGCGGTGCTACAGCAGGTGCAGATAGTGCATTTTGCGCGTCTTCGCCACCTGGAGTGCGTGAAAGCGCTATGTTGCGCTTGCGAAAAGCCATCTTGGTGGGATTTGGAGAGTAAGTCGCGACATGTAGAAAATGTGAGAGGGACTATCGATAAGACTAGCGTCAGACGTCATCTACCCTTTTGAATTTACTGACCTCTTTGAATACCGCATCTTAGTATACTTGTTATGTGTTGTGATGTATTATTCTTGAGTAGTAGCAGTCTTATGATGCAATATCGACTTTACACCCTTGCTCAGCTTTTCTCACAAGACATCGCTATCCTCTCTACACTTCTACATTCACGTGTCCCGTCTCTTGACCTGCTAAGCCAATCTGTCGTAAATCCCTAGTATATTAGGTTATATTACGCACCACCATGTTCATCAAAAGTTTCTAGTTGGCGCTGACAAGGAGAAAGACCTCAGCTATTGTAAACTACACTAGAGTTGAGAGGCAGTATCTACTAGTTGTATTTACTGCTACGCAGACCAAGCAGATTCAATATCTACATAGACAGCTTATTAGCAGTAACAACAACAGCAGTGATAACAAATTATCTTGCTAGACCACCCAGCAACATACATTCATAAATACAGCAGAGACAACGCAAGGATATATCAACAACCGAGCATCTCGTCCCTGCACACGTCACGAAGCCAACACAGCGTCTAAGCCCTGCAACTAACTCCATACCGCAAAACAAAACAAAATCAAAAAATACAAACCCTGTACACTGAGAGAAACGAAATTCGAATGCGCTACCGGATGGTGCGAAATTCAAAAAGAAAAGGAAAGTAGTCTGATCCGAAGACCAGACTGTAAGTTCTTAATGATAGTGTAGCTACTTTCCTGGGAACACAGCTCAATTATTTGCTACATATTCTCGAAGATACGTTTTAGGGGATGATCAAGGGCTGGCGAGATGCTGGCTGTTCGTCGTGGTGGCGAACAGTGTGGTGGGGAGCCGAAGGGCTGAAGTCAAAAGGGCGGCGCATGGAGGGGCTGAGCGACTAAAGACATGACTAGATGAGCTGAGAGCTTGACTCAACTATCGTCCAGTATTATTCCGAGTTAAGGGAAATGACGGAACATTGAGACGGGAAGGTGACGTAGGGTGCTTTTGTTATTTGCAAAGCAACAAGTCTCGCTCTCAAATGCCAATGATATGGATTCCAAGTCTAGCATGACAGAAGCGATGGGATTCCATGATAGAACTGCCAATACTGTGCAGACAGCCGGCAATCTAGAGAACGTAAACCAACATGTCACGAAAGAAATGGTCAGAATCGGTGACATACGTCACGCTTTTCGTCATGATTGGTACAGTTATCGCTCCCGTAAGCAAGTCGAGGGACCAGGACTAAATATCTTTGCGAGATCCACAACATGCTATTTCTTCTTGCCTGAAGCTTCCGTTGCACTGAGTTCCCGAATGAATACCTTTGTAACGCCATCTGGGACATCATCCACGCCGTCCTCGAATCCCGGACTGACTCCAATGGCCACATACTTGCCGTCGTTGGAGAAGTCAATCGTCTGGACGCTGGCAGGGAACTTCTGGTACTGTCGTATTCTCCTCTTTGCCACGGCATCCCAAAGCGCCACTATGCCGTCACCTCCTCCTGTCGCAAATGTACCATGGACTGGGTGGTACGCCAGTGCGTGAACTGGGTACACGACATCCTGACCATCCACTTGTTGTCTGTGGCACTTGAATGCGTATTTCCGCGACTGCGACTCTTCAGATGGATCGAACCATTCAACCGCAACACGTCCTTCGATACTCGAACTAGAGTAGCCGGCGTCGTTGGGCATGCAGGATACGGCGCGTGTCATGTACTTCATCGAGCTCTCCCTCTGCTGCCACGGCTCTACGTTCACCTCCTCTTCGTCGGCCGTCTTAGCTGCAGCTGCTAGCTTCTCCAACTCGTAGATGTTGACTGCTCTGCTGGCCATGGCAACTACCAATTTGGTGGGCGATGCGGAAAGCGAAAAGGGTTTCGAGGGCAGGCGGACAGCAGAGAAGTCGCCTGGTTGTGAAAGGTCGTGCAGATGTAGTGTAGAGTCCCACGATGAAGAGATGAGAAGGTTGTGTGCGGCAGAGAAGAGGACGTTGCGAACACCCTGCGAATGCGTAGACATGATGGTTTGCGCGCCCGTCTCGAGATCAATCCTCCGCACTTCCCAATCCAAGCCGCATGAGAAGGCCTCGTTGTCGTTGCGCCCGAAGCAGACATCTAGTACTGGCGCGCGGTGTTCGAACTTTTGCAGCAGCTTTCCGCCAGGCTCAGCGTGGGTATCGTAGAGGTAGACATGGCGGTCCCAGGATGAGACGAGTAACCGCGTCGGATTGTTGGTCGCAAATTTGACGGCAGATATGGGTTCGGTGGGGTTTTGCGCAAGCTCGAATTGGCCTGGGTGTTTGGTTAGGAAGTGATGCAAGGTAGAGGGCTAATTCACAGAAACACTACTCTGGCGCGACAGCTTGCGGTGTCTGTATTTACAGGGCGCGGTCGATGCGAAGCGCGTTACTGCCGGCGCCAGGGCGAGAAATATGCCGGCGAAAGAACAAGGACGACTTACTCGACATGTTGGCGGTCTGGGTTGCTATGGGCTGTCTGTCGCGGGTGTGGACTGGAGAAGCTCCGCAGGGTCGGAGGTCCGCAACTACTAAACAAATAGCTGAGATGCACGCTAACGCCCCTCCAAAAGTTCCCACGCCCCTCCCGCCGTGCTTCACCTTCACAACCGACGTCACTTTTGCAACACCAAAGATGCCGTTTGCGCAGCTGGTCATAGGCCCGCCAGGCTCAGGCAAATCTACCTATTGTGATGGCATGCAGCAGTTCATGAGCGCCATTGAGCGCAAATGCTCGGTCGTCAACCTCGACCCCGCGAACGATCACACGTCGTACCAGCCTGCTCTAGACGTCCGAGACCTGGTTACCATTGACGAGATCATGGAGCAAGAGTCGCTCGGTCCCAACGGCGGGGTTTTGTTCGCGCTGGAGGAGCTGGAGCACAACTTTGAGTGGCTAGAGGAGGGCTTGAAGGAGCTTGGAGGTCCGCATCATGAGACCAAACACTGTGAAGGAATACTTACACCTGACAGATGACTACATACTATTCGACTGCCCCGGACAGGTCGAGCTCTTCACACACCACGGATCGCTGCGGAACATCTTCTTCCGCCTACAAAAACTGGGGTATCGAGTATTCGCCCACCACCCATGGCTCGCAACTGGGCGCTAACATTCGCAGCTTGTCGTCGTACACCTGACTGATTCCATCATCCTTTCGCGACCATCGCTATATGTTTCGTCTCTGCTCCTTGCCCTGCGCAGCATGCTGCAGATGGATCTTCCCCATCTGAACGTCCTTACCAAGATCGACAACCTGCGCAACTATCCGAACCTGCCCTTCAACCTAGACTTCTATACCGAAGTCCAGGATCTACACTACCTGCTACCGCACCTCAACCGCGAACAGACGTCCGGCATACCAGGCCCTACAACAGCTGGCGCAAATGAAGAGATGGACTTGGACGACGACGAGCCAACGTCAAAATTTGCTGCGCTCAACAAGGCAATCGTAGAGCTTGTCGAGGAATTTGCGCTAGTCGGCTTCGAGACGCTGGCGGTCGAGGACAAGAAGAGCATGATGACACTATTGCGAGCCATTGACCGAGCAGGGGGCTTTGCAATGGGTGGAATAGAAGGCGCAAACGACACCGTCTGGCAGATGGCTATGCGCGAGAACGGGGCAACCATAGACGCACGCGATGTGCAAGAGAGGTGGCTCAATAGGCGAGACGAGCTGGACGAGGAAGAGAGAAAGGCGTGGGAAGACGAGACAAAAGAAATGCGAGACCCTTCACCTCAGCGCGCTCGACAGGCGCCGCCTACGTCAAAACCAGCGACTAAAGCAACGAGTGGGGATAGCGACGACGACATGGACGATCTGGAGGAGATGCGGCAGTTTATGGAGAAGAACAAGAGCAGTGGCATCAACATAGTCCGAAAGTGATGGAGGCGGCCAGGTTGCGCAGACCCACGGCGCACGACAAGTGCCTGTGCGGCTTGCGAGACTGCAGCATGTGAGAATAGATGTGTTGAGCATAGATGTGTCGAGGCGCATCCCCTCGATCGGTCGGAGGATAAGATGGACGTCGAGGGCTTGATGGAGATTCAGCGGGGTATATTGCCTTTTGAAACATCGCGTCGCGTCAGTGAATATGTAGATGGCTGCACGCGCCCCGCACTCATCACAATGCATACCGGCCGAGTATGCGGTAACATACTTAGCATTTAATCCAACCCTACGCTAGGCCCCATTGAATCATATCGTCAGCCTGCATACTTGCCCCAGGCCCCCAGACGCGCACATGCTCAAACGCAAGGCCTCTTGCGACCTCACCGCCCCCCACATCTCCATCTTTAGCGACGACCCCACGCTTGGTCGTCACAAGCGGAAGCGCGCGCTGTTCCGCTCCAAGCCCAGTGCCAGTAAACCGCAGTGGATCCCGGAAGCAGAGCGCGCCATGAGTGGGTTGCTGGACTTTGTATTGCAGCATGAGGAGGCCTTCAAGAAGTAAGTCCAGCCTCGACTGGCCGCCCTCGCCCTGCATTCCCTGATTGTTCCAGCCAGCACCGCCTAGCATCGCTGTATGCCGACTTCCGGCAGCAGCTCGAAATCAATCCCGAAGGATACCACGCAAACATCGCGGCATGGACAAAGGCCCTCACCGATGCGGCGCGGGCCGGTGCCGTTCCCACGCAGGGCACCACGCACGATCTCCTGAGCATTCGAGCCGCCGACGAGCTTGCGCGCGCGCTGCAACATCCACAATATGGCAAGCCGACATGCTTGCCGGCCGTGTTCCATGAGGCAGTGCAGAAGAAGGAAATGATACCCCTGAAAGACTTTCTGAATTCAAAAGAGAGCATATACAAGACGTCATGGATCCCGTCCCCCTGGAAAGTGTTGCAGTGGAGCTTGCGGCAGGTTGGCGTACTCGGGCAGCCGCAGGCACCGGCCAAGATGGAAGTCGGGAACTTTGTCGTGCTGAAGAACGTCGAGGTTGCGGCAGATGAGATTCTCAAGAAGATGAAGGAGCACACATCGACAGCCGACCGCGTACTGTCAAGGACCGACTTCCTGAAGCGCTTCTCAACCACGCTCAACCCCTCTGCGCCGCTTACGGCCAACGACCTGAGCGTACTACTAGCATTCCTGGCCAGAGACAAGCAAGCAATATCGTACAACGCGCAAACCATCAAGTTCAAGCCGGAGCACGAGGATGTGCCGTTGCCTGTCACAGAAGAAGACGCCGCTATAGCCAACCTTCGCGACACACTAGCAAAGATCAATGCTCAGATTCCACCGTTGATGGAGAAGATTGCCGCTGCGGACGCTGCCGCCCGCGAAGCCGTGTCCGCGAAGCAGATGATTCGTGCCAAGGCCGCACTCCGGTCCAAGAAACTCGCTGAGGGCGCCCTTGCTCAACGCTCAGACGTTGCTCTTCAGCTTGAGCAAGTGTACACAGACCTGCAACGAGCCGCAGACCAAGTCGAGATAGTGGAGGCTATGCGTGCTGGTGCTGCGGCACTCAAGGGCTTGAACGAAAAAGTCGGCGGCACAGAAGGCGTTCAAGGTGTCATTGATGCTGTGAATGAGCAGATGGCAACTACCGAGGAAATTACCAACATCATCAATGAGAGTGGTCAGCCACTTGACGAGGAAGAGATTGACGACGAGTTTGAAGCTCTCGAAAGGGCGGACCGCGAGAGGCGCGAGAAGGAGGAAGCAGACAGGACCGCTGCAAGACTTGCAGAGCTCGAAGAGGCCGAGACAAGGCGTAGAGAGAAAGAGAGGGAGGAACAAGCTGCAGCCCAGAAGAGTGAGGATGAAGAGACAGAAGAGCAAGTCAATCAAGCTTCTCAAGGTATGGCAAGGATATCCTTCATCGAGCGGGACGATGAGACGGAAGATTCAGAAGAGAGCCGTGTGCCTGTTCTTGCATAAGCCACTCTTTGATGCGTAGGCGTTGTCTGGGGTATTGCATAGCAGCGGCGTTTCTGGCTTGTTATTTGGCAGATTTAGTATATAGACACAGGCATCGTTCCGTGTATCATGGGAACGCCGCATACATAATTGATACCTTTTCTTACAGCTTCAATATCACAACGGACCTCACTTGGAGCAACTGTCTTTACGTTTTAGCCCCATGTAATTTCATAGTATCAATTTAGTAAGTCAAAATCGTGTACGAGCGGTCGACATCTCGATAGCGTTGCTTCTTTGCTCAGGCGGCGCTAGCTGTCCGCTGCCAAGACAAGCCCTCGCAACGAACGCCGACCCTCACGTCCGACGACAATCCGCCGGCGACTTTCTAAGCTCCACGACCACCTTGTCCTGCACCGGGAAACCTCTCCCCACAATTCAATTCACCCTGTTGAGCTGGTGCTGCACCGCCCACAAAGCTACAATGAACTCGATCCGTGCCGCAACCAGCGGCTCCCGCGCCATCGCTTCCACCCTCTCCGCCACCCCACGCATGACGACCCGTGCCTTCTCGCGGTCACAAGCAAAGCAGTCAGGCCACGGACCCAGCTACGACCCGCCATCCGGATGGCTGTTCGGTGTCAAGCCCGGCGAGACGTATGAGAAGGAGGGGTGGGAGAATGCCATGTACTGGGGCTTCGGAGGCGCATGTGCATTTGGCGTGGTTGCTTACGCTTTCAAGCCCGACACTAGGTACGTCTGAGTGCGGCAGCATGGGTTGTGGATAGGATGGAGTGGCGTGATGATGGAAGAGATGGCGAAAGCCGAGGAATCATGGGAGCCGTGAGGAAGCATCAGGGAGCAACGGAAAGGAGGGGAAAAAGCGTAAATCCGATCACGGCTAACAACCCCCCCAGCATCCAGACCTGGGCCCTAGAGGAGGCGCGACGAAGACTGGAAGCCGAGGGTATCCTCACAGACCCGGATACCGTCAAGAAGGAGTAGAAGAGCGCCGACTGCCAGTTCGCGACGGGAAGCGACTTAGCGACCTAAAACTACGCGTGGAGCAAAGCGACAGATAAGGCGGAATTTTCTACAGCAGCACGAATCAAACTGTACATAACGCCCGCGAGGATGACGATGAGCTTTTTTCTTTTTGTGAGCATGGATCTGGCTGGCCCACGGGGCTCTATAGACTTTGCAAAGGTTGACTGTTTATCGCCCAATGGGGCGAGCAATGATATTCTGTTTCCAATAGCCGCGCAGCCATGGGGCTATGTGAGGTGATGTTGTCGGAAGAGAGCATGCGGATCAATCGGTTACCCTAACGTACACCTGGGCTGAGTTTTACGAGTACGAGACCCGTTCTGAAGCCGGAAACCTAACATTCAGTCTGCTCTGGTCTTAATTACATGGTTCCTGAGGGTTGTGCTTTTTTTTTAGTACGAAGCAAAATATACTTTCTTCCCCTGATTTTTGCTTTTTCCATCGTCAATGCTGTTCAGGCACCATCAGTGAAGCTCGATATTTCTGGCCAACCAGTACTTTGATCACTATATCCGCAAAAAAAAACCCTTGCGCCTTTGCAGCAATCACCTCCATAGCCAGTACTAGCCTCAGGCGAGTAGGTATCCTTGTCGTCTTGACGTTTGTCTTGACGGCTCTGCTTTTTTGGGTTGTGGAGAGTGCTGTCACAACCCCATATCGTCATGCTATTCCATATCCAACACGCGCTTGCTGTTCTTGTGTGAAAATAACTGGGATACGCTGCCAGATTGCTACTGCATGGGACGCTTCAAACTTGATGGGGGGTGTTACATCGCGCGTGATTCTAGAATTTGTCGTTGGTGTCTTTCTTTAATTTGACGTACCTAGAGAAAAGCTTTCAGGCTGAGTCACTGCTGGTATGTAATGCCTGTGTTACCTCTAGCATGTATACAGATGACTACAGTACCAGAGCCCATTGTACGCTAGATACACAATACTTGGATAACAGGCTATACGACAACGGTGGTACAGGATGGACCTGATGAGTACCGTGACTTTGGATATCTGAATACCTACTAATCATGAGTCGGTGCAGGAGGAGCATCAGGTATCAAAGCTACAATGTATGCAAAGTCTCTAGCTGGACCTCTCTCTGCGCCTAAGTAGAATTGTCGATTGGGCTGCGTAGATTATACCATCTACCGTGAACTTACCAGTTACAACCACGATATCACGTGTCGTTACGTCGATGTCTTCATACCGAGCATTTCTATCGACATTGAAGCTGATTTCTACACCGATCCCAATGACATGCTCTTCGAGTATAAACACAGCAGCCCTGCTAGCATCCACTCCCTCGACCAACACTCAAACGAAAAAACAAGACCTGGTTGACTGCCGCCGGCATCGGACCGGTCGCCGGTATCGGACTCGTTGCTGTGGCAATATACATGCTAGTGGAGAAGAAGGAGAAGATCAGGATATGCAGGCAGACAAAGCGGGTGAAATGTAATGCACAGAACTATGGGTATTACTCAGGGGTGCAATGCGCCCCATCCAGCAACACCACGAGAAAGACTCTGCACATCCAAAACCCATGGAACTACCAGACCCACGACCGCCTGTCGAGTTGGCGCCCAATAAAACTAACACCGCAACAATCTGTTTCCCACAGAACTCTAATTCTCAAGTCTCGTTACTGTAAGTACATACCATCCCTGCTCTTCCTCATACCTTGGAAAAAAAAACTTTTTTCCATCACCACATCACATGGTGAAGCACAGTCTCACGCAGTCTGTAACCCCCTTCCAAAAAAAATCTCAATACTACATTCCTGAAATGGATGCGGAGCGCGCACTTTTATCCAGAGTGGAGGGTTATGAGAAAGCCAAGATACTACGTACATATCGGAAGGTCCCGGCTATTTATGTAGTAGTATCAGTCGATATCTATGTGCCAAGAAAGAGAGGGAGGGTGTACTTGGCTTAGTCGCGTGTGGCTTTCCCCGGGTTCTGTGCAGTTGGGGCTTGGGACTGGTGCCGGGTGCCGAGGGGGGCAGGCTAATGGCAATGACTAAGTAGTTCAATTTATATCCTTTTTTTCTATTCAAATCCGAGTAGTAGTAGAGTTATAGTATAGAAGTGAATACTTAGATATTGAGTTAGGAAGTTATAGAGCTGTTATGTTGTTATCTTTGGAATAAATTGAATTACTTACTTATGTATTCCAGAGAATGCTACTTTGCATTTATCTATTTCAGCAGAGATGCATACTTTATTCTAGTGCGGTAGAAGTTAGCAATGCTCTTTCCAAGCTCTCTAGTAATATTGTTGATATATTGAGATGTAATTTCCGTTTTCAAATCTTATATGTCTAAACTGTTATGCTGCTACAGCGACTTGTTTGCATCAAATCCGTTATCTACGGTGAGCTGTCCAGTGCCGATATCCGCTTAGTACATGGGGGTGTGCTTTTCATCTTCAACTTCTATTGTCAATCTACTAAAGGCACATGCTTATCACAAAACTGATCTAGTGGTATCCTACGCTATATTAGCGACTAGCATAGCCCTTCTCACATAATTAGTAACTGAGGTATATACTAATACTGTTCAACATCTTACCAAGTCCTCCTCTGTATTTACTCTTTAGCTATAATAAGCTCTGACAAATAAATGTCGCGGCTTATTATAGAACGGTGTAGAGCACGAACAATGCTATACAAGGCCTTGCATCACTCTGCTGGTGAGTTGTGCATGTATGCCCACCTCAGTGTCTTCGGCCGTACATCATCTTCACTCGGATAAACCTGTTATAATCTTACCCAAGATAAAGCCGTACCTGGCTGCTCGAGTAACAAGTTCTGAGTGTGACTGGCAAGGCGTCCTGTTGGTATGTACATGGGGTGGTATAATCTTCTATCAACACAACAAGTAACTGGTGCTCACGACAGTTCGTCGCCATGACTGTTTGATGTGTTGTCCACTCAGGCAAGCTGATCTACTACCCAGTCGCACGATGGTTGCGGCTCAATGCGTATACCCGGTTTCAGTGGTTGCATGCAGGCACCCCATTTGCCAGTTCATAACGAGTTGCCGCCCACCAGGAAACCAGTAGCCACGAACCAGTGATGGCCAGTGTTTCTAGGGTGGAGTTTGTTTTTGAGTGGCCGGAATTTAGATTGCCCCGGGAGTAGATTGATTAAGAGCCTGAACTGGGTATCGGGACCACACACACAGACAGCGCACAACATGGGGGGGAGGGGACGTCGGATCATCGCCCTCATCACCACCACTCGACCGCTGCAAAAACCTTGGAAGGGTTTCCGCTTTTGAATGTGCGGTCATCAAGCTTCCGTACCTGTTTTGTGCCAATTTGGACGTGGAAAAGCCGAGCCAGCGGACAAATTTAAAGCAAACCCCGGTCTTGGCAAGCGATGATCCCTGGGCATCAATCTATCTAGCACGAAGGACTAGCCGAGGATTCGGTTCGATGTCGTTGTGCAAAGACGTGGGTCCTGCCTACGAAGCTTCAATCAAGGCACAGCCAATTTCCTTGGGGGAGTCTCGTCCCGTTTGGCCCGAAAGCTTCGTCTTGTCGAGCACGGTCTTCCTGTTTGTACTTGAAACCCACCTTTGAAGGTCAGTTGACCAGGGCCTGTCCATCCTACCTCACCTTTGTCGCCAGGCAGTTTTCTTCAATGTGCGCGTGCCAGGACGCGGCATGAAGGCATTCATTTCTCAGGTATCTTCCGGCCAGCTGGTTCTGTATCCGCTAGACTCGAGGTTCATTGCATCGAAACAAAACCCTGTTCCTGCACCGCTCCAGCGATGCAAACCCCTCAAAGAGCCTCGCTGTCCCGCTCAGAAAGAATACCCGGAAGAGCGCGTGAGCCTCATGACCCAGCAGTATATTAACTGCCCAATCGGACCGAGCCTGTGTTTCCTTCTAGAAGATCTGCTTGTAGCCGCTCACAGGCTGTGCATGCAATATATTCCATCCGGATTTCAGAATCACTAGGCCAGATACCAAGAACTGCAGCCACCATGAACAGACCCTGAAATGGAAGATGCTGCAGTGGCAATGCTCCTTACGGAGCGCATGCAGAGATGGCAATATACAAACATGCTCAGTATGTGCTCAAGAAACAACGCGTGGCACAATGAAACGCGCAAGCGAAGGCACCGTTGGAGCTACCAACGTCGATCCACAAATTTGCCCTCAAACAGATGATACTCTTCGGTTGCTGTCGAATGGCAGTGCACACTAAGGCGTTAGATTGGCAGTGATATTGACCGGGTATAGTGCATAGCAGTGCAAGGCTCCATAGCCTCCTCCACCCACCACCACCTCCTCTAGCTATCTGGAGTAAGGCTCCGGCTTCCGTGGCGCATACGCCTCCACAGAACCCCGGACTACCCCAGGATGAGGAAACGACCAAGCATACTTCATCTACCCTTCATTACTTTGGCCTTCTTAGCAGCGTTCTACGCTCCCGGATTCCCGTTCTGATGCTCGTATTGGTGAGAAGGAGCTGCAAGACGCCCAGGGGCGCAGGCCTCCTGCGTTTTGAAATTAACCATGGTCATATGGGTACTTTGAAAAAGTACCACACATGATGCTGGCTAGCAGCGAGCAAAAAGTATAAGAAGGGGCCCCCAGCAAGCAGCAAGATTCGACACCGAACATCCAGACATTCATTCCCTCAACAGTCAACATGTACAGGAACCTCGCCATCGCTTCGCTCTCGCTCTTTGGAGCCGCCCGCGCCCAGCAGGTCGGCACCAGCACTGCTGAGGTGCACCCCAAGCTGACCTGGCAAACCTGCACGGGCACTGGCGGCAACAGCTGCTCCAACAAGTCCGGCTCCATTGTGCTCGACTCCAACTGGCGATGGGCTCACAACGTTGGCGGCTACACCAACTGCTACACTGGCAACACCTGGAACACGCAGTACTGCGCTGATGGAGCTTCTTGCACCAAGAACTGCGCCATTGACGGTGCCGACTACTCTGGTATGTATTCTGGCTTCAGGGGCAGTATTCGATGCTAACACACACTCTCAGGCACCTACGGTATTACCACCAGCAGCAACTCGCTCAGCCTCAAGTTTGTCACCAAGGGCTCTTACTCCAGCAACATTGGTTCGCGTACCTACCTCATGGAGACGGACACCAAGTACCAGATGTTCAACCTCATCAACAAGGAGTTCACCTTTGACGTTGATGTCTCCAAGCTTCCCTGCGGTCTGAACGGCGCCCTCTACTTTGTCGAGATGGCCGCCGACGGTGGCATTGGCAAGGGCAACAACGCAGCCGGAGCCAAGTACGGAACGGGATACTGTGACTCCCAGTGCCCGCACGACATCAAGTTCATCAACGGCAAGGCCAACGTCGAAGGCTGGAACCCCTCGGACGCCGACCCCAACGGCGGAGCCGGCAAGATCGGTGCCTGCTGCCCGGAAATGGACATCTGGGAGGCCAACTCCATCTCGACGGCCTACACTCCCCACCCCTGCAAGGGCACTGGTCTCCAGGAGTGCACCGACGCAACTACCTGCGGTGACGGCGACAGCCGCTACAGCGGCGTGTGCGACAAGGACGGCTGTGACTTCAACAGCTACCGCATGGGCGTCAAGGACTTCTACGGCCCCGGCGCCACGCTCGACACGAGCAAGAAGATGACTGTCGTCACTCAGTTCATCGGCTCTGGCTCCAGCCTCTCCGAGATCAAGCGCTTCTACGTCCAGAACGGCAAGGTGTACAAGAACACCAACTCAGCCGTGTCCGGTGTCTCTGGCAACTCCATCACCGACAGCTACTGCTCTGCGCAGAAGACGGCATTTGGCGACAACAACTCGTTCGCCACGCTCGGCGGCCTCAACGGCATGGGCGCCTCGCTTGCTCGCGGCCACGTCCTCGTCATGTCGCTGTGGGACGACCACGCCGTCAACATGCTCTGGCTCGACTCGACCTACCCCACCGACGCCGACCCATCCAAGCCCGGTGCTGCCCGCGGTACCTGCCCCACCACCTCTGGCAAGCCCGAGGATGTCGAGAAGAACTCTCCCGACGCCACCGTTGTCTTCTCCAACATCAAGTTTGGCCCCATTGGCTCTACCTTTGCTCAGCCTTCGTAAGAAGCTACTCCTCACCCTTTTTTCCCCAATTCTTGATAGCCTGCTACGTTTCAAGGCTTTGGGGGGACGGGCCGTCATGGGGGGAGGGGAAAAGATAGGCGGTGCTCTCCTGGTTCTTTGGGAGCTAGCCTTTTTTCTTTCTTTCTTTCTTTCTTCCCTTGAGCTTGGATCCTCGGATATCTTTTGTATATACTTGATGTTGATGTTGATGTTGATGGAGTGGAAGATGGAGTTGGTGGGTGTGGTGTGATGTATAGAAAAGTGTGCATACAAACTAGAACAAATGGAAATTTGCATTCAGAAAAAAAAAGATCGGATTATGTCTCACGTGAAGCATTGGCTGTGTGAGGTCAAGGAAGTGTAAAGGGGGTGTTTACAGTGAATGAATGAATGAACGAACAAAAAGTAGTTGGTTGGTCGGTTGGTTGGTATCTAATCTGTATATATACCTCTCTCTCTCTCTCTTCTATCTATGTATATCAGAAAACTCCCCCCTGTTTCTCCTTTCTATCAAGTACGCCCTCTTTTCCTTCTTTCTTCCTCTCTCTCTCTCTCTCTCTCTCTCTCAGACGAAGAAACCCAGTCCCCAGCCCCCAGTCCGATAAGTAGCGCTCAGAACGCCATTGTTTGGAGAAAAAAAAAGAAAAGAATCTACACAAAGTAAAAGGTAAAAGGTAAAAGGTAAAAGTAGTACTGAAGTCCAGCAAAAAAGAAGAAAAAATATGTAGTAAAACTACTTACAACTCCCCCTCGCCGCCCCCCCCCCCCCCAAAAAAAAGAATAAAGACACTTGACTTACTTACTTACTAAACTTACCCCGCCTTTTCATCTTCGCACTACTGATTTAATAAAACAACCACCTCCTCCCTCCTCTTTGCAGCCTCAACACCTCCATCCTCGCCGTCCGCTCAGCGACATTCCTCGCTGCATCACGCATTTCGTCGTCGAAGATGCGAGCCGCCTCGTCGTTTTCCTCTTTGGTGCGAGCGTAGCTGGGGCGGGCGCGCGAGCGACGCACAGCGATAACGTGATCGTCGTCGTGATCTTCGTCGTGATCGTACGAGTCTGGTTGATGTGTACCGCGGCGCATGAAGGAGCGGTAGATGCGCGGTTTCGAGGTGCTTCGTGTGCGGGGTTGAGGTGAGTCGTGTAGTAGGTCGTTGGCTGGTGCGACGGCGGAGTCAAAGGTCCGCCGGATAGAACCTGGTTGGAGCCCCGCCATTTGCAGCAGACAGGTTGATGTGGATGCCGACGACGACGACGAAGATTTCCCTGCTATCTCGCTGACACACACGCCGTGAGCACGCCAGGCGGTTTCGAAGGGCGTCCGCGCAGACCCGACATCGCGCCACGTCTGCACCACAAGCCGCATCTGGCTGCCGGTTGCGTGGGAGAACTGCTGTGCGGAAACGGCCCAGTCTGTAGCGCACATGGCGCAGTTCTGCGTAAATTGGTATTTCCACCCGCGCCGCACCACGTTGTCGACGGCCGCCATGAGGCCCGTATGCCCGTTTTCGCTCGCCCGGTGGCCGACGAGGATGTGGGGGAACAGTGGCCACAGCGCGCTGAGCAGGTTGCGGTTGCGGGTTGCAAAGGCCGGCAGGATAATGGCGTAGGAGGTGTGGAGGAGGAATCTGCCTTTGGCTATCTTGGCTGAGATTTGGAGTTTCGTTGGTACCGGGGTTTTGAAGAGCTTGGCCATGGCCTTGTGCTCGTGGGAGAATGCTGAGAGCGGGATACCGTGTTCAGGGCCGAGCTGCGAGCGGTTGATAGCAAGCCGGATGTGGTGGTAGCGGAGTGCATAGTCGCTGCCAGCATGGAGATAACTGTTAAAGTCTGCGCATTCTCGCTGTTTGCCTCGAGCTGAAAGGGGGGCTGTTGGACCGTCGTCTGCGCTCCAAGCGTGGAATCTATCGCACCAGCCGCAGAACCAGTGACCGGGAAATGCGCGTTCCACAACGGCCTCGATACTCCGCCGCTTCTCGAACCGGTTCTTGCTTGCTTCGAAGTAGCCCGAGAGCATGTTTGTGCCGAGAGCATAGTAGATGAAGCGGCTGGACAGACAAAAGGCGGCTGCAGACGCAGTGTCGAGGTGTGTGTTGACCTGCTGGATGAGTTCGAGCGGAAGCGTGAGAATCGGTGCCTTTTGCAGTGAAGGAGGAGGAGCCTTGGTAATAGTAGCCAGGGACTCGGAAACCTCGTGCTGGAAAGCCGAATCTATACTCGTCCTCGAACTAGCTGTGTCGGATGCAGAAGAGTCATCTGTCTCCTGGCGCGAAGAGCGTGAAGAGCTGAAACTCAGCGAACGACGAAAGAAGCCCATCTTTTTTCTTTAACAACTAGTGTTATATTCCAACTCTTGCTCTATTCCCCTTTCTTTCTTTCTTTCTTTCTTCCTTTCTGAACTGTCTTCCGTGATGATAAATAAAAAGATATCCCAGCCAAGCCGAGGAATGAGGATATCAAAGAGAATATCGAAGAGGAAAAAAAAGACGGAGACAACGAGTGTGAAAAACACGCGTGTTTCGTCCAGTGTATGGAGCCAGCAAGGTTTTGTGGGAAGGGGGTTAGAGGCGTCCGGTAGTGTCGCCCAAGTTCGAGTCAAGTAATAAATCGTTTCGATTAGAACAGACGCCAAACCTGCAGGATAGAGAGCGAGAGTTCTACAGGAAAAAAAACCAGAGTTTTTCGAGCGTTTTTTTTTCGCGGATGTTCTAGAGCACCTTATCAATAGATGGAGGGAGGGAGGGAGGGGGAGGGACAAGGCAGACCAAGTGATAATAATAAAAAAAAGGGCCTTGGTTGACAGGTCATTCAGGCAGCTCTCTCAACGACGCATGTGTGACCGTGGCACACGGGTGCAGCGGCAAGGCACACACACACACATACATACATACATACATACATACATACATACATGGTGCACATCAATCAGGACAAGGCACATGGAATGGTGGCATCCCCAACGGCTGATGTCAGGGTCCAGTTGGCAGGCCGGCGGTGAGTGTGAGACAGGCCGTCTGCCGTCATTCACCTGATGCCACGGCGCTAGCCACGCCCGGCCTAGCCCCACCTTGACAGCGTGCCTGTGCCTGTTTTCCCATGCGCCCCAACGCCACGAGACATGGCCGCCACGTTGGCGCAAGCAGCGAATAAAGTTGGCATCCTGAAACACGGCAAGGAAAGGCAGAAAAAAGAAAAGAAACATGTGCATGCGGCCTCACACCAGTTCCCGCCCGTATCTGATGATGTCAGCCACCCCGATATGCCCGATATAGTCACCGCCCGTCTCTGGCACGCTATGTTAGCTGGACATGCAAGTAAGAATCTGAACCCGTGGATCCTCGCCGGCTGCGAACCACGCGGCCCGCCATTTGCCAAAATATTAAATAGGTAGCTAAGGTATTTGTACAGTACAAATGCGCTTTCCATCTCCCCGAGGCACAAACCCCTGGGGTCATGTCGTTACCACTCCGGTCCCGTCGTCAGTCATCGCCTTGGCCGCGCCCACCAAGTTGCCTCGCCTGCCAAGTAAAGAACCACAGCCTACCTGGGCAGCTCGGGGTTCAGCTTTAGCTGCGGCACTGGCGGACCGGTGCCCGACCTCCGCCTCCTCTCGCGCTCGTTGAAGCCAACGGGCTGGTCGAGTTGCGTGGGCTTCCTGAACTTGCCACCCACGCCGCGCATCCAGTCCTCGCCCTCGTCAGCCCCGAGCCAGTACTTGGGAGCTCCGCTAAGCATGGCGCGACCGAGCTGGCCCTTCCAGCCATTGCCTTCGTCCTTGCCTTCGGCAAAAGGGTTCTCGGCCAGGTCGTTGGCAGACGTCTGCATCTCGTTGGAGTTGTACCACGCGGCCGACGAGGCGTTGGCGGCAATGTGCTGGCGAAGACACTGGCGCGCAAAAGCCAGCATGATGAAGACAAAGTAGACGCGCAGGGCCCAGAAGCCAGAGATGAGCGAGATGCTCATGATGCTGCCGCTCTGGAAGACGGCATTGCCCAGTCCTGCGCCAGCCTCGCTACCCTGGCCGACTGCGATGGCGTGCTGGCCGCCTTGGAGGCCTTGGGTTGGCTCGGCAATAATGTCAACCTCTGACACGTTGTGCTGGGGACTAGTGAAGCCCGCATTCTCCTTGAGTCCCGGTGAGAGACCGGCGTTCTCGTCGGGGTGCGCCGCAAGCGCGTAGAACCATGCGACGCCGAAAAAGGCCGTGTACAGGGCGTTGATGACCGAGTCGAGGGCATACAGGTGCGCAAGCAGCACCGATTCAAAGGGGCTCTGGAGGCGGATGTGCTTGTAGAGGTATGTCGTGGCCAGAAGCGCTATTGTCGAGTAGAGGTACATGGACAGTTGCCAGCCATCGATCTTGGCGCCCGTGAGCAGCGCAAGGAGACCGTAGACGCCTGACGCTTTGTTGATGACTTGGAGGAACGTGATGATTTCGGCTCCGGTGCGCAGCGACATTTTCTGCAGAAATGTCTACGGGCAAGAGTCAGCGTCTTGCCTGAGGGCGAGGGCGTGTTTCCCGACATACCTTGGGCCGCGGGATCTCGAGAATGTGTGAAGGCACCATCATCATGGCGGCGGGCCGCAGAGAGTCGCTCTGCGTGCGTGTGCGAGGAAGAAGGCTATCTATGCTGTGCTAAGACTGCGACGCCGCGTGGACATGGGGCGTTGGGGGTTCGTGTCGGGTCGGGTCGTGTTGTGTTGTGAGAAAGAGGGTCGGTGATGATGGCCGTGGTGCGTCCCTGCTGCTGCGGAAGCGCCGGACGATCCAAGGAGATTTGCTCATCTTGCAGGCCGGGTGCAGCCTAACCCCTTTCTGCACAAAACACCACTCCCTCTGGTACGTACTTGTGCACCCATTTGCCGGCATGGTCTTTTCGAATTCCCTTTTGTTTTTTATTATTGCTCCCCAACGACGGACTGAACCTTGACTTTCGGCCCGAAGTCTGCATGTGCCGCTCATCTCCCTAGCCCGCCCGTCCCGTAAACAGCCTATGACGTATTCCGCATTTCTATATTGCTTCCTCCCGCCATGCTCTCCAGCTTGGCAACTGCATACTGTGCGTCCAGGGGAGAACAGGTGGAAAAAGCAGAGGCTGCGCCTTTTCCTATCATTCCAAGTGTGCAAGCGGCGAAGAAACTTGATTTGATCTTGATACAGAGATAATGACATGGTGCTGCCTCACAGTACATGCACTGGGCGCCACCAAAACACTATGATACACATGCGACATCGTGAAAACCTTCCTCTACGCACTGGCTGACGTAGCCCCATTCCGCTTCGTCAAGTCTACCCTCATGCCATCCAGCAAATCGCAAACCTAGTTCGAGAGCTTCGTAGCCCGACTTTCGTGCTCTGCTGCCATGGAATAGAGCTTACTAGCCACCAAATCGTCTGGGTATCCGTTGCTATCGTCCGTAGGAGCAGCAGTCTTATGTCCCTCAACATCCATGACTGGCCTCTCAGGTTCCGTTTCCATTTCCTTTCTCGCCTGTGCTCTCGTCCGCTTCCGTCGTAATATCGCTTCTTCGGTAAACGAGAACTCGGCAAGCGTCTTCTCGATCTGGTCTTCGACGAGCTTCTTCGTGTAGTTGGCAAGCGACTTGGTTGTGAAGACGTTTGGAAAGCGGTAGCTCAACCAAAGGTAGCACACAATCATCTTGTGCAATTGCTCGAGTGCGTACAGATATTCCCGCTCACCAGAAGAAGGCCTGTCCATGACACTAAGTGGCAGACTCTCGATATCTAGCAGATTTCCCGATTTGCCATCGGCTATGCATGTTGCCAGTGTTTGCAGGAACGTCTTCTCGGGAATAGACCGTACGTTAATAGGTGCAGCGCAAATCGTAATGCGGTCCTGAACGCTGAGATTCTTGACTGTGTGGAGCGCGTCGGCAATCTGTAGCTGGTCTTTGAGCGCACAGAGGTGAAAGCGCGGGTGGATATCCGAAATCTCATGTAGTTTCATCAGGATCAAACTAAACGGTGTACCGGGCGGGAAATAGTTTGCAAATCGCTCCACAATCAGCGAAGGCGGAAAGAGTCCAGCTGTCTTGATCTCTTCGGGCTCCCGCTTCATATCCGCCATCAGACTCTTGTGGTCGGCCGGATCTAGTGTCGTAACCCATCCGACCGTTTTTGACTCTGGTGCCTTTGTCATCTGGGCGTCGGGTAGCTTGTCATCCAGGCCAATGGTAGGGTCGGCAGAACCATCATTTCCTAGAGCTTGTTTCGAGTCGCTTGTCACTGCTTGGTGGGCTGTTTTGTAGCGACCGGCGCGACCGGCAATCTGTTTGACTTCGGAGATTTGCAAAGGAACAAAGCTTCTGCCGTCATTCTTCATAGTGGATTCGAAGATTACGCGCTTAATGGCACTGCAACTGTCAGTATCTGTTCAAAAGGGCCAGGTCCGAATGCGACTCACAGATTGAGACCCATGCCAATAGCATCACTGGCTACCAAAAAGTCGTACTCGTTGTCTGGGTCATTGAACAATCGCGCTTGTTGAGCTCTCGTCTCTGGGGGCAAGCTCCCGTAGACAATAGCGCACTTCTTTCCCGTCTTCTTCTCAATCTCTCGCCGTAGAGCGTGGATGCCCAGCACGGAAAACGCAACAACGCAATCGCCCTTCTCGAGTTTGTTGAGCTTCCCTTGCAAGCTTTTCGGCTCAACCATGAGCGGGGTCAGACGGTTGTATTCGTGAACGTGCACTTCGTCGCCGACAAGAGCGCCAAGCTCACGCATTAATGGTACTGTTCGCGCCTCTCCACATAGATGGATCTCTTTCGCCTGCAGGCCCAGAAAAGCCTGCGTCCAAGCCCAGCCGCGATCCGGGTGGCTGATCATTTGTATTTCGTCTATGACGGCGACGTCAAACGGCGTGTTCAGTGGAGCCATTTCCACCGTGCAACTGTACATGCGGGGGCGCTCTTCCTCTGGCATGCGCTGTTCCTCGCCCGTAATCAAAGCACATGCTTTTCCCTTTGCATTCAGACGGGTATAGACTTCATGGGCGAGGAGGCGCAGCGGCCCGAGGTAGATGCCCGACTTGACTTCTTCGAGGCGCTTGAGAGCATGGTAGGTTTTGCCAGAATTGGTTGGGCCAACGTGCATGTGTATCGTTCGCCGCATCCCTCTTGTCGCCGGGTACCACTCGGCTGGATACCGCAAGTCGGCTACCTTTTTCTGGTTCTCCAACTCGGCCGCCGTGAAGCGTCCATCGAATGCTTGTTTATAGAAGAGATGTTGCAATCGCGTCTTCAGCGTATCCTTTCCCCGGTGAGCCTGGTTTGCCAGTGTATACAGCTCGAGCGTTGGTCGTTTGACCCATGCCTTGACAGACGTCTCAAAGGCCAGCCATTCGCCGTTAAATTCCTTCCTGCTGAGCTGCAAACTCTCGAGCCATTCGGGCTTGGTCAATTCATCCTTGAGTTTCAGCAACTTCTCGCTCACAACGCGGTCGGGTGGCGAGCGGGGCTTATGGGCGCCTACGCGAACAAGGTTTTCTTGGGCGACGGCAGCATTTTTTGCACCTTTTTTTGAGTATTTGGCCGAGCCTGAGCGTTGCGCGACTTGAATTCTGGGGAGGAGGCGTTGGGGTTGCGGGCGTGAGCGGGCGGCGAAGGCGCAGAAGAGGCACAGCGAATTCCGCCGCACTGGCGGAGGAAGCATGCCCAAAGAGGTGGATGCGGACAGCAAAAAGAAAAAATGGAGAACAAAATGACAACAAAGTAGAATCAAATCGCAATATGCCCGAGGGTGCAGGCAGGCGGCATGTCTTGTGCAGTGCACGATGTCATGGTCAGAAAAAAGTTGGGCCAAGCGCTAAGTAGGCAAGGGAAGGAAGAGAGACCTCCGGCGGGCAAGGGGACCGCGGCCGCAACTGCAACACCAAGTCTAGCTGCGACGCGCTCCCCTACACGACACCCGCCCGCCCTCGCCCCTCGCTCCCTCCTTTGTGTCTGTTGCCGCCGAGCATCTGCCCTGCCCATCCACGCGACCTCGCTCCACTCCCTACAGCGTCTTGTTTTCAAGGCGGCATTAGCTGCTGCCGTACCCCGCCAACCATGGCCTCGATGATAGACATCCAGAAAGACCGTACGCACACTCTGCCGACCGCACACCAGGACGACGGCTGCCCGTGCTGACACGCCCTCTAGTCATACTCAACGCCATCCAGCAAACCACGCGTGGCGACGTGCGCTCCCCCGGCCTGCGTGCTGCCCAAGCCCTGCTAACGGTGCCCAGTGGAAGATACTCATTGTCGACGAGTACAGCCAGAAGCTGATCAACAACGTCGTCAAGGAAGATGACATCCTCAACCTCAACATCACGAGTGCGCGATCCGTGGTGCGCTTCCACCGACGCCTGCTGACGGCCCCCTAGACATTGAGCGCATCGAGGACCGGCGGCAGCCTATCCGCGACATGGACGCCGTATACATCCTCACGCCCAAACCGCACATTGTCGACTGCATGATGGCCGAGTTCGAGCAGCGGCGGTACCGGGGCTTCTTCTTGATATGGACAACACGTGAGGGCATTGCGCAACCCGCACGTGGAGCTCAGGCTGATGTGCGCAGTACTACCACCACACCTCAAGGAGCGCATCGACCGCTCGCAAATGGCACGCGAGCAGATTCGAAGCTTCCGTACCGTCCACCTTGACTTCCACCCCCAGGAGTCCAACCTCGTCACCTTCCGAGACCCCTGGAGCTTTCCGATCCTGTACCACCCAGAATGCAACAACCTCGTAGTCCGGCACATGGAGGAGATTGCTGAAAAGGTAGCCAATTCCCCTCGATTGTGCAACTCACGCTCACCATCTTCAGATAACAGGAGTATGCGTTGCGCTCGGCGAGTACCCCCTCGTTCGATACTATCGGCCACGAACCCCAACCCACGAGGCCAGCGTCCTGTGCTCACACCTTGCGCGATTCGTCCAAGACAAACTCGACATGTATGCAAAGTTCAATCAAGACTTTCCTCCCCAGTCCAACCGCCCCCGCGGTGCGCTCTACATCACGGATCGATCCATGGACCTCATGGCCCCCTTTGTCCACGAATTTACATACCAGGCAATGGCCATGGACCTGCTACCCATACAGGACAACGAAAAGGTGACATATCGGACTAATGTCAATGAGGAGGATCCGGCGTCCGAGGAAAAAGACATGGAGATTTCCGACAAGGACAAGATATGGGTGGAGAACCGCCATCGACACATGAAGGATACTCTGGACAAACTGATCAGCGACTTTCAAAAGTTCATCGCCGACAACCCCCACTTTACAAATCAGGATGCCCAAAACGCTGCGGGTATGAACGGACTCAACGCCATCAAGGACATGATTGCTGGTCTGCCACAATTCCAAGAAATGAAGGAGGCCTATTCGTTGCACCTTACCATGGCGCAAAAATGCATGGAAATCTTCCAAAAGCACAAACTACCAGATCTGGCCTCGGTGGAGCAGGTAAGCCATCCAAGTCCCGATTCCGTAGTGGTTACTGACTCTACAGTGTCTGGCCACCGGGCTTGACGAGGATTACCGGAAGCCGAAGAACATGACTGATCAGATTGTCCGAACCCTGGACGATGAGGAGATTACGCCAGCCGACCGACTGCGACTTATTGCGCTCTATGTGCTCTTTAAGAACGGCATACTGCCAGCCGACTTGCAAAAGCTCATCCTTCATGCACAACTACCGCCTCCTGACGGCGAAGTGGTGCGCAACCTCGATCTGCTTGGAGCCCGCGTAGCAAGACAACTCAAGGAGAAGCGAGATGCGCCTCAGCCTCTCTTCCCACCTAAGCCAGCACCACCGCCAAACCAAGAAGACTATGGATTGTCAAGGTTCAGCCCAGCGCTACAGGACATGCTAGAAGAACATGTCCGTGGTACGCTGCCTCAAGACATCTTTCCCTTCACAAGGATGTCGCCCGAGGAAGCTGCTATCATGGCACAGGAAAATAATGCCGCACCCACGTCTCTTCGTGCTGCCAAACCTACGTGGGCAAAGTCTCGATTGGCCAGCGCTGAGCCACGACAGCGTGTCATTGTCTTCATGGCTGGTGGTGCCACATACTCCGAGTCCCGTGCGTGCTACGACATCTCCAACAAAACATCGCGCGACGTATTCCTCGTCACCTCGCACATGATGAAGCCACAACTCTTCCTTCGTCAAGTTGGCGATCTTACCCAGAATCGCCGTAACCTGCATCTGCCCATCGACCAACCACAACCAAAAGCCCCAGAACATCTCTTCGAGAAGCCAGAGCCACCAAAGCCAGCACCACCTCCCGCTGGTGCTAAGCCGCCTATGCCCGGCGGTCTGCCTTCGGGACCCAAAGTTGGCGGCGGTCCTCGGCCCCCAACCGCTGGCATGGGCGCGATGAACCTCAATCCTCCTAAACACGCACCTCCGCCATCGCAGAGCAGCTCCAAGCCTGGCAAAGAAGACAAGGAGGGTAAAGAGAAGAAAAAGAAGAAGCTGCACTTGTTTTCGTCGAAGCATTAAGCAAGAGGCTGAGTCACCAGTGTAATTGCTCTTGGCATTGTTTTGTTTCGTTCATAGCGAGGATTGAGAATCCAGTCACCTTTTGCATGGCAAGGCGTTGGATGGCGTTTGTAAAACTTGTCATGTGTGTGTGGGGGGCAGGATAGATATGCTGTTGGTTGATGGCGTTGGTAATTACATACATAGAGTACTTGGGGGTCTTTGTGTAATAAGAAAAAAAATCTTGGGCTGATTTATATTTCCATATCAACTCCATTTCTCCGATGCTATTTCCATACATTCATTCATTCATTCATCCATTGTCTCCCTTGTGAAATCACTCACGTTCGTTTTTCAAATCATTGTCCTCCCTAATAAGCCCACTTTGTAGAATAATCCCTCGGACTAACCACCAGACCCTTGCCCTTGCTCGCGCCGCGATACACGGCCTCGAGTATATCCACCAGCTCCTGCTTGTCGCCAATGGGGAAATTAATCTTGTTGTTGTTGCCCGTGCCAAAATCCACCTGGATGTGTTTGTTGCGCCAGAAAAACATGACGGTGCATGCGTCGTAGATTTCGTACATGGCGTTGAAATCGGGGACTTGCTAATACACACACCCCAAAAAAAACAAGTGTCAGCGTGGAGATTGGAAGAGTGTGGGATTTTGGGCAGATGCAAAGTACCTGGATATCAACAAGATAGATAACAACCCATTCTTTGACTGCATCCACAATCTTGTACAGCTTCTCGTCCATGTCCATGCACTCGGGGTTCGCGTCGTTGCCGAACCGGATGCAGACTATGCGTCGCTCTTCGTGGACTATCGCTTGGTCCACGTGCCAGGCGGACGGGAGGTGCTGCAGCATTACGGAGCCCATGGTGGTTGGTTAGATGAATGTGTGTGCGTGTGTGTAGGTGGGTGAGAAAGTTGAGGGTTGAGGTCAATTGGGAGAGTGTAATGGTGAGAAGTGTGGTTTGGTAGGTAAAGAGAGAGAGAGAGAGAGAGAGAGAGAGAGAGAAATTGAGGTCGTAGATGGGGTGTGGGTGGCTACAGCCAGATATCATAACTGCCTATTTCACCTTCCAACTCACTCTCCGTTTGCTTACTTGCCCCACACACCCAGCATGCATTGATACATCGACTTTTACGCGGTATATCCTGACCGCTTCATCACCTATTTATCCCACCTCCTGTAGTACACACTTCCCTAGTCCCTCACTCTCTCAGCATAATACTCCTGGACCCTCCTCTCAGGCGCATAGTAACTCGTCTCACTACGCACCGCATCTCTGCCCCCATGCCGCTTCTCAAGCATCTCCTGCACATACTCTTCGTAACTGGCATACGGCGTGCCTCGCTCCTCCGGGTTCTGCGCCGCCCACGCCAAGTACGCTGCTTTGTGGGCTGCAGCAGTCTGTGCGGGAGTGTCTCGTGCGGGATACCGTTCCGTCGATGTTGGATCCGGGATCCTTGTGGTCTTTCGACCGGTAAGGGGATCGCGGCCGGCTGCTTGGCGGGCTTCTGCAAGGAGGTCGTGGTGATTATCTGTGCGAGTGCTGGTTGGTGGGTTCGTGGTTTGAATCGCTGATGTGGTGTTGGATTGGGCGCGATATGCTTTTTCGTATGGATTCGACTTTCCGCAGAGCTTCTTGATGAAGGAGGATGCGGTTGATGTGACGGAAAGTCCAGCCATGGTCACCGGTCCTGGTCTGGCGGGGGGTGGAGACTAATGGATTGCGGTCGAATCAAAGAGTAAATGAATATCTTCTCAACACCAAGTTTTGAATGCTGTATGTAAATTTCTGGATGAGTACTGTGACTGAGATGTGGCAAAGATGCGTTTGCTGGTTTCGCTTCAACCCTAAGTTCTTGGATTGTTCAGCTCGTCAGCTCCTTCAGAAACCTCAGCCCTATGTCTTGCTCCAGGTCGCCAGCAAAAACAAAAATTCCATTACTGAGGCGCAATGCATGGCAAAATCATCTCATATAGATGCCTCCTGGAGAACAGTGCGGTCCGCGTTGTAGCCTAAATAGCGTCAGGGGACCTTTAAAGGCGTCCAGTGCTAGCTTCATTAGGCGTCATTCTCGAATAAACAGGCAAAGTGCCAATAATGTCCAAGTGATGGAGCCTGATGAACGCCTCTAGTATCCACTGGACTGCACAATAGTCGTAGACTAGTTATTATCGCAAGCAAGAAGCCGATGCAGAATATCAACGGAGGTGTGTGCACAGGCAACAGAATGAAGTAAAAAACCACAACTCAAAAAATATTAGACGGGATGACCCTAACAAAACTACACCCAAACTAATCAACTACAAAACAATTACCACATCCTCTCTTTCCCTTTACTACCAGGTGCAGGACTCAGTGGAGGAAAAGCATCCTCTGCATCCTTTCTACTCTGCTCTTCGGCAAGACTGAGCTGCATTGCAAACTCCAGATCCGACAACTCGTTATCAATGCTTGATCCAGCCATGGCCATGTCTTTGCTGGAACTGTGGTTCCGAAAGCGCGAAAGCGAAGGCTTTTTGCCTTTGGCATACTTAATGGGAATGTCGCAGCCAGAGGGAGGTGTCGAGGCAGATAGAAAGTTGCTGGGTCCTTGGCTATCATTGAGAGAAAGACGAATGGCTTCAGCAATATCTGCATCCAGCTCTTCGTCGTCTTCAATGACAGATGATGAGGATTGATCCTGGACACTGGGCTCGGGTGTTGCAGTCTCACTGCTCAATGCACTCATCTCCCGCTCTATGCGCCGTTGCTCTTCCGCTTCCATTGCCTCCTGGGAAAGCATCGCGGCATATGCCAGAGCTTCTTCTTCACTCAGCATCTCCGTGCCAAAACGCCCAGCCAGGTGCTCAGCTTGCTTGTGGCGCTCCTGTCTATCGCGCTCCAATTCAAACTGCTCATTGGCGATGTAGTTCTTCAGATTGCCACGGCCAGTGCCGGAGAAACGCTCTCCAGTGTTGTTGCTTCCCCGTTCGGAACGGCGGAGTCTTCGCTTGCTGCTTCTGTATTGATCTGCTGCAGAAGAGCTGTAGCTCCAGAAACGAAGCTGATTGCCAAGCGACACTGCACCACGGAGGACTGTTGGATCGGAATCTAGGCATATAGCACCAGCAGCAAACATGTTGATCCCGACACCGTGGACAGAAGCCTGTGCTTGTACAAGCTGTCTCCAAGCACGCGAGGCATGGCGCGAGTGTAGTGTTGTGATGGGCGACTTTGTTGAAGCCAAAGGGTCCCACGCCTGCACCAACCCGTCATTACCTCCGACAACAAGATACAGAGAGGTGAGAGCCAGACACGATATCTCGGGTGAGTCGGTATAGATGATGCGGATAGGCTCGATGGTGTTTATGAACTCGGAAGAACGCGAGACCGGTGAACGGAGGTCCCAGAGAAGTACAACACCAGACTTCGTACCGGCTGCCACGAATCGAGCCCGCTGACCTGGTATGTCTGATGGAGAGGCTGGCTGGCTGGCGACAGATAATGGCGAGCCATATGGCGAAGAGGCGGTTGACGTTGTCGAGAACCCAAGCGCAGGATCTTCGGATAGGGTCAAAGTTGCAAAGGTTGAGGCATCCAGGGCAGTCGTGGTGATTTGCGTGCCCTTGAAGCCACCAAATGCCAGTTTCGAGCACCGCCACTCTTCCACCAGGCTTGCACGCTCGGGGGAACTAGTCGTCGACATGTATGAGGAACTGCGAACACGTGGTGAAGCGCTTGTTCGACCTGAAGCGTCTGCACTTATGCCGCCAAACAATGAAGATGGCTGAGCATGCAGAGGTGTCGACACTTGCGTCGATACACTGGCGCTCTGGTCTTTCTCATCTGTCTTGCATCGAGTGAAGCGCTTGATATCAGCGACATCGCCTTCTTCCAAGCCACACTCGAACACGGCAATTGCCTCGCCAGCATAGCTACCATCATCACCGGCAAAGTCGACCTCAAGCCTTCTACGCATGTCCCATCCGAGACATACTTTACGGAAGTGCTTGGGCGGCTTTCGCAGGTACTGCTGTATTTCCTTGGTTTCTGCGGCAACCTGTCCTTTGCTCAGGCACATACCGTCCCATGACGTACGAGGCGAATAGCTGCCGTCAACTTCAGCGTCGCTGTATGGGTCGGGTCTCGCAGTGCGTCTGCTGGATTCAACAAGATTCCAGTACACGGTCCGGCCAGTGAGCCATGCCAGATACTCAGAGTACTCTTCAATATCGCCCTTTGGTGCTTGACTACGAGTCGGGAACTTGGTGAGGTAGAACAGCTCGCCAAGCGCGTTCAAAGCCACTGCCCAGATGCGGTTCTGTGCATAACGTTTGGACGAGTATTGCTCATCTACGGCAATGGCAATGATAGGGACGCCAGGGCTAAGAACCCAGCGTGCAGTTAGCTCCCCGCGCTGCACACGCGACGATCGGAGCCCATCTGTGCCGATGCTACAAGCGCTGACGACTCCTGCTGCAGAACCAATCATCATACCAATTAAGCCTTCTGAAAGCGTTGGGATGGTGTTCGATTTGGCAATCCAGACACTGCAAACGGCGCCAGCGTCAAGGCCCAGCTTGGGTATACCAGCTTCTGGCATGCTAAGCTCAGTCGAATTGGCGATGAAACGACCACGCATTTCTTCGAGCGACCGATAGTAGCAGACGCCTTCTGGGCAGCCTTGACCGTAGATCATACCATGGGGTTGCGATATATCCATTACGTTAGGGCGTCCGACAACCTCTCCAGAACCTAGTCCCCACTCGGCAACGCCTGGGAAACGTTCTACAAATTGGGCGTAAAAGTGAGGATCACTCCGGCCCCAGGGATCCACTTTGCCGGTCGTTGGATCGCTGCTAGTTACCATGCCAATGGCGTCTGCGCCGTGAATGAATCGAGGCATTTTCTTATTGAGACCGGATCCAAATGTTGCATGCAGGTGATTGATAATGGTAAATGTCCTGGCATCGTAGGTGATCATGGGAGAAACCGTCTGCATTTGGCCGGCGCGAGAAGGAGTCGAAGGTACTTGAACAGGCTTGCCTCGAACAAGAGATCGTAAAAGTCTGCTCCGTAAGATATACTCGCTCCGCCATGACGCCAGCGCGGTAAGCCTCGTGAACCTCCTCTTCTCCGACCGTACCACAGCGCCGCTGTCCTCCAAAGCTGAACGGAACTGTATGTCTTCGAGCGCATGCGGGCCCGGGAAAGAGCGACCAAAGGCCACCTGCCACGCATGTGGAGTAGTGACGACGTCATGGAAGCGGCGAGAGACAAGAGATACGGCGGCGAGATCGTTGGGCGAAAGATGGGCAATGGCATGGATGAGTACCTCTGTGCAGAGTTAGCGCTTGGTCCTAATCTGTGATTGCCCTTCATGTATTCTTGAAACAGTTTCTACGCACCATTCGGCAGCTTCGCGATAGCAGAGTTCTTATCGTCTGGGCTTTTGTTGCTCTTGATAACCTCAAAGAGAGGGCCGTCTACAGGTTTTCGCGGCGAGCTCGCTAGCGCATTCTCATATTCGGTAATCCTGTCCCTTGGGGGTGGTGAGGGACGCGCGACACTTTTCAATCCATTGGCTTCCACAGGGGGGAATCCATTAGTGGAATGGTGCAAGCCTGTCGCATCGCGTACAGCTCCGCCGGTCGGGGTCTCAGCATCCTCCCGTAGCCCGCCAGAGTGCGGCTGCAGAGAGTCCTGCAAGTCATCGCGGCGACGGTGTCCATGCTGGGAGGTGGGTGCGGCGTCGAAGAGGGCGTGTGGTGGAGGAGCGCGTTGTGATACGTCTGTGGGCTCTGGCTGCATAAAACTTTGAGGGCGTTTCTTGGGTGGGTGCAATTGACCGAGCTTGCTGGAAATGCTCAGTCAGAGTGGACGTGGTACGGGCGTGAGTGATGTGGTGTTGGACGGGTGTGGAGGTAAGGGGGGTGGGGGTGTTCAGAAGGGAGGTTTTGATGACTCGACTGCCAAGATAGCAGAGATGAGTGATAGAGGATGACGATCGCCACTCGCAGCTACAGGACGCCAACGTGGGGTAGCCGGCGGCGATACTGGCAGTCCAAGGTCGCCGCCCCACTGTTAGCTTTCCAAATGCACCGGCCGTGTCATCACAAGTGCCATTTAGTACCTGCATGTACATCGGGACTACTCCGACTTGTTCCGACACGCAGTGGATAGGCGTTGCTTGGTCTCATCAGCACGGGTTGTATATGGACCATTTCTTCCTATAGATAGATGCAGTAAATACAAAAGCGCTCAGCTGAAGGGAAACAAAAAAAACGCCGGAGTGACTTTATGGTACGTAAAGCCGCGAATATGCCGCCACATTCGTCCTGCAGCATACACATGTCGTGTAGTTCTTGGACGCCAGTCCCACCCTGCAGTCATCACACAAGCTCAGACATCCACAGGGCCATACCAGCACGGTTCTTGGTGCCATCTGACAGACTACGCACTGGGGTCCTTCAGAGCCCATGCCTTCTGCGCCCGTGTCCCAGCTACCAGCGTTGCTCGCCTGTGGCGCTGTTGCGCTTCGGCGATTGAGGATCAGGTCCTCAAGGAGCTGCTCCTCTTCCTCTGGTGACATTGCCACATCACTCTCCATCTTATAGCGCGAGGTTGTCAGAATCTTGGCCTCCTCCTGCTCCAAAGCTTTGCGGTATTGCGAGCGTGTCATGATGTTGGGGCTCTGCAGGTGCCTTGACAGTAACTTGGCTTCCTCGCGGTCTTCCCTTGTCCTTGGATCGAGAAGTCGAGAGAGACGAGAGAAATCCAAGGCGTCATCGACTGATGGCGTCTCCTCTCGACTTCTTCGATATGTATCGCGCGTCGGCGTTCTTTGTCCGTCGTCGATATCCGACCACTCGTCGTTGTCAGTCGTAGTAGCAAACGACATCACGCTAGTCGTGTCATCATCTTGCGCAACAGAATAGTCTCTGCTATTATCAACCTCGTTCCATAGACCTCCATTGCGCCACCAGGCATAGAGGTAATCGTTTAGGCGCTCCTCCGAGTCCTCGGTATCTGGCTCAGAGTAAAAACCGCTCTGTCGGAGTCTCTCTTTTGCGAACACCTCAATGTCAAACGCCGGGTCCTGGCGAACCCGACTACGATCGTCCATGGTAAGCCATTGCTGGCCAGCTAATCCTGCTGTCCCGCATTGACTTCGATTTGTGCGTGACGCTGACGTGTAGATTTTATCAGCCTCATATGCTCCAGCAGCACGCGTCAACCAACCAGGCCGGTAGCTTATGCCAACTTTCATCAATAACCAGCCTGTGACTTTTGCAACGCTCAAGATCAACAACCTCGAGATCCGGACGAAGAAGCCGTACGCCTGAACGTAACGGCTACGTTGCTGCAGAGCTGGGTCGTTCTGTCCCATGGAGGTGGAAGCCTCGGTAGATGATTTGGCACCCCTAGTCTTTCGCTCCTTTGCGTAACCTGAAGTTGCTGTGTCTGTCCTGACGTCGTTGAGCTGATCAACTACCTCGGCACCTTGCGTGAATGTATCGTTTCTAAGCTCCGATGGAATGTCGACGAGCATTTCTCGGCGTTTCCTCCTACGCGCCAGGATTTCCTGCAATCTCTGTTTCTCCAGCCAGGTCATGGAGTGCACATTGATCTTTACGCCCTCATTGAGGAAGACTGCCTCGCTCGCTGCAGTCAGAATCACATAACCTACTTTAAGAATCGTGGTGTAAAAGTCCTCGTGCCAGTTGATTGTCAAGGGTGTGATTGACGATAAATGGATATTGGCATGGAGGTTACCGTAGGCAGCTGCAAATCTCTCCCGAAGTGTGCGGGATCCACCCTGTCCTGCCGGGAGAGAGAGCGCAGTGATAAGAAGAGCCAGAAGATAAACAAGTCCACACAGAGTGATGCCAACTATTATCAGCAGATGAGGGATAAAGCCAATGATGCACACGGTGGGGAATCTCAGAATGCCCACGTATTGATCTGGGTCAGCAACCATCCATGTTAGACGAGCAAAGCTCCACGCGAAAGCTGAAATATATGCGAGGCCCCAGACAGTAGTCGTGAGGAGCCTGTATTTGGAGCGCACGCCAGCAATCGCCAACAAGTTGCTTGTGAAATGACTCACACTGGAGATGAGAGATATGAGCAAGACTTCCGGTGGGACATTGGCAATTTGCGAGAGCCTTGACCTTGGTAGCGTGAGTGATGTGCCGTCGGGCGTGAAAACGGACTTGGGTTTGAAGAAGCGTGTTGAATCAACTGCCAGCGGCCGCGTAACAACAGCCTCGGCCTCGGCAAATGCCAGCGAGTGCTCGAAGAGGGTCATTCCGACCTCTTGAATGGGGCGCCTACCCTGAAGGGCACAGGCCAAAGTGTCGACGAACTGACCGAAGCCCAAGGTCAGGAACATGGGCCAAAGAAGAGCCAGTGACCCAGACTCCCGTGTTGCAGCAGCATCTACAGGAAGCATGTTCACAGCCTGGCAGGACTCCTCTGTCGTCTCCCAGAACAGAATCATTGATGCAAGGCGCCAAAGACAGCCACCCTCGCCGCCAAAGTCTGTGTCTAGATGTCTGTCACTCGCTCCGTATTGCATGTCCGACCATCCCGGGGAAGTCTGGCATCGTATTGCCCGTAGCACATTCGAGATCTGGTATAGGAACAGCAATAGAGGCACAATGTAGAGTGTGAGGCGCATGTGGAGGCGGTCGAAGGAGAGAGGTACGCGGCTGTTTCCATAAAAGTGAGTGCGGTTCAAGAGGATTGCCTGTGCAGTAAGTGAGTAAAGGATCCGACTGCCTGCCTAGGGTTGTATAGGGCTTACAATAGCAAACGTAGCAATAGCCCATTTTGAGGTTATGTAGCTGAACCATGTAGCGACATTTCTCAGGGCCTGCCACACAGTCATGTCGCTTTCAGGAGTCGCCGCCGCTGCTGCAGCGACGGTAGAATACGACGATTGCACGAAAGCCGCCGTGGGGGTAATTGTGCTGTTGGTTAGGTTGGCCGTTGGTTCTGCGATGACGCTGCCCCCTGAGCGCATCATGTCGCCCAGAGAGCTAACCTTGGAGAGGATACGGGGAAGGGCCATGAGCAGATCCGCCGGTGATGACATGTACGAAGTCGCGTTGGACGCGCCAGGCGGTTCCATTACGGACGGTTCGCGGATATCCGGGGATCCCTCGAAGCTCGGGAAAGTCGCAGATAGGGAGCGATTATTAGATTAGGTACATGACGAAGACGAATGCGCAGACACGACGCTGATGCACCGTGGTGAGATGTCGGCACGAGGCGCTTTGATAGGTCGGTCTCGTTTGGGCCGCGACTTGGCCGTCTGTACGAGGCCGGGGCAATCGTGGGGATGACGCTAGCAGCTAGGGAGCAGCTGAAAGTCCGAGCCGCCTAGCCCTGGCTAATAAACCTCCGCGCCGTCTCCGCAGTCACATACCCTGTACACAAGCCGCTCCAAACCATGTGATTAGCCTACGACACTTGGCCGATTCCAGTTGAGACACAGACAGGGTTTTGAGTGCATGGGCAGGCCACCAAAACAGATCATCTCAGCACAGAGATCCTGGGCAAAGAAAGCAATTGTTCGTTCGCACATGACCAGCATGTTGAACGTCCAATTATCGTTCGAGGCTCGTACGTGTGAGTTATTATGTTGGAAATTTACTGCAAGAATCCATTTGGGAGAAGGCACGCTTCGAGTCGAGGCCAACTGCAGAGAATGCCTAGGCTGAGAAGAGACCACAATCACTGCGCCAAGGTGTCTTCCACCGCCATTGATGCTCAGTGTATGACACATGTTTAATCGTTTCAACTGCTTATGCGGCCTTGGGCTTCTTCGTGCCATACTTTGATCGCGCAGTGATTCTGTTACCCACACCACCCTACCACATGTCAGCAAAGCAACTTTATGCACAAGATGAGAACTGACCAAGTCCAACGCTCCTCGCACCAAGTGGTATTTCACACCAGGACAATCTTGCGCTCGTCCGCCTCGTACCATGACCACCGAATGCTGCTGTACATTGTGTCCTGATGCACCATTAGTACTGCCCACAGGATATTGGCGCCGCTGAAAGCAATTGGGTCGTACCTTCACCTGGAATGTACGCCGTGATGACCTTGCCGGTACTCAGCCTCACCCTCGCAATCTTCCTTTCTCCCGAGTTGGGTTTTTTGGGCTTGGTGGTTCCCACTTTGAGACACACTCCCTTCAGCTCCGGCCGGTCTTTCAATTGTGGCGATCTCAGTTTTCGCGCCTTCTGCGCTATCCTTCCATGTCGTAGAACTTGAATCAATGTGCATTTGTTGGCGCGGAATGACGGTGCTGGGCGGATCGCGAACGCTGAGGCGGCGGTTTCGAAGGCAGTGGCGGCGAAGGCGGGCCGTAACGGTCGCACAGGCGCGAATTGTGCTGCAGAGAAGACCGAGGGCCTTATGAGGCGCCTTAGAAATGTGACGGGCATGGTGGGTGGCGGCGGGCTTAGGTTGTTGGCAGTCGACAAAAGTTCGAGATGCGATATAGCAGCTGACTAAGCACCGTATCCCATTCTACCAAAATCGTCCAATATCAACAATGTCCATGCGAGTATTCCATGGCGAGGAAATGGAAATTCCGACATAGGTTTCTTCTTTTGGACTTAAACCTCTTGACAGCAGAAAAAAAAAGATCAATGAAAGTCTTTTGCGCCTCGTATCCTCCAGCTTCCTTGCACACCTTGAGTGTACTCAGATCATTCTGCACCATGCAATACCGTGCAACAATCTCATTCATCCATCCAAGCAATTAAACTTGATCCGTCCGCCATTGAGCCAAAATTCCAACCTGTGCTCTACCAAAGTCAACAGTCAAGACGAACACTCGGACGCATTTAGTACGCAAACAGCCTAGCGCGTCATCGGCCGGAAATACTTTTCCACCAGCCCGCAAGTTTTCTCACATCTTCCAACCAGCAACGCCCCGAAGTCCCTGGGCACAATCTCCTCGAAGTCAAATTGGGGGAGAAGGGACGCGGCAACAGCCACGTCTTCGCCATGCACGCCGCCATGGCCCCAGTCTTTTACAGAGCCGCATCTGCTCCCCATGTTCCGGCGGTGGTGCGTCTCTTGGACCGCGACCTCGGCTGAGCCCCCAATGCAAAATGCGGAGACCGCTTCCAACCGCTCTCCGCAATACATCTCGGATCTGGACGACAACCCCGCGACGTCTGCTCTCTACAACGACACGATGCGAACAGTCTCAGCGCTTGCTTCAACTGTGCAACGAAGGACACCCATTGCGGTGCGCCAGGGTACGCGGAGATGCTTTTCGAGCTCTCAGAACTTGCAGGCGACATGGGGGTTCATTGGCCTGGGACGCATGGGTTAGTACTGCTGCTACTCACACGACTGCATCCGTTAACTCGTCATTAGGATATCCCATGGCGAAGAACCTCCGAGCGAAGATACCAGCTGAAGACACGTTGTTTGTGCATGATGTCAACACGGCTGCAACGAAGCAATTCCTTGAGGAGCACCCGCAGGGCGTCCAGGTTGCTCAAAACGTGCGAGAGCTTGCCGAGAACGCTGTAAGTATATCTGTTCTTCTGTTCCTGTCACTTCGTGATGAATTAATTGTTCTATCAATGATCTAAGTTGGGGGCCATTCGTGGCCCTTGTTCTGATTACGCAAAAATTATAGCCAATCCTCTGATACCTCCATCTTCAGCACATGTTACTTGCCGATATTACGAGACACAAGACGCTAACGCTGTTGCAGGAAACAATTGTTACTTCACTGCCAGAGCCGAAGCATGTCAAGGCTGTCTTCAAGGAGATGCTGGAACCCCCAACACTGCTCTCAGATGGTGTCGTCAAAAAAGAGCGTTTCTTTATTGATTGCTCAACCATTGACCCCATGACGTCGGGCGAGGTGGCTCATACTGTGCATTCCACTGGCCAAGGAAAGTTTGTCGATGCGCCCATGTCAGGAGGCGTTGTTGGTGCACAAGCCGGCACGCTTACTTTTATGATTGGTGCGCCAGAAGAGGCAGTTGAAGGTGCGACCAAGGTACTCTCATTAATGGGCAAAAGAGTAGTTCATCTAGGCGGGCCTGGCGCTGGTCTCAAAGGCAAGCTCGCAAACAACTACCTGCTCGCTCTCAACAACATTGCAACGGCCGAGGCCATGAGCATGGGTGTCAAGTGGGGGCTCGACCCGAAAGCGCTAGCTGGCATGATCAACACGGCGACTGGCAAGTGCTGGCCGAGTGAGGTCAACAACCCAGTACCTGGAGTGATTGAAGGATCGCCTGCGAGCAGAGGATACGAGGGGGGATTTGGAATCGCTCTGGCCAACAAGGACCTCAAGCTTGCGCTCAAAGCAGCGGCCGAGGCCGACGTCAAGCTAGCGCTGGGAGAGGCGGCAAGAGCACTATATGACGCTGTCGAGCAAGCGGAGAACTGCAAAGGCAAGGACTTTTCCGTCGTGTACCGGTATCTTGGGGGCAAAGAGTAGATTGCAAAAACAAGTATGAGGAAGAAGGAATTTACGTAAATTAACCGTTGCATGTTTCTGTGCTCATACTCTGTCAATGCAAGGTGAGAGCGATTGAGGTGAAGGCAAGGTGAGGGCCATTGAGGTGAAATTTTAAAAAAAAAAGGTCTGGTTGCATTCAAGTGGATAATGGAAACTACTTTTTTTTCCCCCTTCCCAAATTGCTTGGAACAAATTGACAGATTGATTGACAGATTGATTGACAGATTGATTGATTGATTGATTGATTGTTACGTAAGTCATGCTACTCTCAAAAGAAGCAAGACCAGGAAAAACCCAAAAGTAGAGAAAAAAAAAGAAAAAACTCTTTGAGAAAGGAAAGAAGAAAGAGATAAATAACAGGAAAGAAAAGAAAAGAGAGGGGGAGAGGGGGGGAGAGAGAAAGAGAGAGAGAAAGAGAGAGAAAGAGAGAGAGAGAGAGAGAGAGAGAGAGAGAGAGAGAGAGAGAGAAAGAGAGCATCATGATACGTATAGAAAGAAGAAGAAGAAGAAGAGAAAAAAAGCAGCAATCCTGGAAACGCCATGACACAAACACACATTGCCGTAAAATGGGGTAAATGGGGATTTTTTTCCCTTGTCGCCCGCCCACACACCAGCGCTCTGCTTTATTGACCGAGAAAAGGCCCAATCGAAAGTCAGTAATACACACACGCAATCGAGAAGATGAGTGGATGCAAGCAAGGTGGACTCCCCCCCCCCCTTCAATAGCCTATGGGCCAATCAAGACGAGAACAACAAAACCAGAACGGCATACATGCAGTACAACCAAAGCCGTGTGGCTGACGTCTCGCGCAGAAAAGAGAGAGAAAGAGAGAGAGAGAGAGAGAGAAATACCAAACACTGCCAAAGGGTCCCATTCTCACTCATCCCACAAGCTCCTTGTACAACAGACCAGCGAGGTTGCCTCGTGTCGAATCAAGCAAAAAGGCAAAGGCGTCGTATTAGCAAAAAAAAAACAGGATGCAAAAGTGAACAAAGGTGATTAGAGACCACACATAACGCCAGGGTGTCGCGCGAGAATGGGCCATGTCTGTCCGGAATCCAGCGGCCAAGGTCAAAGTCGAGGTTGGGAAAGTCGTATCGTCGTGAATTAGGAAAAAGGAATAGGTGGGTCAAGAGGGCGTAAAAGCCATTATCTGGAGTAGGGCTTGTTCATGAGGGCGATCTCGCGCGCCACAGTGGCCCACTCCAGTTCGCGGCGAAGAGGTTGGTTGCGTCGCTGACGCTGGTACTCTTCCCACTTGAGTAATTCATAGGTGAATCGAAGGTGGGGTTGTATTATGACATTAAGCCGTCGGGCCCGCACAAAGCAGCTGGGGTGCGTAAGTGGGGGTGCTCCACAGAGCGATCAAGACAACTTACTAGGCACGAGGGAAAGACAGACCAAGCTCGTTCATCACCTCGGCAATGCAAATGGTCGCAGAGCGTGAAACACCTACACGGCAGTGCACAAGTGTAGCGCCACCTTCGGCTTTTCCTGCTTCTACGTCTTGTTAGTGCTTGCTGGTATGAGCACGGGGCTGGGGTACGTACTAATAAACTTCAAGCAACGCTCAAACTCGCCCCATAGAGGATCAACACCATTGTCCTGAACGCGGTCAATCATGAGGAAATTCTCGCTGGGCCATTCCAGTTTTTGCTGCATGCCCTCTGGCCAAGAAAGCGCTTCGCCGACGCTCAGTATGCGGGTGATGCCCAGGGCACGGAGTAGCTCTGGATTGTTGGCGTGGCCAAGATTACCCAAGTACATATAAGGCAAGATGCGGCTGGGCAGACTTCCGTCGAGCTTCGACAGCCAGCGCGGCTCCGGGATGTTGAGAATGCTCTGCTTGAAGCGGGGAGACTCTTGGAGAATGCGAGGTTGTATCGCTGTCAAAAGGGCCACATCGGACGGGTATGCGAAGAAGTTTCTGCCCTTTTCACGGTGCAGCTTGATCCAAGCATCATGGACAGGAAGGCCTTCGGCATACATAAAGTACGTAAGCGCAAGAAGCGTTGTCTCGGTGTAGCCGTCAGTGCAGTGAAGCAGAAATTTGCGAGGTGTTGCAGCATCGACCATCTCAATGGCTTCATCCTCGTCTTCCCTCCTGCGCTTGGACCGGCGTACTTCTTGGGGGTTGGCGAGTTCGTACATCCATTTGCACATGGCCATGAGGCCGTCGACTTCTCCGTGCGCCCAAGTAGGGGGCATGATGCTGCCGGAGGAGGGAAACTCCATGTGCAAGGCCGACTTGCGGTGAACCTTTTCCAAGCCCATCCGGAGAGCCCGCAATGAGCGGGGTTCGGGTACATGGGCCAAATCCGTTGCTTCAATGAGCATGTCGTATGCATCCTCTCCGGCACATTCTGGGTGCAGTGTCTGGTCAGGCGTTGGCCCTAGAAATACGTTGTTGCTGATTTCAGATGCTTTTGACATTTCGCTCATCTCGTATCGCTCCCAATAGACTAGTTGCGGCAGTCAGCGTCTGCACTCCACCGGATTTCATCTCAATACTTACAGAAGTCTACAACCTCGCCCGTCATTTCGCCAGAAGAGTTGATGGCAACCAGTTTTGGGTACTTTTCTTGGAAACAGCTAAAGGCATCTGGACACGTCAGTCGTCTGCGTTTTCCATGTGGGGGCGCTTGATTTACCTGAGAGCATAAAGGTGTTGAACAGGCGTGTCTGGAGGCCATTCTTTTCCTCGTACTGCCTCTGAGCCCTGGAGATCTTCTGGGCGAGGGCAATTGTGTCCTCTGGTCGGGTCTTGTGGTCGCCGTAAACGACAATGTCTGAGACGGTGGCCAGCTTGCAGGCCTGGATCTGAAAGTTGCGCACCGAGAAGCCGTCTTTGGGATCGCACTCGATGAACTGGGGGGCGTCCGAAGACACGGATTGCAGTATCTCGTCGGGGGCAATGGCGCCCTTGAGCTTCGAGGCCGTCAGATTGCCGCCCGTCTTGACGAGGGTGATGCTGCGGATGCACCTAGGCACCTTGCGGCCGCTCCTGCGACGCGACGAGAAGAAGGCCAGCTGGATCTGGTTGTCGGCATGCAGGCCATGCATCCATGGAAAGACTTGCTCGGGGTTGGGCAGGGGCTGGGTTGCAATGTGCTCTAGCGCCTCTGCCAGGCGGTCTGCGGTGATGGTGTACAGAGGCGGGTCGTCAGAGTACTTTGAGCAGAATGCATGCGGGGGGTAGGTGATGGACGACGTCTCAATGAGGCTGTCGTGGCGCGGGGGAGAGGCGGGCGGAGTGGCGGGCAGGTCACCGGGCGGGCAGACTGGAATGTGCTTGTTGGGGATGGGAGCAGGCGTGCCACGAGAAGACGTGTTGAGCGACAGGTGCGGTGGGGGCGTGGATGAGCGGCCTGGCATGGAAGGGTAGCTGGCGACAGCAGCGGCCATGTTGAGGTCGGGGAGAGGCGGAGAGGCGGAGAGGGAGGATGGGGCAGCGGTTGAAAGCGCGCAACGTGCAGGATGGGCGTGTGGAAGGCGAAGACAAAGGGTTAGGCAATGATGGTGGTGTCGTTGGTGGAGCGGGTGGTGGCAGCGGTGATGGCTCCTTCCCAATCAAAAGACGGCGCCAGGATGCGGGGTGAGGACGGGGGATCACGACAGGGTGGAGTGAGGGGCGTGCGAGTCTGCTGCAGCGCAATTGATAAGTACGGCGAGGTATAGGTGCAATGGCCGTGTGGAAGCAAACGGATGCATCGACGTGAATTGCTTTTTGGAGACGTACCGTGCTGAGAAGAGGGGCTGCTGAGTTGATCAACAGCCGGGGGTGGACATGGCACGGAGGTGGTGTGTGAAGGGGGGGGGATGTATGAAAAAAAGGAAAAGAAGGGCAGGCGAAGGGCAGGTGAAGGAGGGGTGAAGGAGGGTTGAAGGCGAGCATGCCATGGTTGGATCAGGATGATATGGGCTCGGTGTCTAGTGGTTCCCCGCTATCAACCCCCCAGCAGCATATGCAGCGCTTGTCGGGATCGACTTGTGCGGCTGGCTCCACCCAGCAAATGCTGCGCCGGGGGATTAGAGCCACTACACCCACAGCTAGCCATGGCGGGCGAGGGCGAGGGCAGATAACATGCGAATGCCAGTGCGTGTCTCTGTGTGTGTGTGTGTGTGTGTGTGTGTGTGTGTGCGTGTGCGCATGCGTGGGCGGGTCGTGTGGAAGCGCGCGGATGTGAAGGGTGCGCACGAGGGCCATGAGTTCTCTCGCAGTGCACGCCCATGGCTGTCCTCCGCCCAGCACGCCCACTACATGTACACCTCTACTGCGACACCCACCAACACCAGCACCCTAGGCTAGAGGATGCGCTTCGCCGCCGGCAGCGTGGAATCGGGCTGACATTTAGTGTGCCAGCGCCAGTCGACTTGCATGCACCACCACCACCACCAGGCCGCCCCACCCTCGCGCAGCTCAGCAGTTGCCACGCCCACCAACCCACCAAGAGAGTCCAGAGCTTCGTGGAGCCCCATCCGCCTATGGCAATCCAACCCCCCAAACCCCGCCTCTCTCTCTCTCTCCCTCCCTCCCTCCCTCTCTCTCCCGCGCGCTCTCTCGCTCAACCGCCTCTGCATCCACATCTGCATCTGCATCTGCATCTGCAGCCGCCGCCGCCCCCCTCCCCCTCCCAGAGGCTGTCACTCAAGACCCATGAGCAGCCAACGCCGCTTGCATCCCCCCATCCCCCTCCCCCCCCCTACACCCACCACGCCTATACCAAGTACACCTACACCTCCCACACCCATACCCGCCCCGTTGCCGTCACAACCCCGCATCTCGCCTCGCCTCTGCTAATGGTGCCGAGCCAGGACCGGCTATCTTTGTTGGTCCAGTCCCCCCGAATGCGAAAGCCCAAGAGTCGTAGGCCCCTGCAAGCTGACGTACTGCCACAAAGGCCTCGTGAAACGGCGCTTGTCGCAAAACCTTATACACGCTCCATATCGCAGCATGCCGAGCATCCTCTACACCACGCCGCCGCCATGGCTTTCCTACCTCAATCGCTAAATCGCTGATTCACTGCTACCCGCGCTGCTTGCTGCTTGCTGCTCTTGGCCTTCCAAAGTTTGTTTGGTTGCCATTACGTGCTCTCTGTTGGTGCTCGCGTGCCCCCCCATGCCACGTCTGCATGTCGCCATGTCTGCATCTGCCATGTCCCAAATGCCCATCGGACCCGCATGCCTACAAGTGCTCAAGTGCTCAAGTGCTCCGATGCTCGATACTTTCCACCCACCTGGACCTCCCGCCATCCAACGTCATCCAAGCCATCGCCTCGCCTTGCCTTGCCTTGATACTGCACACCCACTCCTTAGCCCCCATTTCCCGAACCACGCTTTGCCCTCATGCAGCCACTTCGGCTCTGCTATTCAGTAGCTCATCCACAATCGATCGCTGCACCTTGATGCCGCCCCTGTCCCTGTCCTCTTGTGCTTGTTCCCTCAGCAGCACCCCAAGCACCTCGAGCGGCGGTTCGAGCCCAAGCCGCTGCGCACGCTTCCACCGCTTCAATCGCGCAATCCCAGCGCTTGGCTACACGCCGCATCTTGGGTCAGCACTGCCCTGGCTACAGCGACGCTTTGCTGCTGACTGGCTGGGCCAAACTTACCCCGTAGTGTGCGCTCATGTCGAACTCGCGCAGTATCTTGTCCTCGACACTCAGTCCTTCCTGGTGCACTCTGGATGCTTGCCGCTGCTTCTCCTTGGCCGCCCAGTACTTTCTGATGGCTGCCTCGGATATGCGCCGCGCCTGGTCCTCGTCTGCCGTGCTCTCGACTGGTTGCGCCTGCTCAACAATAACCGCTTCGGCCCGTCGACGCTCTGAGCTCGACGTCTCCAACACGTCCGGCGTCGCATCTTTCACCGTCTTCTCAAAATTGCCTTTGTTTGCGCCTTGCGCCTTGACGCCCGACTTGGTGACCCGGTTGGACGATCCGTGGAAGGCGAGCGTCGACTGCTGCGACTTGGTCGCTGCGCCTGCAGTTCTGCGTTTGGGTGCCATGTTGGTGCTGTATGTGTGATGGATATTCAAAGTGCTCGATGAATGCGCAAAGATGGGTGTATAGGAGTTGTGCCTAGCGACAGACAGGCTGGGAACAGTGACGTGAAGTGACCTCACCGAGGGCTGGGCTTGGCGTAGATCGCGCGGCTCTAATTGGTCGCCGCAGCGATACACGACGTCGCGCGAACATGTGATGTCGCAGACGAACCCACCCCCACACTTGGTCCCGAGATTGCGGGAAACCTTTGTGCCTGTGCACCCACCGACTTCATTCCGTCTTTGCAGTAAGTGGGTTTCTTTACACGACCGTTGTTTTGTCTTGAACATGCATTGTGTTTTTATTCATTCATCCATGCTTCCAATGGGTCATGGCTTGGGTTCAGCAACGCATTGTTTGCCGATGGAAGCTTTTCTGCCGCCTTCAGCCATACCATAGACGTGAACAAAGAGCCTTGCAACCCTCGAATCAACATGCCTCGTAGACCTGAAACATGCATGCACGGTCATTCTTTGTCATGCCATGCCCCTCTTGCACTCTCTTCATGTACTGACCAAAAGCACAGCCTGCCAAGCATAGCCCACGCTCCCAGGGCCCAACCAACCCAGCCATGACCTCCACCACGCCCCCCGAAGTAGCCGTGCACGTGGAGTCCCTGATCCCCAAATTCCAGCTGACCCGGCTGCTCAACTCTGACCAAGCCGGCCGCCGCATCTCGCTGCTAGGCACCGTTGACGCACAGCCCGCCCTCCTCATCGCCGAGCGCGCCGCCTTCGACACCACGCCGGCGCTCCTGCAATCCTTCTCCACGTCTCTGCGCAACATCAAGAACCTGGGCGCCAACGACATCTACGCGTGGTTCCTCGCAAACTCGGATCCCAGCAAGGAGAATGGCAATCCACCGCCAGACTTCAAGCTCAACCTCATCTACCCGTGCACAGACAAACATGTGAAAAAGTACACGCAGCAGCGCCTCCGCGTCGTCACCGAAACACCGCAAATCTACGCCGCCTACATCCGTCCGTACATGCGTGCCCAGCGCGACAAAGGCGCCCTCGACTGGATCTACAATATCCTCGAGGGCCGCACCGAGCAGGAAGACGTCATGTACCGCGAGTCCGGCGACACTGGCTTTCTGCTGCTCCCGGACCTCAATTGGGACCGCAAGACCATGGGCAGCCTGCACCTGCTGGGCATTGTCGAGCGCCGCGATATCTGGAGCGTGCGCGATCTGACGCGCGACATGGTGGCGTGGATGACGCACATGCGCGACAAGATGGTCCAAGCGACCGTAGGCTTGTATCCTGGTATTGAGCGGGATGAACTGAAGCTTTATGTGCATTGTACGTTGTTGTTGTTGTTGTTTTTTTCAGCTTCATACAGCACACGATTTGGCCATACCAACACTGACATGAATCAGATCAACCCACATACTACCATTTCCACATCCACATCGTCCACGTCTCGCTCGAGGCCGGCGGCACACAAGCGACGGGGAAAGCCCTAGGCTTGGAAAACATCATCTCGCAGCTCGAAACAATGGCTCCTTCTTCTCCTTCGTCGGACGACTCACACCCACCAGGCATGCACAACGCAAGTCTGACCTACCATCTCGGCGAGCAAAGCGACCTGTGGACAAAAGTGTACTTGCCGCTCAAGCAAGGCCGACAAGTCAACGTAGATGATTTTTGAAGAGAGATGCAACAACTCGGTTAGAACCGAAGCTGGCGGGGGGGGGGTATATATTAGAAGAATTCGCTATTAGACAAATTATTTAGTAGATGGAGAAAGCAAAAAAAAAAAAGGGGGGGGGGTTGGAAAAACTCAAAAATTCATGGCTCTAATACTACTCTACCGTTTTCATCTTCTTCTTCATCTTCATCTTCATCTTCAACATCTTCTTCAACATCATCATCTTCATCTTCTTCTGCTCCTTCAATTCGTCCATCCTCCGCTTCCCCAGCACCGCCATCTTCATCGTCATCGTCTGCACTACAACAACTACTCCTCCTCCTACTCCTACTCCTCCTACTCCTACTCCTCCTACTCCTACTCCTCCTACTCCTACTCCTACTCTCACCCAGCGAACAAGCAGAAAAAGAAGAAAAAGAAGAAAAAGAAGAAAAAGAAGAAAAAGAAGAAAAAGAAGAACGCCTCCTCGCACCACCCACACACCCCGTCCCCGCCTCTCTCTCCCTCAAAACCCTAAACCTCTCCTGTCTCTCGCACTCGAGCCGCTCTCTCGCCCAGTCGCGTGCAAAACGCGCGCATCCGTTCAAACTCGCACTGGACGCTGCAGCCGCCATATACGACGGGGTAGCCAGACGCTCGGTATCAGCAGCGTCGACGGCACATGTGCGTGGTGGACCGACTGGGGCTTTGTTTGCAAGCCTGGCGGCCTCGGCATTACCATTATTAGTATTGTTATGCTGGTTATTATTATTATTATGATGATTGTGATTGTGATTCCACACCCAGAAACTGCCCCACAGCGTGCCATCGCTCGATGCAATGGCGCGCCAGGGCCTCTCGCGCAGGGAAAAGACAATGCAATCGGCGAGGCCCATGCTAGCCATGCAAACCGTGTTTCCGAGACGCAGGCCCCACAGCGGGTGCGTGGCGAGATGGTCGCTGTACATGGTGCAGTGATTGATAAAGGGGATGAGCCACATGAGCGTGTAGACGAGCGGGTAGATGAACATGAGGCGCAGTTGGCGGTGGATGCGGGCGCGCTGCTGCATCATGCGTGTCGAGTGTGCGTCTGGTCTTTGCGTGTGCGTGGTGGTGCAAGGTGAGGAGAGGGGAGGGAGTGAAGGACCGGTCATGGTCGTGGTGCTCATTGTGTCGGTTACGTCGCACGTTGCTTGTCGCGAGGGCGGGATGTGTACGTTGTCAGTCGAGTCCAGACATCGGACTGTGGGCGTGCTTGGTGTCGAGAAGAGCGATGGCTGTGCCGTTCCGCTCGGTTGGGCGTGGAAGAGACGCCGTGTTCCTGTCGGGAGAGACTGAGCCGTGGGGCTGGTGGAGGTTGCGCGGAGGCATGTTGAACTGGATGTACCACAAGACTCATTGCAATTGGCGTCCTGAGAAGGGGACGACGCATGCCACGCGTGATGAGCCAACTGTTCCTGCGGCACCGCACTCCCGGTGGGCAGTGCAACATCTTTCCCCGTGGCGTAATGCCTGCCAATGAGCGAAGTGGATGTGGGCTGCGACTCCTGGTTGACCGAGATGTCGCTGGTGGTGTTTAACCCGTAATTTTTGCTCATGGCATTGTAGCTTTGAAACTCCCAGCCAACATACATGTAGATGGCAATGGCCAGGCTAATAATCATGAGCACAACCATGTACCTGGGGATCCACGCCAACGCAAGCCGGTACCAGAAGGGCCGGATGGGAAGCGTGCAGAAGGCTCCTTGTAAGAGATAGCCTCCTCGCGGATTGACAAAGGCCATTCCCGCCATGGTAGCCGGGAAAAAGAGCGTGCCTGCATACACATACCGCCGATAACGATACAGACCGTCCGAGTGCTGTTGGCCCGAGGGCCGGAAAACCTGCAGTGCGGTATGGATTGCAATGACCAGGACGGCAAAGTCTAATAATGGTAAGAGAATGTTAGGGCCAAACTGACGACAGAATCCCCAAAGGCGCGTCTTACCACTAGTCTCAGTTCCGTACAGGATGAAGAAGCCACTCGCCTGACAGAAAGCCGAGTCATTATCCACATGCGCGTTGACCAGCGTTGCGATGGCAGCGACGAAATAGCACGACGCCCGCACCAAGTCCCCGTAGATGAGAATGACAACAAGCCTGCGGCAAACAATGAATGAGTGCATGGGATGCCGGGAGCAGTGACACTGACCGATGGCGAAACTGTTTTTCCATGCGACAAAACCAATACAAGGCGACTAGCAAGGTTGCCGTGCTCAGAGAAGAGCACACCAGGGCCGCTATGGTGATTTTCAACGTTCGCCGCTTGTTGATGGCATCCTGCATCGTGTACTCGGAACTAAGATTGGCGCTCAACGGGACAGACGACACGGCCAACGACAGGCAAAGAAAGACGAGCAGATACAGCTTGAAGGACGACGACATGGTGCTGCTGCTGCTGCTGCTGCGAGAAGAGTCGGAGGCAGGGGCTAGGTTGTTGGCATGCTGCATCTTTTTGCGGGTATCCCGGGGTCGAGATGCCTGGGGCGAGAACAGTGGAACGAAAAAACAAAAGGGATAATGCCCAATCACTGGTTCCGGGCATACGGGCGCTGCTGCTTGAAAGAGATCGGCCTTGCAGGCAACCAAGACACTAACGGTCCAATGTATGATTGGTATACTTCACCGGGGGCACAATCTGCATGTTGGGCGCTCAAGGCTGCTAGAGCAGTGATTTGCTATTTCCGAACTTTGTTCAGGCGGGCATGCCCTGAGGCGTCATGACATGCGTACAAGGACAGTGGCTTGCTGTATGTCAACCTATTGAAGCATCCGCATGGCTTGTAGTCATCGACGTCGCTCACCCTCCTCAGACAAGACTGCGACAATGCCAAGAGTAGTCGTGGTCATGTTCACCACACATGACGTATGATGTTTCCCCTGATCTTGGGCCGAACCCGCAGGCTTCCATGGTTTACAGTCGGCCTAGAATGACTCGGCTAGTGTGATCAGACTGAAGCGCAGCTCGCCGCCTCCGGCTTCAGCTTCGCGCTTGAGGAAACTACGCACCCCAAGGTCTAGGGCCCGTTCACTGAGAACATCCTCATCGGGAGCTAGCGCACCACGATCAAGGGGACCTTTGCGGCGCCCGTCAAGCTCCCACAGCCGGTTCTTGTCTGATTTGATAAAGCAGACATAGTGCAGATCCACGTCGGAATCCGCCTGGGGGGCAGCCGTGTCCCCGCCTGACGCCGCGCTCTGATGAGCGCTCTCTAGTGCTTCGGATTCGTAAAGTAGATCGGCGCGCTCAGCAGGCTTGAGTGGTATGGCATCGTGGACGAGCTTGGCAAGATTAGAGTCGGGTTCTGGATGCGCGGTAAGCATGGCTAGAGTGCATCGAGGGAACGGGGACTACCGACGCATGTGCGGGCGCGCTGATCCATTAGATACAGCGTGGAGAAGGCCAATCAGCCCACAAGCATTGCCAATGGTTTGCTTGTACCAGATAACCTCTTCCTCCGGGCCGTGTCCCTGGTATTCTGCCTTTTCCTGGTCTTCCTGGATGCGGAACTTCTCGTATGTCTGGCTGACGGGAAAAACAAGCAGCAGGGCGTGGGCAGGCCGCGGCACAAAAGCAAGGAGTTCCGGCTCGTCGATGCTGAAGACGTCGTGGAAGGCCAGCTTCTCAGACAGGCCGAGCTTGTGGACGAGGCCCGTCATGACCTCTGGGTTGTTTTCTGGGGCGTGTTACTAGACGCTGGTCGTCGAGGCGGCTGGGACTGCGTCTTACCGAGCGGGACGAACCGCTTCCTGCCCTTGGGAACGTCTGGGGAGGCGTCGGAGGCCATGTTGGTGCTGGACAAGATTGGTGTTGCGGGGAAGGAGGCGTGAGTGTTGCAGGACGTGAGGGGCGCGAGCAGCAAACAAAACAAGCGGCGGTTGCGTCATGCACAGCCGGTCCACAGCAAGAGAGTGAAGAATTGCGCGGGTATGTCTATGTGCATGTCAGTCCCCGTCAAGCGCCGTTCCGCCACGGGACGCGGCATGGCGACGGCGCTGTCACTAGCAGACGATGGAGGCGACAGGCGAGCGGCTACGCGCGCACCGAAATAGATCTTGGGACACGGCCGTGTGGTTCTGCGCGCATGGCCGGTGTGGGAGCACGGCGAGTAGTTGTATAACGAGGAACTGGAAACCCGTAAAACGAGTAGTTGTATGCAAGTACAGAATGCATAGATGATGGGCTGGGCCCGGCCATGGTGTGGCTTGCAATGGCCTGTGCGAACAAGATGCAGCGAGCCTCTCTGCCTCTGCCATGATGACGCTCGACTCACGTGCACAATGGCTCTGCGCGCCTCTGCCTCTGCCTCTGCCTCTCCCTTCCGCCGCATATACACCTCCACATCTACATCGCCAATCTGCCCACGCCACCCAGCACGCCGTCAATTCGCACTCGCCGCGACACGCACTGCCATTCCCCGCGCTTTTCTCGCGACGGCCCCCACTAGCTCTGTCGCCGACTTCTTTACCCCACTACGCCCACTTGCCCTCAGCTTTTTCCACCAACCTTTCCCAATCCTGCCCACCATGGCTGCCCTCGACGACGCTGTCGTTGCCTTTCTCAAGAAACACACGCCCAACAACGCCGCCGACGAGACCGACGCCGTCAAAGCCTCGCACGCCCTCTTCCCCGGCGTCTCGTACACTGACGCCGAGAAGACGGAGCTGAGCCAGTGGCTCATCACGGCCGCCCATGTCGCCTCCCCCGCCGAAGACGCCGCAAAGGCTTCAGAGCGCCTGTCGTCGCTGAACACACACCTCTCCAGCCGAACCACGCTCCTCGGCGCAAAGCCCTCGGTCGCCGACATCGCCCTGTACCAGAAGCTCGCGCCCGTCGTCGCCAAGTGGAGCGCAGACGAGAGGACGGGCGAGAACGGATACCACCACATTGTCCGTCACGTCGACTTTGTCCAGAACTCGCCCCTCTTCGGCCTCAAGCTGGACGACAAGGTCAGCATCGACCCCGACAATGTCGTCTTCAAGATCAAGCCGGTAGACGCCAAGGCTGAGAAGGAGCGCAAGAAGAAGGAGAAGGAGGCTGCCGCCGCCAATGCCGCCGCCTCAGGCGCTACAGCTACCACTCTGACGGGAGACCAAGGCCAGAGTGCCCAGGGCGGCCAGGGCGGCAAGAACAAGGCAGACAAGGCCAAGGCCAAGGCAGAGGCAGCTGGCTCAGCCGTTGCATCAGCCGTTGCCGGCAACCCCGCGAGTGGCGCTCCTGAAGGCGCACCGACTGAGAAGAAGCAAAAACAGAAGAAGGAGAAGCAGCCCAAGCCTCAAAAGCCGTATGTTTGCCTCTACAAACACTCCCCCTTGACTGCTGACTAACACCACACAGCGCGCCCGTCGAGAAGCCCCTCTCCCCCGCCCTCATCGATCTCCGTGTAGGACACATTCTCAAGGCCGAGACCCACCCCAATGCCGACTCGCTGTACGTCTCCACCATTGCATGCGGCGATGCTCCCGGCACAGACAACACATCCGAGTACGAAGGCCAGATTGTGCGTACCGTGTGCTCTGGCCTCAACGGCCTGATACCTCTGGCCGAGATGCAGAACCGCAAGATTGTTGCCGTGTGCAACCTCAAGCCCGTCACGATGCGCGGCGTCAAGTCGTGCGCCATGGTCCTAGCTGCATCACCCCGGGTAGCCGAGGGCGAGGACAGCCACAAGGGCCCCGTCGAATTGGTCAACCCACCCGCCGAGAGCAAGGCAGGCGACCGCGTCTACTTTGAAGGCTGGGAGGGCGAGCCCGAGCCAGTGCTCAACCCCAAGAAGAAGGTGTGGGAGACAATTCAGCCTGGTTTCACCACCACCGACGGCCTCCAAGTCGGCTTTGACGTTGCCGTCGTGCCACAGCTGAGCGGCGAGGGCCCCGACAAGAAGACGGGTGTAGCCAAGTTGAGGACAAAGGACGGCTTGTGTAGCGTGTCTACGCTCAAGGGCGGAGTCGTACGATGAGCGATGCTAATTGCATCAAAGATGAAAGAAAGAAAAATTAAAATAAAAACAAAGACATGCGCTCACATCTACGATACTGTTTTGCGAAAATTGTGCTGGACGCAAAAGAGGTCAAGAATTTAGACAAGCATGTACATGCATATACATGAGCTTCAACACACTGTGACATCATGGTACGCCACATGTACAAGCACAAGCACAAGAGAATCCATCACAGGAGAACCCATCACAATCACAATCACAATCACAATCACAATCACAGTCACAATCACAATCACAAAAGAATCCATCACGTCGCGAACCAGGGCCATGGCTCTCCCCCCCGACTCTCGCATGTATTCGGCATCAAAGGAAAGCGTTAATTCGTTAGGCTCTAGAACTATCCTGGGTGGGAGGGGGGGGTATACAAACAAAACAAATTCGTTACAAATGTCCACCAACAATCAAACGCCAGTGGTACCTCTCTCTCTCTCTCTCTCTCTCTCTCGCTCTGTCGGTTATTCCGTCTGTCCAACTGTCTGTGCATGCTACTAATCCACCATTCTGTATTAACCATTGCCATTTCCAATCTCTGCACAAGACAACAAAACACAAAACACACAAAACACAGTCCTAGTCCATCAGGCTCACCGGATACTCAAAGTCCTTTTCGGCATCGGTGCCGTGCAGCCTGACCTGGTACAGGCACGTGTGGCTAGCGCCCCAATTGCTGGTTACACGCAGTACGGCACGGGAAATGGGGTGCGAGGGCTCGCCGGCCAGGTCAAACGTCTGCAGATGGTTCGAGGCGTGGATGTTGTACTTGAACGATCCCAAGCACTTCCATGCACCGCCAGAGCTCTCTGGTGGCGGCGTACGACAGTTCACTTCGCGGTGGCTGTAGTACGGGTTAATGGGCGCGTTGGTCTGCACCCACAGCTCCATATCGCGCGGAGCATTGTTGATCTTGCGAGCAGGCATCATGCTCATAGGCACGTGCTCAATCGTTACTTGCTTGGGGATGACGAGACGTGGAAGTCGAACGGCAAGCTGAGCCTGGCCTGCTGATGCCGCGTCTTGGCCTGCCGAACACCAGCAGTCGCCTGGTTCTTCCCACTTGGTGAGGGCAGCAATCGGAGGGTTGTGCTCAGGAGTCCAGGAGAAGCGGCGTGCGAGCTGGGCAATGCGGCCGGGCTTGTTTTTGAATGTGACAGACGACAAGTCGGGGTCGATCATGGCGCCCAGTCCGGGAGAGAAGTAGTTGGGTTTCGTCAGGTGGAGCTCGTAGTTCGCAACCAGATTAGCCTGCGCAAGGGCGTTGAGCCGGATTTGGTCCATCATGGCCTTCTTAACCTCTGCATGCATCGTGGTCTGAATCTGGGCAGTCTGCGCTCGGATAGCCTCGTCGATCCTCTTGTCAACCTGAACAGTAAGGTTCTCGTACCGGCGTTCCACAAGTTTGATGAATTCTTCACGCGAGGCGACTTGAGGCCAACTATCCGTCGCAGCGCGTTCATTGTGAGCCGAGCTGTCAAAGAGAGTGGCCACCTTGGCCTTGGTGTCTTCGAGAAATCGCGTCCATTCGGGTTCAGAGCGCGCCTTGGCCGTCAAGGCCCGCCAGAATTCGTCGGTGATCTCCGTGGTACCGTCTGCGTGTCTGCGAATGATCATGACCTCTGGAAGTTCCTTCTTCAGATTCTTGATTGCCTCGCCCATGTCTTGAAGGCCTTTGCCCGTGCGGGTTTCAATGTTGGCCATGCGGCCCCACAAAAGGCTGTCATCCCCATTGTTCTTGTATGCTTCTGCTAGCTCGGCGTTGGTGAGTTTGCTGGGAGGCATGATGGCGTTGGTGATGCTCTCGTACGTGTAGACGACACGGGAGCCCACGGCTCTCATTAAACCAGGGCCCCTAGGGATTGATCCAGAACTGTTGGTGGCCATCATGACAGATGCAAGCCCACCGATCAGCAGGCAACCCGACAGAATCCAGAATGCCCAGGTAAGAGACTTGTTCCAGCGCCAAACTGGCTCATCTTGCTCAAACGGCTCGACATGTCCAATCCATGCATTGACTTCACCAGGGTCCTTGTGGTGGGGGCGGCGTCGATCCGATTGGCGTTGCTGCTGCGGTAGTGGTGGACCCTCGCGCTGTAATCTAGCCTGCTCTTGTGCAATTAAGTCGTCAACCGAATGCTCGTTCTGCGGCGGAGTGACGTGGGTAGCTGTCCGCTCGGGGCTTGCTTTGGCCTGGGTTTGACCTCGGACAGGCGCCTTGACACTCTCAGTTGTCGGTGTCTTGTCTTGAACTAGGGGCTTGGTGGGAGCCTGGACGGGAGTTGGGCCGTTGGATCTAGCTCCGTTGACGGCACGGGTAGGGGCGCTACGGGCTGGTACAGCAGGCTTGACAAAAGGCGAGCTTCTGCGCTCATCGCGTATCGGGTAACTCGTGAAGGGGTCGCGGGACACTAGCATGCCGGCTTCGTGAGATAGACCAAATGACTTGGACGTGTTTCCAACAGATGCCGCGACGTCATCCTCGCTGGGGCTGAAATCATCGCTGTCCATGAAGGAGTAACCGGGCGCGGCTTTCGACTGGGACGCAGTGGTGCGTGGACCGCTCGACGAAAAATGCGACTGCGACTCGCTGCCGAGGTCATCGACACTTTCGGCGCCGTCTTCCTCCTGTACTGTCTCTTGAACACCGGATTTGTCGAGCTGGCTCTTGAAAGCCTGGGCGAAACCGGTAGCTGGAGCAGCTGGGAGTTTATCGGGATTTCCGACGCGGCCGCTCGCACCGTACGCATTCGATCTACGGGCCTTGACCTGGGTCAGAGTGGTCCTGTTGCGCTTTGCTGAACCAGTGGCGGTAGCCGTGGCCGTGGTGACGACCGAATCTCCAGCGGCTGAGCTCGCCTTGGCGCTCATACGAGTCGAGCGGCGGTAGGGTGTGGGGGCGTCTGCATTGGCACGTTGAGACATTTCGAAGAGGAATGCGCCGGGGCCTGTGAATGCTTCAATGCAGCTGAGGTCCGGGAGGAACAAGACCGACGAGATTACCGAGGTATCTTAAGTACTAGGAATGTCCGGGCCAAAGGCGAGGGAATCGGTTCAAAGCTGGTCTTGGGTAAGTCGAGGTTTGGTTAAACGGAGTGAGCAGTAAAGGCCGCCATTTAAAACAGGACAAGACAAGCGGCGGCTAACAATAGAGCTCTGGGCGACAACAGAAGCGCGGCAGTGTCTTGGTGACTATGATGACGACAATACGAGGCAAGCGTAAAGCAAGACAGGCGGCTTCATCGAGACAGCCGACAGAAAATTTGCGGTGAATGCAGGTCGTGGTGAAGAGGCTGCCGACACGTGCATAGCGGCCTGCTTGGTGAGGCTGGGGTGCTAGGGCGCAATAGGAAACTGGGGTAGGAGCTGGGGGGGGACTTACATGTTGCCGCGAGAGCCAGCTCGTCGTGTGTCCGAGGGGAGCGACTCGAGCTCGACGCGTTTGTCGGCGTGCAAAATTTGATCTTTGACAAGCCGGGCGACGATGGTTGTGAATGGCGGGTTCCTGCAGGAGGGCCGGGAAACACGTGTACGCAGTTGCACGCGTCGAGGCAGGCGGGGCTACTGCGCAACGACGTGTGGCAGACGGGGGGTTGCGTGTCGAGGGGTCGAGTGCGCACAACGCGCGATCATGTTCCTGGCGTGGAGGAGCAGCGTGTGTATTGGGACGGGTGTGGATGCGTGTGTGTGCGTAGATGGCAGCAATGAGGATGGGGGGGGGGATGGAATCGTTGGTGAAAGGGCCATTGTCGCGTTGGAAGGGTGCAAGGGTGCGGACACATTTCGGCGAGGTTTCAGGCCCGGGTGGTGTTGTATGCATGTAGGTTCCCATTGGATCTCCCTCCTGGGGCTGGTCGATCAGGGCCCTCGCACGGCATGGCATGGGGGTGGGTATGGCATGGTACTGTATAATATGGGATTGGCGCTGGCCTCGTGGAGAAGCAGTCCGTGTGCGATGGCGAGGGCGCCATGGTCCGCAGCATGTATATGTAGTATGTACGACATTTGCATGCGACACAGCCGTGGGAGTCCATGTACAGGGACGCAGGTACATGGCAGACGGCCAAATTAGGCGTCGAGGCGGGGCCCGAGATTTCATGCATTATCCATGTCTGGTGGCGGCGGAGGCACTAGCTGGCGGGCTGCGTGAGGCATAAGTATGATATGGGGGTGGTGTAGCCGGTGTAGGAGTCGTTCTTTTTTTTTTCCTCCTCGCCGGCTGCCTCCCACCGTCATGCCAACCTGCCACCCCCCCCCCTCTGGTTTGTCGTCAAAGCACTGCCATGTCACTCACCGCCGGACTGAGCGCGCGCCCTCGCTTAATCCACCGCTTGCGGCTGCCAGCGCCCTGCCCGCCCAAAGAGACCACCACGGCGTCATACAGCGGCCGCGTACCACCCAGCACATTGTGCAAAGCTGGTACAGCACTCACGTCATACAGGCCCAACCTACCGCCAGCGAGTCGTTGTGGAATCACCACGACGGCCACCCTCCATGACAAGACAACGACGGAGAGGCAGACAGGCAGCAAGCAGATGCCCACACACAGAAAAGAAGCAAAGGCATCGTCATCCTCCTCCTCCTGCCATGCCTCGTCCAGTATTCAAACTGCGAGCACCAGTCACCTCCCATCACACCCTTGCCGCATCCGGCAATCTATCCGCCGATGCGGCTGCGTCACTAGTGCCGTAACCCATGAAATGAAGCCAGCATCTTGCGCCGCCTACTTTCTTACCTCTGTGCGCCCTACAAAGCTGATCCCCAAGACAAGCTCACATAAGAGCCTGCTCCCTCCGCCCCCTCCGCTCCCAGCGCCCACATCCGCTCTCTCCCGCTCTCTCACACTCACCACTCGTTGAACCGCAAACATGGTTGTAGGCTCTGTTCTCGTCACTGGGTACGCTACCCCTCCACCCCGCCATGCACTTTCCCACTACCACAATTGATACTGACCACAGCGCAGTGGCACCGGCTACATTGGCTCCTTCACCGCCCTCGCCCTCCTCGAGGCCGACTACAAGGTCGTCATTGTCGACAATCTCTACAACTCGTCGGCCGAAGTCATCAACCGCATCGAGCTCATCTGCGGCAAGCGCCCCTCGTTTTACCAGTGCGACGTGACCGACGAGGCTGCCCTCGACAAGGTCTTTGAGGAGAACCCCGACATTGACAATGTCATTCACTTTGCCGCGCTCAAGGTGAGTTCCCGTTCCCGTGTTCACGGCGCCGCCCAATCTCACATCATCGGTCCCAGGCTGTCGGCGAGTCGGGAGAGATTCCCCTCACATACTACCGCGTCAACGTCGGCGGCTCCATTGCCCTCCTCTCGTCCATGGTCAAGCACAATGTCAACAACATTGTCTTCTCCTCGTCTGCCACCGTCTACGGCGACGCGACGCGCGTCCCCAACATGATTCCAATCCCCGAACACTGTCCCATCGGCCCGACCAATGTCTACGGGCGCACAAAGTCCACCATCGAGGCCGCAATCACCGACACCATCGAGGCAGAGCGCAACAATGCGAGAAAGGCCGGCAAGGACGAAAAGGAAATCAGCAAATGGAACGCCGCCCTGTTGCGCTACTTCAACCCCGCCGGCGCGCATCCCAGCGGCATCATGGGCGAAAACCCTCTCGGTGTCCCGTACAACCTCCTACCCTTGTTGGCGCAAGTTGCGATCGGCAAGCGTGACAAGCTTCTTGTCTTTGGCGACGACTACGCCAGCAAGGATGGCACGGCGATCCGCGACTACATCCACGTGCTGGACCTCGCCCGCGGCCACCTCCAAGCCCTCAACTACCTGCGCGAGCAAAAGCCCGGCGTCAAGGCCTGGAACCTGGGTACCGGCAAGGGCTCCACCGTCTTTGAAATGATCAAAGCCTTCAGCTCCGTCGTCGGCCGCGATCTGCCTTACCAGGTCGCTCCCCGGAGACCCGGTGATGTCCTCGACCTGACGGCCAACCCCACCCTCGCCAACAAGGAGCTTGACTGGAAGACCGAATTCACACTCGAAGATGCCTGTGCCGACCTGTGGAAGTGGACAGAGAATAACCCAGAAGGCTACAACCAGCAACCACCAAAAGACTTTGTCGATGCCCTCAAGAACAACAAGGCTTGAATCAAATCAAAATCAAAATCAAAATCAAAAATCTATTTCGTTTCGTTTCGTTTCGTTTGGATAGGAGCCCCTCCTTCCCCCCTTCCCACGTCTCACGGCATGAGGGGGAGGAGGATGAAGGGGGCTAATGGATACTTTGCATGTATAGATTTTTCTTGGATACGATTTAATCCCACACAACTGCAATATGAACCTTCATTTGATGCTTTGGAATTTTGGGTATAACGTGAGAGTGTATGAGAGAGAGAGACTATGCTGCTGCATCTTTGCAAAACAACCACGACAACTTACTCAAGCAATATCCTCAATCGGACAGTTGGGATGCAGCACATACACGACCTTTTCGTTGCCCTCGGCCTGTCCCTGTTCATCTGCCAGTCCTTCACCCCGAATCAACATGAGATATTGTTCCTGCATCACTCGTTGTTAGCCCCTCACACGCACACACACAGCACAGCACAATGCATCCACGACAAGCTTACCTTGACAACCTTCTTGAGCACCTTCTTGGCGAGCGCACGCTCCTTTTCCAGATCCTCTTGCGTCTCGAGTTCGTTTTCCTTTTGCTCCAGGTACCAGATGAGGAGCTCTTCTTCCTCGACGCCGTCCTGCGTTTCCTCCTGGTCTTGGTTGACGCGCTTGACAAACATGTTGCGCATCGACACGTACTTGTCGTGTGTGATTTTTGTCTTTTCTCGCGGTGCTACGGCCGGTGTTGCTGTGCGCGCTTGCGATGCTTCTCGCTGGTCCTCTTCCATTGGCGCATCGCCGTCTTGTTCTGCTGCTGCCGCTGCCGCAAGAAGAGCTTCGTCGTCGTCGTCTTCCACCTCGACGTCGTCCTTTTCAACCGAGATAATGGACTGCCGGAGAAGGTTGTACGCTTCCTTGACAAACTCGGGGGTAATGTCCGTGACGCAGTTTGCTTTGGCAATGGCCTCGGAAAGACGAATCATACTTTCCAGCTGACGCACCGTGATGCGGTAGCTGTTGCGCCCAATGCCGCCCTGAGCGTCATCTGCACGCAGTTCCTTGTACTTCTCCACAAGCGTTTCCTTTGCCTCGTCGGTAAATTCCGGCCTGAAGGTTCTCGCAAAGCGAATGTAACGCTGCAATTGCTCCGTGTTGAATTCAGGATCCACGGCCTCATCTCGGTGCTGATGAATACCCACAATGTGCTCTGCGAGATGGCGATCAACAGCCTCGTCGCACTCGTCAAGAACCACAAAGAACAGATCAAAACGAGACATGATGGGCGCAGACATGTTGATGTTAGCGCGTAGTGTTGTCTTGCGGTTGTAGCGACCGCCCACCGGGTTGGCTGCTGCCAGGATCGAAGTACGGGCGTTGAGCGTTGCTTGGATTCCCGCCTTTGCAATGGAAATGGTCTGCTGTTCCATAGCTTCGTGGATAGCCACCTGGTCGGCAATGTCCATCTTGTCAAACTCATCAATGGCGCAGATGCCGTTGTCAGCAAGCATGAGTGCTCCAGCTTCAATCGTAAACTCGCCAGTCTCCTCGTCCTTGACAACGGCAGCTGTGAGACCAGCAGCTGATGAAGCCTTACCCGAAGTGTAGACGGCGCGAGGAAGAAAGCTGCAAATGTACTTGAGGAACTGCGATTTTGACGTCGAAGGGTCGCCGACAATGCAAATGTTGATATCTCCACGTAGTGACATGCCTTCTGGTGTTTCCTTGGACACGCCCCCCATTAGCTGGAGCAGCAGACCTTTCTTGATGACCTGGTGGCCGTACACCATTGGCGCGATTGAGTCGACTAATCGCATAAAGATGTTGGGCTTGTGCACCATGTCCTTGAGATCTTGAATCTCGGCCGCAGTCAGAGTGCCAAGGTACTCTTCTTGTGCCTCCTCGCCGCTTGTTGCATTGGACTCGATTTGACCCTGGCCAAGCGATGCGAGGATATTGCTAGCCTGGCCTGTCAAGTAATGGTTGGAAGATTGTCCAGGGGTGGAGTGATCGGGCGAGACCATGCATGCCAGGAAGGACATGCGGTAAGTGAGGTCACGGACACCAAGAGCCTTGAGACCGCTCACGCCAGACCCGCCGACGTCGTTGCCTCGCGTGGTATTCGAAGTATCCCTCATTGCTTGCGGCCGCACACCAGGAACGCGGAACTGACTCACGTCGGGAATGACAATGACAGTGCCCGTAAAGATGCACTTCTCTCCAGCCTTTGCACGGTCCACCATTTCTCCTCGCAGAATGACGTCCATTGTGCGCGGCATGCTACCAGTGGGAATCTCGGAGCTGTTTTCCTGGATGCGCACCTTTTGCCAATCGACAAAGGTAGATTGCCGAATGTCCAGTCGCCAGCCTTCCCTGTTCATGCACGTTATGTTGGGACATTGTGTTGGCTCGGTGTATTTGAACGTTTGTTCAATATTTGGCACGACCGTGTTGCAAATCTCGCATACAAAAGTCGCCATTGAGAGCTCTGGGCGAACTTCCGAGGTTCGAGTTACGGTGCCGGAGATGGACAACAAGCTGCCAATTGACGTGGTGCGGAGCTGGCGAATGCGCGAAACAAGAGGCAGATTGTAAAACGCCAAGGTGAAGAGCTTGTCCGTCTGCTGATTCGCCGTCTTCTCGTTGAGACTTTCATTCTGGCTCTCCGAGTTCCCGGCGTTGGACGTAGCCGTCACCGAAGCTGTCGAAGCTGGCTGCTTGTGCTGACGGAAGTACTTGGGCTCGTACTTTGCAATGAGGTTGTGCAGTGAGCGAATCATGTAGGGCAGGAAGCGGTAGTATTCGCTTGCAATCGCAGCGGCAAGGATGCCATCCTCGTGTCTAAGAAGGTGCGTGTAGTCGACGTAGAGAGTAGAGAGGCCGTACAGCCGCATACCCCGTATTTGGGCAATGTAGTACTTGTCGGTGGTAGGGACCGCGCTCGAAGTGGGCAGCGCCGAAGACGACGGGTCTTCTGTGTAGCTATCTCCTGGTTAGCCGGGCTGTCGTCGTCGTCCTGGACTGCGCATCTCACTTCTCGAGGAACTCCTGGAAACGCAACGATAGCGTCTCTCCAGTAACATCGACCACCTTGGGGATGTCTGTTCGAGGGGCATTGGTCCGCCTGCCTGGTACTCGTGCTCCGATAATCTCGTCATCTGGGTCGCCTTCTATATCACTGTTTGCGCCAGCACTCTCAGAGGGCGGTCCGCGGGGCCTCGCCGACGAGGATCGCATCTGGGGTGTTCGTGCATCGTTACCGTATGCGCTCGATGGCGTGGGCGCAGCGTCCGAATTGAGGGCCAGATCCAGAAGAGACGACATGATTTGGGTAGAGTTATGGTGGTATAGGGTGCTGTTTGCTCAAAACAGGAACCCTCGAAGCTAGGCGGGGGTGCTGTAAACACGCGAAAACGCGGTCGCGCTGGCCGGATGAGGAAGTAAGTATAGGTCCGTGCACATCGCTGGAGACGGACGTGAACATCACACAAGCCAGCACGTTGCGGGAACATATCTCTGCTAGTTTAGTATAAAGAACTTGAGTTTTACAGATACATATACGCGAAGATGTTCGATTGTATATTCAAAGGTATCACATACACACAGCCTTTTGCCAAACGCCCTGCATTAACCCCATGTACCGCCGCCACCCCGTCCTGCTCTCCTTTGAGCGCTCAGTCTCCAGTCGTCCTCGCCTGCAAACTTGTTGTGTAGCGGCTGGATCCTCTCGGCCTTCTTCCTCTTACTCAACCGGTCTGTCGGTGCCACCTTGAAGAACGTAGGTGCAGCTTCCACCAGCCACTTTGGCTCAATAGCACTGCAGAAATGCATGTACTCTTTAGTGGTTTCCACAAGCGAGTGGTAGATGACGTGTTCTGCAGGCTTGCCAAAGAGCGACGAAGAAGGGTGCAAGTAGACAGGAGTGCCTTCGACGAGCGTCTTGTAGCCCTCTGCGGGATCTTTGCGGGCCGAGTTGCGGAAGAAACCCGAGCAGAGTGCTTGTCGAACCTTGATGGTATTGCGCCCACAAGATACCACCTGGTGTTTGTGCCGTGCCATGATTTGTAGTAACTGGTTTCGCACGTCTCGTACGCGCTGCATGTTCTTGGGCATGACAAAGTTCTCATGACACCACGGTGTGCTGAAGCCACCCTGCTTCCAGCCATTATAGACGTTGAGGAGAGTAATGTGGTCGCCAGATGGATCGTTAAACTTTTGCTTCTTCTGGTCGGCTTGCTGCTGCTTGTCTCGAGGGCGATGGAAGACGTTTTGGGTAGCGCTGATCATGGCCACAATTGTGAGAATCTCGTCTGAGCACTGAAGCTCAACTGATTTGATCAGTGATTTGGAGAGAGAGGGGTCCATGGGGAAATCCGCCATTTGTCGCCCAAGACGCGTCAGCAATCCTTCGTCATCCAGCGCGCCCAACTGATACAGCTCTTCCAAAGCTGTCAACATGGTGTTGGTAGGCGGTGGATCCATAAAGTCAAAATGCAACAGATCGTTAATACCCATAGCCTTGAGCATCAGAATCGTGTTGGACAAGTTCTGGCGCTGAATCTCGGGAATAGTCGTCGGCAGCATTTCGTTCTGGAACGCTGCTTCGGTATATAGACGGAAACATTTTCCTGGTCCTGTTCTTCCTGCTCTTCCACTTCTTTGGCGAGCCTGGGCCTGGGAAATGGGCGTAATCTGCAGACGGTCCATGCCCAGCTTTCCGTCGTAAGAACTCTGCTTGACGAAACCTGGATCGACGACGTAGAAAATACCGTCAATAGTCAAACTTGTCTCAGCAATGTTAGTAGCAATGACACATTTCCGGCTGCCTGCAGGTGCAGGCTCGAATATGCGCGACGCTACTTCAGATGGCAGGGCACCGTAGATGGGCAGAATCATCAACTCTGGCACATTCGGCCCCAGAGCCTTCATGCGCTCAGATAGAATCTCGCAGGAAGAATCGATTTCTTCTTTTCCGGTCAAGAAGAGCAGAATATCACCTGCTGGTTCTGTCAGGTGGATTTGCATGACCGTCACCAAGGCCGCATCAAGATAATCAGACTCCGGCTCTCGGCTGTACATGACCTCTACAGGGAACGTGCGGCCAGGAATGGAAAAGATGGGGCACTTGTAAAAGTACTCGGAAAACTTGTCGGCGTCCAGGGTGGCACTAGTGACAATGAGCTTCATGTCAGGCCGTCGCTTGAGTGTCTTTTTGAGTAGCCCAAACAGGACGTCCGTAGCAATGGTACGCTCGTGAGCCTCGTCAAGCATGATGCAGCTGTACTTGGACAGCATGGGGTCTAGCAGAATCTCACGCTGCAGGATACCGTCCGTCATGTACTTGATGCGCGTTTCTGGCGAAGTTTTGTCCTCGAATCGAATCGTGTAACCAACCTCGTTGCCCAAAGCACAGCCAACTTCCTCGGCGACACGTTTGGCGACACTCATGGCTGCCACACGTCTAGGCTGGGTACAGCCAATGACGAGCTCGTTGGCATAGCCAGCTTCGGCCAGATATTGTGTCATTTGTGTCGTCTTTCCGGAGCCGGTGTCACCGACTACAATCAAGATCTGATGGGCTGCAACAGCCTCAAGAAGTTGTTTCCTGAACTTGAAGACAGGCAACGACTCTCGCTGATCCTTGATGCTCATGTTGGTGCGTTTACCGAATGAGGTTTCGCGACTGTTTGTGGATATCTTCTTCCACTCCGGTAGTGCTTGACTGGGTTCATTTGTTCGAGTGTTGCGAAGATCGCTTGCAAACTGTCGTTGCTGAGCCATGGGATCATTCCATTGACTGCTCAAGTCGACATTCGCTGCTTCTTTTGCAGCCTTCTCCTGTGCTTCTTGTTGTTTCAAGTCCCGGCGTTCTCTGGCTAAGGAGTCCCCAGCCATTGCAGCGCGGTTGAGGGAACCATCAGGCGCCTTGACAACACGAATCGGCGAGAGCTCCAGTGATTGCTTGGTCTGGCCAGCCAAAAACGGGGGCTCCTCTTCTCGAACCTCAATGTCCACATCCTCTTCCTCTTCAAAACCACCCTCGCCGTTGATATGGGCATTAAAGTCCTCGTCAATGTCGGGGTAGTCGGATTTGGGGATTACACCAGAGGCAATAAGTTGTTTAATCTCCCATCGCTCCGGCGACGTCATGCGTTTCCGCATACCGTTTTTGCGACTGTTGTAACCATCTTCCACGACAGGTACAGAACTGTCGACTCCAGGGATACCCCCGAGGCCTTGTGCGTTGGCGCCCGTCCCAAACGCTGCTATGCGCTTGCCGGGCGCAAGATCGTGACCTGTGCGCTGGTCCACTTCTTTCATTGACAGCGATATTCTGCCGTTGTCCGTCTTGATGACCTTGACCTTGACCTCCTGCCATCTTGATACTAGGTCCGATGGATGATTGACTCGTCCTTCCATCATTTGAGTGACATGAACCAGACCATCGACCTTGCCCTTTACGCCCTGCAAGTTTACGAAGCAGCCAAAATCCTTGACGCCTGTGACCTTGCCATCGTAAATCTTGTACAACACTGGCTCGTCGTCGAGCTCGGGAGTAGGCGGCCGTCGGAATTCTTCAATGTCTTCGTCGCGGTACTTCTTGCGGCTTCGTTGCTTAGTATTGCTGGGCTTGACGGTTCGCGTGCGCCCAAATTCGTCTTCAAAGACGAGGTCGTCGTTTTGCTCCCGTTGGCGCCCCCGTCGCGGACTCACGGATGGGGAGCGCGAGTATGACCTGTCTCTCCTCCTGTGGCGCTTGCTCCGACTAATATCATCATCGCTGTCGTATGGGCTCATGCTCCTCTTTCGCGACCGCTCCTTGGGCTTGCCTGCTGCCTTGCCCGCAAGCCCTTCCAGCATAGCAAATGTATCATCCAGCGCGTCGGCCTGTGGTGCGTCGTTCGTAGGCTCCTCGTCTGCTACATCGTATTCCACTTCCTTGTCGGGAATTGCCAGACCCTTAAAAACACGCGTCTTGCGACTTGTAGCGTCGCCACCATCCTCTGTGCTTGCGCCTGCCTGCTTTCCGCCTGCGCTCTTTTTCTTATACTTGGGATGGAGTGTCAGAATCAGACGGTCGATACTCTCCACCAAGCTCTGCGGGAACTCGGCGCCCACAGCCTCGAGCTGGTTCTTGAAGTCGGCAACGTCTTTGCAGCTGGCATGCTGGTCAATGACAAACTCGGCGAGCGTCTTGTCAGAGACCCCGACGTGGTTCTGGATTTCCGACGTAACCTTGGAAACGAGCGACAAAAACTCGAGGTTGGCGAGATCGTCCATTGCGGCGGTTGGGCGTCTTCGCAGAGCGCGTTTGTCTGCGGCTTGTCGGGGCTAGGCGGACGCTGATGCCGTAGGGCTCGGGGTCGATTGTGGATGGCACTGCTTGTTTTGAGAAATCCTTCTCTACGCTCCAGCGACCATGCTCTTCGAGTTTCGTCTCTCCGCGCGTGCTGGCGGAATTTTGTGGTGAATGGAGTGGATGGAGGAGTCGTCGCATAGTTGGTCAAGAAAGTTGATGCGGCTCGGCGGCTCAAGCGCGCTAGGCCGTGTCCCCGCGCGGCAGCCACTCACCTCTCGCCAGACTCCGCATCACTCCATCTCGTCTTGCCCCCCGGGTGTTCAACCTCCGAAAGGTGCTGAGCGTGTTCTGTGCACAATTCACTGCTTAGTGGCACATCTTCACTGCCGATCCAACCGCCAAAATGAGCTCTACACGCATCTTCCACAACATCTCACGCATACCTGTCACATCCACGCTTGTCCTTATCTACGGTAACTACGAGCTCTATCGCATACACAAGGGCACACACCCGTACTGGAGTCCCATTCTTGAGGAAAAGGGCATCGTCCGACGGCGGACCAAGACTGTTTCAGAGGCGTCAGATGGAAATGTAGCTCAGGGAACGGAGACGAGGCGTGAGGGGGGCAAAGCGTCGATACAATGGCTGAACCTCAATGGAGTCCCGATTCCATTCATCGCACTGAAGTCAGCAGAGTGAGAGCATGTGACTGCTTGGGGAAGCACCCGTCGACTCGACGTTGACGGGCGGAGAAGACAGCCAAGGAGCAGCAAGAGAAGAGCCGGGGCCCATGACGACTTGTTTACTTTGTGCATTTTGCGACGGATTCAGGCGTTGGGTGTTGAAATGTTTGAGTGAGCACACTGGTCGTTTGACAAAGCATGGAGAGACACTGCAAGAGGAAGCGTTTGGTTACGGTAGGAGCTGGAAGCAACAATGGTCAAACTGCACTTTGCGGAGAAGGGATGGGACTGGTGCGGACAACAAGTTGTGAATGCAGAGACAGTCCCGGAAAACTTAGCCCTACCAACGAATCCAATCCTACAAACCTCCACACGTCCAGTCCGCGCGTCCTCGTCTCCACGCCCGATTTTATGCGCGTTAGTCTTGCAGCTTGAATGAGAACAAAAGCGGATAAAAATACCAGGCATCTATATATGTCATCTGTTTCGAGCGGATGCAGTGCTGCCCGACGATGTTGACTTTGGAGGGTCGAATGGTGCAATATGGTGCCATGTCCAACTCTTCCACATCCGGCTTAGTACCCTGATGCGACACCGACTTCACTGACCGGCTCAACCTCCAGTCAGCCTTGCATGTGGTGGTGTGTTCTGAGCCGGCCATATGACCAAGAGCACAGTTTGGTCAGCAAGTTGCAGAATTGCATGGCACCATTTTCTGCTCTGTTTGGCCACTCAGCCGGCTGCATTCACTTGATAGCTCCCCGTGCGAGATATATCCACTTTTGGTACGCCTCGGACAATTATATTGGAAATCACAGTCAGATATGAACGGACCAGGTACTAGGCTTCGATTGATTTATCCGATTGTGTGCGATGGCGCGATTGCTTCAGAAATACGGGGAAGTGATTTCCCCACCGTGATGCGGGTACCGTTGCAATCGAGCATGATATATAAGTACGACATGGGCTTTCTGGCGCTTCTTCACTTAAATCCCGCATTACTAGATTCCAAGCATTCTTTTTTCTGATACCCAAGTCGCTTTCCAGTTGAATTGTTATTGTACGCTCTATATCTTGACTCGCCATACATCTGCTAGACATTCCGAACGAGAATACCTCACAACACTGCAAAGTACCTCGCCATCCCACCAAGAGTAACATTCCACACATCCAGCCACCATGGCACCCGGACTCGTCGAACCGCAACATGAACCCAGCACCACATCCATCCCTTCCAAGCCCACAAACGCACACAACTACGTTCCCGGACGCTCCAAGTCCCAAAACTCCGAAGGCCCCTACGAGTACGAGGACCTGCGTCCGCATTTCCCGGACATCACATGGCCAGCGTACACCGAGATCCCGTACACAGACAAAGGCCAGCTAGGTGACGCAAACTTCAAGCACCTGCTTGCGTCAGCCACCGACGTATTTGACTACAATCCCAAGATCGGCACTGAGATCCACGGCGTCGACCTGGCCAACCTGAGCGACTTGCAAAAGAACGATCTCGCTCGCTTGATTGCCACACGGGGCGTCGTCTTCTTCCGCGACCAAAGGAACCTGACTATCGACAAGCAACGCGAACTGGGGCAGTACTTTGGCGAGCTGCACAAGCACGCCACGACGGGGGTTCCGAGGCGACAAGGGCTCGAGGACGTGCATGTTATTTATACTGGCGAAGGGAGTCCCGATCTGCGCGCTCTATTCACGCCTACGTTCCTGTGGCACTCGGATGTAAGATGCCCCTTGGCTTTGTGCTAGAAACCACTGTGTGTATATGGAAGCTGTGCTAATCGTATATACGACAATAGGTAACATACGAACTGCAACCGCCGTCCTACACGTCGCTCAAGGTGCTGACGGGCCCACCGCGTGGCGGCGGGGGTGACACGCTCTGGACGTCTCAGTACGCGGCGTATGACATGCTGTCGCCGCACATGCAAAAGTATCTCGAGTCGCTGACGGCGCTGCACTCTGCCGAGCTGCAGGCCCAGGGGAGCCGTGAGCTGGGTCGCACGGTGCGCCGCGAGCCCGTGACAACGGAGCACCCGCTGGTGCGGACGAACCCCGTCACGGGCTGGAAGAGCCTGTTCTTCAACCCGGGCTTTGTCACCAAGATTGTCGGCGTCCCCAAGACAGAGTCGGATCACATCATCGGCTTGCTGAACGAGATTGTGGCGACAAGCCCTGAGATCCAGGCTAGGTTCCAGTGGAGAGCGGGCGACGTTGCGTTTTGGGATAACAGAGTGACGGTCAGTTTGCGGATCCCCCTCCCCCCCCTACTTACCTGTCAGACGGTTAAACTAACGTGGCGTGTAGAACCATTCCGCGACATATGGCTTTGCACCGCACCGGAGACATGCAGTGAGGGTTGCTGCGCGTGCCGAACGACCGTATCTCGACCCGCAGAGTCAGTCTCAGGAAGAGGAGCTGAGTGAGCGGTATGGGGTGCCCAAGGCCAACAAGGATGGTAGTGGCGTGGTGAACTATAACGATTAATGAAGTTAGACAAAAATAGCAATACGTAATCAAAATAGTAGCAGCATCTGACCGACCAATCATCATCGTTACTCTAAATAGTAACGTATGTGGCAAGCGAGCGCCGCAGGCAAGCGAGCGCCGCACCCCACCAAACCT